TGTGATTTGCAACCCGCAAAAACTTCGCGCGGAAGCGCCAAAAACCTAGCCGAACCCGGAAGAACCCCAAAGAGAGGCTCCGGAGTCGAACCGGGCAGCTTTTTTGCCGGCTTTTTGCAGCGTTGGAAAAATCAGCAGAGGGGGCGGCGTGGGATTCGCAACCCGCAAAAGCCTCGCGCGGAAACGCCAAAAACCTAGCCGAACTCCGAAGGGCCTCCAGGAGAGTTTCCGGAGTCGAACCGGGCAGCTTTTTTGCCGGCTTTTTGCGGCGTTGGGAAAATCAGCCGCCGGGGTTTTGCGTGATTCGCAACCCGCGGCAGCTTTTGTGTCATGCTGCCCGGTTGCAGTTGAGCCGGGCAGCTTTTTTGCCGGCTTTTTGCGGTGTTGGGAAAATCATCAGCGCTACCGCACTGAGGCTGTTGGTCGCGGTAAGCAGTTTAGTCACTTATTTGCTTTTGTGTTTGTCGTGTTCTCCTTTCTCCTTTCAGCATGTTGGCATCGTAGCACTAGCAGACGCTGTTCAGCGTACGAAGTGAGTACGTTACTTTGAAATAAATTGAAGCTCCTCAAAATTTGATATTCGCGTTCTGTTCTTCCGCCAGATTCATCCCATGTCCAGTTGTTTTCGCAAATCCACCCATCTTCATCCCCACCTTCATATCGTGTGCTATGCAGAAGACGAAAATAGATAGTGACAACCATCTTGTTCCTCCGCCGCGAAAAAACTACAGATCTCTTTCTGCTGATCCTCATGCGCAACATTTACATTAACATTCCGCAGGAGAAAAGCTTTTCCTTAATAGACGAAAAGTTCGTCACGAGGATGAAGGATACTGTAAGTGTTTTGTCGTCACAACTTATTTCCCTTTTCCATATTCTCCACGGCCTTTTCCGCTTCTTTTTTCCGCAGGTTATCCTCCATTTGCTTTCTATCGTACGAAAAAACTGTTTCACTGTAACGATTTTCCAATTTTTGCATCACAAGTTTGTTCTACATTACAGAGAAAATCTGCCATGCGAGACTCCTAAGGGAAAACATAGCTAAAAATCCTTGTCTTGCATGTGTAGCAAGAGAAACACTTCTCCGATGCATTTTCTGCATTACAAGTTTACAATGAAACAGTTTTTTCTTGCGATACTTTCTCGCATCCAATCCCTCCATGGCCAGCAAAGTTTTGTTATCCTCTGCAAAAGCATCGACGTACTCGTAGTATGGTAATTGCAGTAGTGCATGACAAATTGATTTCCTCAAGGAGAATTCAGCATGACAGGTTCCATTTGTCATGCTGAGAAAATTTGCAATGCGCCTACTTGTACTAGTAGTGCGACACTTTTCCACTGCATACTTGTTGTCCGCGTCTCCATCCGTTGCGACCACTTTGTTATCAAATGCAAAAGTGTCTGGGTCTGGAAGGATGCAAGGTTTGTCATGCACATTTTGCATGACTCCTGATGTCTGTGATGCATGCCCTAGCATGACACATTTATTTATGGGGGCTTCCTCATGCCTATACCGCATCAGAAATGCGCTTTCGCCATGACAAAAACTGGACCTCTCTTGCCGTTCATGCAATACAGATTTATTGTAGAATCCAAATCCAGCATTACAAGTTGCAATCATCTTCCAGACCCAGACACTTTTGCAATCCATATTCGTTTGCAACCCGCAATTTCTGCAGCCCGGTATGCATGTAGAAAAATATCACGCTAGTAGCTGTATTAAATTGTCGCATGACAAATTTTCTACTGAACAAATCGACTGATTTTAAAATAGTCAAACTTTGACTTTGTCATGCTGATTTTAGTACAGAAGCCTTGGTCTGTTATGCAGGACAAAGACTGCAGCTGCACGATACTTTCGCGGCTCTGGATACCAGAACGTGGCCAAGGACTCGCAGTTGTACAGGTAGACGTACCCGAAGCCGTTACATATGCATTGCAAGTAAATATCCCTCTTGTCTTAGTCTTAATTTGTGATGCCAGTCTCCAGTGAAAATGAGCATGTGCATGAGGCAGAGGTGGACCACAGCTTCAATGGGTTGTGTTGCAGCTGATTCAGGGTTAACAACAAGCGGGAGAAAAATATTGTCATGCTTAACTCAGAAACACGAATCGAACAGGAACAATCACCTTTATTGCAGACCAGAACGAAGAATCCTGCAGTTGATATTGCACCGCTTGTCCCGAAACGCCACGCTCTGCTTGGCCGGAGCATACTTCCCCTTCATTTGGGAATCCTATCAAAGGCAAATGTGTCTGCATCTGAAACACTGCAACTTGTCATGCTAAATCAGAAAGATGCAAAAATCTTCTGTGTTGCGTGAGTACCAGAAGCTGTCCGCTTTTCACCAAGCTGAGAGGCAGTTTCTCATGCAGGAAAGGCACGATAGAGACCTAAAAGAATCTGTCATGCTGGGTCTCGCATTCCAGACCTCACGGGGCATGGGAAACTTGCATGACAAGTCTTGCAACGTAGATCCAGACCCAGACATATTTCCATTTGATAAATCCACTTGCGGAATGATCTTTTTCTCTTTCCTATGCTGAGGAAAGACGTCGCCCCATCCCAGAATCAAGTTGGGAACTTAGCAACACAAATCCAGCAGTTTTGCAAGTCACGCATTTGACAAAGCCAACTCCTTATCCTGGTGACAGCATTACAAAGTCCAAAACACGACTGAAGATGCCCCTCATGGGGATGCGCATTTTAGTGCAAACGTTTCTGCGATTCTTTTCGCATCAAATTCAAATCCGCATGACAACTCTGGGCGTGCTGGCGGTAGGGACGGTTTTAAAAATGAGCATATTTCCAGTCAATCTGCAGCTTCACGCTGCACCACTTGTCATTCTTCAGCTTCTATCCTGTGCAAAAGTATCGTATTCGTATAAATGCAACCTCTGCATTACAAATCTTTTTCTGAATGCAAATCCGCACTACAAACTTTATTTCTGACGCTGAGGAAATTACTATTTAGACTGCAGCAAACCAGAACTTTTGAAGCTTTGGGGTATGTTCTGGGGTATGCAAAGTGGCTGCCTAGCATCGGGATTCGTAATTTGCAGGCCACACCCCAAAACATACCCCAGACACACCCCCGACACACCCCAGACACATCCCCGACACACCCCCCCGACAAGAACTGCTGAAGCTTTGGGGTGTGTTCTGGGGCATGCAAAGTGGCTGCGTAGCATCGTGATTTGCAATTTGCAGGCCACACCCCGAACACACCCCGGACACACCCCAGACACACCCCAGACACACCCCCGACACACCCCAGGCACACCCCCGGCCCACACCCCCGACACACACCCCAGACACACACACACACACCCGACACCCGCCAGGCACACCCCGGGGCACACTCCCGAACACACCTCGGGGAAAAAGCTGGACACACCCCCGAACCGACCCCGGGCGCTTTCGGACGCGACTCCGATCGGCATGGCCAGTGAGTGTCAACACAGATAAGCAGGCCCACTCGAGGGGGTGGATCCCGCGAAGCCACTCGCCGCCGTGCCTTGGGGTGTGTTTGCTGCTGGTGTGCCCCGTGCATAGACATTCCGGGCGCGCCGACCTAGCAAGCCCCACGCGGGGGCCTTTTCTGCGACAACAAAACAAGCGCGCGCCCGGCTGAGAAACAAGGCGGGCGCGTATCTATGGGCCCTGCATTTTTCTGCAAAGGCCGCAGGGGGCTGCTTTTATTCTATGCACACGCGCCACCACCCAGGCCAGTAGACCAAGGAAGCAGGCACGCCGGGCGCGTCCGCTTTTATTCCAGACCAAGCACATCAACAGTGAGTGGGCCCGCTGGGCGCAAACACGCAGGAACAGAGAGCGGCGGGCGCGCAGACATTCCAGGAGGCGGAAGTCCCGAACCCCCGTAGGCGGCCCCGCCCCCGTCTGGGCATGGGCCTCCAAGGTGGCGCCATGTCAAAACATTTGGGAGGGAGCGCTTCCCGGGCACCGCAGGCAAGGCCCGCGGCCGGCCGGGCAAGTGCCCAAGGCCAACGCGAGGACCCCGTGTCCGCCCGCGCCATGACCGGGGGCGAGCTCTCGGTGCCTGCATCCGTCCCGGAGGGAAATCCCCATGGCCCGGGCGCCAAAGCCCTAGATCAACGGGGGGGCCCTGTCCCAACGAGCGTCGCCCCATGACGGAGGGGCTACCTAGTCACGGGCCCTGCGTGCCTGCCCGGACACCGCACGGCCCAAGGGCAAAAGCCCTAGGTCAGCGAGGCCGCTCTGTCCCCGCGCCATGACCTAGGGACGGGCTTTGAGCGCTTCCCGGGCAGCGTGCCTGCGGCCCAGGGGCAAAAGCCCTAGGTCAGCGCGGGGACTCTGTCCCCGCGCCATGGCCTAGGGGCCAGCTGCAGGGAAGCGCTTCCCGAACACGGCCCCGGGGCAAAAGTCCTAGGTCAGCGCGGGAACGGGCCAGCTGCAAGGAAGCGCTTCCCGAACACGGCCTCGGGGCAAAAGCCCTAGGTCAGCGCGGGGACTCTGTCCCCGCGCCATGACCTAGGGGCCAGCTGCAAGGAAGCGCTTCCCGAACACGGCCCCGGGGCGAAAGCCCTAGGTCAGCGCGGGGACTCTGTCCCCGCGTCATGACCTAGGGGCCAGCTGGATGGACGCGCGCGATGCCTCCCGGGAGCCGTACGGCCCAGGCGCCAAGGCCCTAGGTCAGCGTGGGGACTCTGCGGCCGGGCCCTTGCTTTCAGTATAGCGCAAAGTTTTGAAATTTCTGGTGTGCTGTCCACGTCCGTGCAAAGGGCGCCCCGTCCTACGACGTGCGCCCCGTCCTGCAAAGGGCGGGAAGGTCGCTGCACGGGGGCCCCCGCCCCCGTGCCCTGACCTTGTTTGTAATGCATTTATACGAGTACGATACCTTTGCAGTTCATAGCTTCCCGTCGTTTTGGATGTTCACCGAGTTCATGTTTTCTTCGCAAATCATCAACCCGCCGCGTGTCACGGTGAACTGCACGCCAACCCTCGCGTCAGGAAGGATTCGGTTTTCGATTTTCTTCTCCGTGAAAACGACGCAGGCATTTTGGAACTCGATTTTGCCTTGCATCGTGAACGTAAATTCGATCGTATTGGGACGGATGAGGAGAGCAGAAGCACTGTCACTTGTTTGGGTTGTTGTTGAGCTTGTAGTTTCACTTGCGTGTGGTCCACCGCCTCGAATGTTTTCGCCGTCGAAAAAGCAATGATACAACCTATGAACTGCAAAACTATCGCACTCGTAAACGTACTAGTAATTGCAGTCATTCATTTATACAAATCTTGTTCTCAAGGGAAAACCGCATTACAGATTTCATTTCTCATGCTGAGGAAATTTGTAATGCGTTTATACTTGGAATGTACGATCCTTTTGCAGTGCATACAACCCCGTGCAATGCGAATTCGCCGCGCCACCAACGAGTTGCAGACAGGGCGTTGCTATGCATATGCAAAAGTATCATGATAGTAACCGTAACGAGCAGTTGAAGTTATCGCATCAGAAATTTTAACGGGATGAACATTATCAAAACTGTATAACTAAATTTGTCATGCTAAAATATAGTTCAGAAAAGAATCTTCTCATGCACGCCTGCACGACACTTTTGCACAGGATACTCGCGATCTGTGGGCACTGTACCGGGTGTTTCACGATCTTCGCGGAGATCAAAGTTGGTTTCAGCTTGTTTCCCCGTTCGTCCTCGAAATTTGGCCCGGGGAGCCAGGTGGGGCCGTTGCTCGTTTTGGACGATGCGAAGGTGGAATTCGGGCTATCTCCTGTGATGCTGTACTTTGTAAAATCTTCGGCGAAATCAAATGCGACGCTCTGGTTTAAAACGTGGGTGAGGTCATTTTGCAGGTCTTTGTCAAGCTCATCATCTTTTTTCGGGGCAACTGCACTACCGCTGCGGATCCCTTCGTCCTGTAGTTGCTGTTTGTTTTTCCGCTCCCGTTCCCGAAACAAGCAGCTTGGCGCGGCAAGGTGGAAAGAGTCGTTGCTAGCGCCGTCAAATGGCCCTGGTCGTGAGAGGTTAATATGCGCCGGGGCAAAATGAATCGTCGCCAGTTGATCCTCAGGGATGAAGGGATCGCCGTTACTGTCCGTACTAGTAGTCGAAGCTGTACTAGCTGGTGCCATCGTGAAGAAGATGAGTTGCGTCTTGTTCGAATCCTTGTTCAACATCCCCAACAGCCCTTTCTGCCGTAAAATTTCTCCGAAATATTCCAAAACACTCGTCACGTCAAGCGTGCCGCAGAGGAAGCAAAGTTTCTTGCTGCCGAAAATCATGTTGTTTGGAGCCGCAGTTGTGCTGTCTCCTGCAGAGCTGCCATTACCAGACAAAACAGGCTGGATTACCGACAACAGGAGTCCCTCGAGCGTAGCTTGCGTCCGATTCAAGAAGGAATCCGCTAGGACTTGGTTCACGTCGATGACACAAGTTGTGTTCTGCTTCTGCTCTTGTCCTCGTCCACCGGACGATGATGTCGCGCTCACAATGCACGCTGCAAACTGTTTCAGCTGTTGCTGCAGCAGCAAACTGCTACTGTTCTTCACACAACAAATCACATGCTGCTCCCCCCGCTCCGCCTGGACCAAACAGTCGTAGACCTCCGAGAAAGTGGAGCATTTTGGTGCGATCATGGGTAGCAGGTTGGTTGTGAAATCCGTTTTTCGGAGGACCAAACCCTGGTAAATCAGGGATAGAAGTAAGGGGAGGATTTGATGTTCTGCGGACATTGTAGTTGAATTGGAGGCCGCTCCACCGGCTGCCGCTGCTCCTGTGGTCTTGTTCCCCGATGTTGATGCAGCTGCACTGCTACCCGCTTTCGCCTTCGCAAGCGCAGGTGGCCGGGCGGCTTTCGCCGTAGTTGCACTAGATGCTGTTCCAGCACCTCCCGCTGCAGTGGTCGCTGTGCCTTTTATTTGGTTCAAAAGGCTGGCGAACGAATCGGAGAACTTTTTCTCCGCAAGAAGAACGGCTTTGGTTGCTGCATTCTCACTTCCTACGGCTTCATCAGCACCACGACCTCCTCCAAACATGACCGCCTCCAGTTTCGCACACTGCGACAGGCTCAAGGCGAGTGGATCTATGGCCGCGATTTGACGCAGTTGGATTTGTTCCGCCACGGGTCGTAAAAAATCCTCCCCGCTACTTCCGCTAGTCTTCTTCGCGGAAGTTGTAAAATCATCCACAGCCAAATACGCGGAGAAAAGGTTTTTCAACACTGTGCTGCTTTCCTCGGTCAAGAGCTTCGAGCTTTTTTCGAAGACGTCATGTAAGGTGAGTGAGTCACCTGGTTCTGCTTCGTGCGCCCCGTCTGCAGAGTCTTTTCCGAAAAGCTTTTCCGCTTCTAGTTTCGCTTTCGCGTCTTGGAGCGGGAACCAGGATTCATAGCTGTTTTTATTTCCCGCAGAAGCGGACGCAGCTGGAGTCGAGCCGGCTTTGGCTTTCGCGGGTGTAGTAGCTGCTGCGGCGGAGGTGGCTTTCGCCTTGCTTAGAAGGCTCGTTGCCTTGGGCGGCATGGTCGTGCGAGTGTTTGAGTTCTTTGTGTTGTATGTGAGATTATGGAATGCAACTGCTACTGCAAAAAGAAAACTACATATGGAAATTAAAAGCGTCTGCGCTCTCTGGCTATCTTCGCCTCTAGCGTGTTCTAGTAAAGCTCAAGTCCTCAGTGCGGGGACATTTAGGATGACACATTCTTCGAGACCGATGAAGTCGTGCTCCTTGCTGCTAGTGGTAGTGAGAGTGGCTAATGTCGTTCTTCTGTTTGTTCACTCGATAAAAAGTGAAAAAAGTAGCTTGATGTACCTACTACAATAAACAAAACCTCCCCCTCCTCCTGGGTAAAAATACATCCCCCCCACACTAGATGCAACCGAAATTTTGTGTGCATAGATATCATCATCTCGAACAGAAACAAAAACTACTCAACCGATACTGACACTCATTCCACGCCGCCCAAAAAAAAAGCCAACCGATGCAGAACACCCACGAGGGAAGAAAAAACAACCTACAGACTGTCGGCGAACCTAGAAGAGGAAAAAACCCAAGCGAACGCGTCTCATAAAGCAACAGCAACTTCAACCCGACTCAAAAATGTGCAGAAATTTTTCTCGACTCATTTCCACGCCCTGCCGTCGATCGGTTTTTGAGTACTATGAAAGCTCAACTGCATGATCAAAAATGAGCAGGTGCTATCAAAAGAAATCGCTTCGATTGAGAATTCGGCATTCTCCGGCGGGGCGCCTTGTCATCTTCCCGCCTCCCATTTCTTCTTATTTGATGGTTTTGGCTGGATGATTATATTCCTTGCTTGTTCTCCTTGAAGCGGCAAAAAGAAATATTTGCTGGTCTGTGTTAGCTACGTTGGATCCTACCTCGTAGTTCATTAGGTTCGTAAAAATTTTAGTTGCTTGGCTGCGCTGCTGCCTTTGTCTACTCCCGCAGCACAGTTACCAACGTTGACGATAATCATAATCTCGTCCTCTTCCAAGTAGCGTGATACTAGCAGCGAGCGATCGCTCACTGGTGCCAGGAGAAAGTGTCTTTTTTAAGGCTTTCGTTAAGAGTCTTGCAACCTATTCGGAGGTTGTACATCAATATCGCATTGATGTGTTTTTTTTTGTTTCGATGAAAATTTTTCAAACTTAAAAATGAATAATTCTCGTCGTTTCTCTACCTAGCTTACACCATTGTACAAATTTTGTTAGTTGCTTGTTTTCTTAAAACAAACTACGTACTAGTCGATGTTGACTGATACAATGGCCCTCTGCTCTATTTGCCTGGGTCGAAAAATTCATTTTTTGTTTACGCCTAAAAAGTATAATAGCAATTTTCTAGAGAGCCAGAGAAGATAATTATCCAGTACGTGTACATTTTCGGTCGGTATTTCATTTCATGCTTTCGTTTGTATCATCAAATGTTTGCATAAGAAATTCTAGTAGTACACCAGATCAAGAGCGGTAGAACCACTATCGGCTTCGGTAAATCGACAAAAAATATGATTTGCTACTTCGGAGAAAACCTCGATGAAAAGGCACGGAGATGAATTAGAATTTTTACTCTGTGATGTAAAAAACCTGCTCCTAGTTCATCAGATTTCTATGAAATAGACTGGAATGCAAGGACCTCTCTTCGTCGCATTTTCTTGCCTGCATTTCTGAAAAACATAATTTGTCGGTAATTTGCATTCATCTCTACCCGCACAACTACTGGCATATTCTCATTTCGACGCCGTGATCTAAAGAGAGCAGGATGTGCTCCTGCTCTCTGCTCTAGTAGCAGAAAATACGGCACTCACGCTTTCTAGAAACAAATGATAGTCTGCAATTCGAATTATATACCTCCCTGTACTACTTGTACTGTTTCGGTTTTTGTGTTTTTGTTTTCATTTTCTGCTCCACCTGCTATTTATTCAGTAGCCGTGTTTGATTTCTATAATCATCGAGTATAATTTTTTTGTTGTAGTTCCGATGTAGTTCATTCTACGTTTGTTTTTATATCGGAATTCTTTACGCAGAGCAAAATTTGCTCTCTTGCCTTGAGCTGCAGTAGCTGTAATTGCAGCTACGAACGTGCGCCCTCTATCTTGCATAGGTCTGTCTGTTCCTGTCGCCGCTACAGGTACAGCAGGTGCCGTGCGGACATTGCAGCCACACGCGTCCTCGCTTCTGACCGTGTGCTGCAAAGAAAGCGAAGAGCTGCACATAGATATGAAAAATCGAAAAGTCGTATGAAAATAGCTTGTCAATGAGTTTAGAGTGATCTTAGTCTGTCTTTCTGAAAGAAAACCTGGGTTGTCGAGTAAAAGAAAGTGAAAATCATTCTCAACAACTTCAAAACAGCAAGACTTCAGCAGATTTGGGTGGTTCTACTGCTGACGCTGAAGTTGTGTGGTGGTCAAAAAAAAGACCTTAGACCTATAAGTTATCTACTAGAATTAGTACGTTTTGCTTATCTGGGAAAATAATTCTTCTTGCCACCATGCAGCATCTAAATCTATCGATAGTTATGGACGAAGTGGAGCCACCACCGCTAGCAGCAGGGCCTCCTCTTGTTGATCAATATCATGGTGTTGTAAGAATAAGCATTCTGGCTTGCTGGTCTTCGTGAGACCTGGTTGTTGAGTTTTGCAAAAATCTGATATAAAAAATCTACTTGTTGTTCTTTGTTTTGAGGTGAAGTGTTAAAGTGACCTATAGCAGTTGTTCTCCTGCACACAAGAAAATGCAGGAGTACTAAAAATCGTCGGGAACAATAGTGACTTGATGTACTTTTGTAGTAAAAGAAAACGTCTGTTCGTGACACAGGGACGACTTGTCATAAAGCGCCGTCTTCAACAACACCGCTCTTACGACCATCCGTTGCCCATTCCCATTCCGCCCGGCACGAACGGTGCCGCGTCGGGGTTAATGCCGGCTCCCATGTGTCCAAAAGCGTTCTCGTCCTGAAATCCATGCGGGCCGCCCGGTGGCCCACCCATCGGTCCGCCGCCCATTCCGTTAAAACCGCCGGAATGGTCCATAAACTATGCGTGGCAAAAGCATCTGCATCGAAGTAAGTAGGAATTGCATATACAAATTTTGCGGGAAAGAAAAGTGCAACTTGGACTTGTAATGCTGATTCACGTGAGATAGAGGACTTGTCTTCATCATGCAGTCTATTGAAATTAGCACGAGTACGACTCCGATACTTTTGCAAGTGATACAAATCCCGGCTTGACGATGTTGTTCTGCGGGGGTCCCCCGAACCCGCCCTTCATGTTCATTTCGTTCAAAACCGGATTTTGGCCGTGGTTCGGAGACAAAAACCCGCCCGGACCGCCGCCCGGCATACCGCCAAAGCCATTCTTGCCCATCATCGGGTTCTGCATGTTTCCGCCCGGCGGTCCGCCGTTACCGAACTTGCCCGGCGGCATGCCGTTTCCTCCGTTTCCGAATTTCCCTCCGCCATTTCCGAATTTTCCACCGCCGTTGAACTGTCCGCCCGGCGGCCCGCCGAAGCCGCCGCCGCCCCCCTTGTATCGTGTGCAAAAGCATCGCGGTACTCGTACGAATTGCAAATATGCATGACAAATCTTCGTCCTAGGGTGCAACAGCATTACAAATTGCATTTGTCATGCTTAGCAAACTTGTGATGCAATTTATACTACGTACGATGATTTTGCATTGCATACCTTGTTGCCGCCGCCAAAGCCGCCCTTTCCGTTGCCAAAACCACCCTTGCCGCCGCCACTGCCTATCGTAGGGAAAAATCCCCCCGCCTCATATTGTGATGCTGATCTGTGACCATAAATCGACTTGTATTGCTAGAAGGCCAAGAGACGCAGGCGCTCCCTCTTTTGCAGGCAATTTGCCATGCTGTTTCCCGTTTCCAGTTGCTTCCTGTCATACTGAAGCCGCAAGGCTTTCCAACGCCAGCTATCACTACAGTCCGCATGATCTCTTCCCTTCTAGCATGACCACGTGATTTGTGATCGCGAATCATGCTACACAAATCTCCCTTTGAGTATGGGGAGGGGGGAACAATTTTCCTCTTAATACCGCCCTTCTTGCCACCGCCAGATCCGAAGCCCTTGGCCTTTTATGGATTGCAAATATCCCTGGATGTCTGGAAGAGAGGAACTTATAATGCTGTCTGAGGCTTCTAAAAAAAAAAAATATCTGTGTTCTTGCATGAGCAGTAAGGGGAGTCAGTTCTTGGCACGTCGCGGAAAGGGCATTTCCCATGCGTAATTACTTAGCATCAAGAAGCTCTCAAAAATAAATCTGTCATGCTAGCACCAGCATCACAGACCTCACGGGTGATGCAAAATGTGCATGACAAGCCGCGACTCTTCCAGACATCCAGGGATTTTTGCAGTTGATACCTTTCTGAAGTGCGCCATGTCGCCCGCTTTGGATTTCTCGTCCCGCAGCCACTGATCCACGTCGAGATTGGCCTGCTCCTATGAACTGCAAAAGTATCGCACTCGTAGTTGTAATTGCAGTTTTATGCATTACAAATCGAAATCTCCATCCCAAGGTGAAACAGCATGCTGAGCTAATTTGTGATGCAATCACTACTAACGCGATGCTTTTGCACAGGATAGCTCCAGTGTTTCTACGAGGTCCGGGGCAATCATGGTATCGGAGTCTTTGTTGCCGTGTGTGACAAAGAAACTGACGGAGATGTATGCACAGAAAAAAACCCATCCACATCCAATTTGTCATGCAAAACACGTACCAAGCCCGTTGCTTGTCATGCAAAAAATGGATGGGGATGGGGTTTTTTCTGTGGATAAGATGCCGCGATTTCCTACTCGCCCGGTTCGCCCGATGCGGTGGATCTGGAGGGTTGTTTGGAGATGTATTTCGTGTTATTTATACTATTTTCATTTCACAAATCACTAGAGCAGCTGATTTCATCTTGCATGGCTGAGTATAAAGTGGTAGACAAAAATCGCACTACAGCTGGCGCTTCGAAGATTAAGTATGCTTGACAATGAAAGACAGACTTATCGTAGTTCAATACAGAATCTATATGCAACACAAATCCAACTTAACTATCTCTATACGTATCCATCCATGGCTTTCGGCATGTCGAAGTTAATCACTTTCGCCACTTTCGGCACATCTAACCCTCTCGCGGCCACCTCGGTCGCGAGTAGGACCGGCTTCTTGCCCGTCTTAAAAAATTCCAGTGCCTTTTCTCGCTGCTGCTGGTCTAAATCTCCGTGAATCGAAGTTGCCCTGGCTTCCCCAGCGTCATGCAGCTGTTGGGCAAGGTAGGCGCAGGTCTTTTTTTGGTTCACAAAAACCAGGACCTGATAGAAGTTTAGTTTGAAAAATGTTGATCTGCGCATGACAGAGTTGTCTTTCAATGCACGTTTATGCATGACAAAGTTCGTAGTTTTCGGAGAATCTTATTTGTCAAAAAGTTTTCCAATACGTCACAGTACCTTATCGTCCCCACTCTCGCTCCTTCCAATCTCCGCATATGAAGTGTCAAAATGTCTGGGTCTGGAAGGTTGGAACTTGTCATGCTAAATCTGAATCATGTCAAAATCTGTGTTGCATGAGTGCCAAAAGCTGTCCACTTTTGACCTAATCGAGAGGCAGTTTCTCATGCAGGATAGGCATGATAGAACTCTCACGGAATCTGTCATGCTATGTCCTCCATACCAGACCTCATGGGTCATGGAAAACCTGCATGACAAGTCTGGCATTCTTCCAGACCCAGACATTTTTACATTTGATACCGCAAATAAATGCTCAATCTTCTCTTCCTCCGTATGCACCGGAATAAAATGCTGCTCCACAGTTTCCGCCGCTGCGCCCACTCGACCGACCGTATCCAAGAAAAAAACTGTGTTTGTGTAACTATCTTTGGCTGACAGCATCACAAATTGGCTCTACATGACAGAGAAAACCTGTCATGCGTGGTTTGTAAGGGAAAACACACATGAAAAGAGGACTGCGTGGCTGTCTGGCAAGACAGGTGTAACTCCGTTGCAGGTTCTGCATCGCAGATTTACACTTCTTACGCAGTTTTCTTCTTGCATAGACCGTGATAAAGGTGTAATCCTGCTTCAGAAAGCGTCCGGCGAGTTCCCGAATCTCTTGCGGGAAGGTCGCGGAAAAGAACATAGATTGCCTGAAGGTTTTGTTTTTTACTTACACCACGATTTTTACATTTACAAATTCGTTCTGCATAAATGTGAAATTTCAATGTGCACCCTAGCATGACAAATTCGTTTTCCCGTCATGAGGAAGGAGCAGTTCTTACCTCTCGTCCCTCCCGGGCATGTCGCGTTTTTCGACGATGTCGGAAATCTGCGGCTCGAAGCCCATGTCCAGCATTCTGTATAAGAGTGCACAACTCCCCCTCGTTCTCATTTCTCATGCAAAATCTCAACTCCAATTGCTCCCCTGCGTCACTATTACGCATGACAGATTCCGGAAGGCCAAACAGTACTACACTAAAACTGCATGAATTTGTCATCCACAGGCTCCATGAGTGCTGGTGTTTGTGCTGCTGTATCATGCAATACAAATGAAGAGGAGGGGGGTTGTGCACTCTCATATTCTGTCCGCCTCGTCCAAAACTAACATGCGGCACAAATCCAAAGAAATCACGTTCCTCTCCAAAAAATCCTTCATTCGCCCCGGTGTATGCATTGCAAAAGCATTGTGCTAGTAGTAATCGCATTCATGCATTACAAATCTTTTTCTTAAGGTAAATCTGCATCAGAAATTTCATTTCTCATGCTGAGGAAATTTGTAATGCATTTTTTATACGAGTGCGATACTTTTGCATTGCATACGGTGTCGCGATTAACAAGTCCGCATTTGCGGCCAGTTCCGTCAGCTGCGGCTTGGCATCCACGCCGCCGTAGCACTGCACACACCGCATCCCCGCCTGAAACGTGATCTTCCGCGCTTCGAAATGGATCTGGGTACACAGCTCTCGGGTTGGCGCCAGGATGACGGCGAGGGGTTTGGCCGGACCCTGCCAAGCTTCCGGGCTGGCGCGGCTGTTGTGTTCGGATTTTTCAGTTGGTTTTGATGTGATGTAAGTAGACAAATCTAGTACTTGAATTTGTCGTGCAGAACTGACATCTCGCTTGGTTCAACATTTCATACCGATACGAACTGGATGACAAACTTACAACCACAGACATGATAAGTACCGATCCGCCGCTGTCTGCTGGATGTTCAAAGCCACTGGGATTAAGAACGCGCAAGTCTTCCCGGACCCGGTCTGCGCACAGGACATCAAATCGGAGCCCTGCATGCTGATATGCAATGCAAACATGAAATCTGGGAGGTCTGGAAGAAAGTAAAAGGTTGTTATCGACTAAGTCTGGCTGGTAGAAATAAAATCTGTTTAGCATGAAAAGCTGAATCTGTCCAATTATCGCCGTCTTCAGAATGGATTTCGATTTCTCCTGGTGGATCGTAGGTACAGAGAAGCATTAGAACATAAATTTGTGATGCTTCGCTTTCCATTCCAGACAACGCCTGGCATGATGCAAAAGCTGCGCCGTAATGAACTTGCGCATTGTCCCAGACCCAGACATCATGTTTGCACTGGATAGCTGATTCCCACCGTGTATTTCTGGATCGGGGTCGGTCGGTCGTACCTGATTCGATGAAGACAAACGGAAATGATGATCTGTCATGCGGAAACAGCAAGAGCAAACGGAACTTGTCATGCAAAACAAACACAACAACATCTCTACTTGCATTTCTCCATCAAGTTAACCCGCAGCCAGTCCGGGAACTGGTGCTTTTGCGCTGCCGTAGCAAATATGAACTGCAAAAGTATCGCACTCGTTGCAATTGCAGTCATGGATTACAAATCTTTTCCTAAAGCAGGTAAATCCGCATTACAAATTTTTATTTCAATTTCTCATGCTGGTGAGGAAATTTGTGATGCGATTTCTACTAGTACGATACTTTTGCCTTTCATAGCAAAGGACTCCATGCCTTCGATGATCTGGTGCTTTGTTTCTTCCGAAGACACCCCCTCGGATATCGGAGTGCACATAGCCCCCTTTATGATGATCCCCTGCATTTGTATAGCATGAGCAGCAACAGAAACAACAAACAGAGATGTAGCTTCTGCATGACAAGTAGTCCAGAAATTAGCTATACGTACGGTTTGGAGTTCTGGTGTAGCTTGTCATGCAAGTAAAGCCTACAAGGCAACGGCTCGGATTGCATTTTTGCATGACAAACGAGGGTGGTGGAGCAGGGGGGGCTAAATGCACTACCATATCGGCACCCTGGATTTTCACCTCCACTGGAATGTTGTCGTACCTCGAGAAATCCACACCCATCTCCGAGTATGCCTTGCAATAGGTACCGTAAACTTGTAGTAATTGCAGCCATGCATTACAAGTCTCTTTCCTCAAGGCAAATCTGCATTACAAATTCTTTCTCCCATGCTGAGGAGATTTGTCATGCGATTTTCATACTAGTAGTAGTACGATACTCTTGCAATGCATACCGAGTGTTCCACGTTGAAAAGTTCCTCCTCGTTGTCAATGTGGACATCCTTGAGCATGCGGGACTGCTTGTTGTGCTCCTGGCAAATCTATCAATTGCAAATACGTCTGGGTCTGGAACGATGCCAGGTTTGTCATGCACATTTTGCATGACTCCTGATGTCTGTGATGCATGCCCTAGCATCACAGACTTTGAGAGGGCTTCCTGATGCCTATACCGTATCAGAAATGCCCTCTCACCATGGGAAAAACTGGACCTCTTTTGCTGTTCATGCAATACAGATTTTTGTGGAATCCAGATGCAGCATCACAAGTTGCATCCTTCCAGATCCAGACCCAGATGACACACTTGCAGTTGATAAAATCATGAAGTGCTGGTCCTCCCGGGCCGCCTTTGCGGCTTTCATGTCATCATGGTTCTGCCGATGCGAGTTTTTCCCCTTTCCGCCGCCCTTCTTTCCGTCGCCCTTGCCTTTACCTAAGTGACATTTTGATGAAGTGATGGTCTTATTTTGCATGACAACCTCCTGCAACTTAAACACGCATGGCAGACATGCGAGATCCATGATGGAGGGTCATCCGCACCACAAGATTAGATAAAATCTCATTATGGTGTTGGTTTTACTGTCGTGTACCTGGCAGAAAAACACGACATAATTTTAAGTACCCTTTCCGCCACCAAAGCCGCCTCCGCCCTTCTTTCCGCCGAACCCGCCACCATTCTTGTCGAAGCCACCGCCAAAATTGTCAAAGCCACCCGGAGCTCCGCCACCCCACATGGTCGATGTTCCTGGTCCTGAGAAGGTGGTACTGGCGCTTCGCTTGGGATGCGTCGGTTGCGGAACAGAGGTAGTAGTCCCCTGCTGAGATTTAGATTTTCTCGCCCTACACAACTTCTGGTGGTTGAAAAACGACTTGTGCTTATTGTTCTTGTTATGTTGGGTTATCTTTCTAGTGGTGCGAACTGTATCGACAAAGAACAATGCAGCGGATTCCTATTTGGTTGTTTGGTAAAACGACGAAAAGTATTGTGTGTGGTGGAGCGGACCTGGATTTTTTCACAGACAGCTCTAAAGAAATGGCCTGCAAGAATAAACGCAGGAGAATATCGCTAAATCAAGAGAACAAGAACTGTGTTGACCTGGGTGATTAGTTTTTGAAATTTCAGTACTTGTACTGCAGTATGAGCAGATACTAGTAGCGCACCAGCTTCGACAAAAAGAATATAACCTTCTAAGCCCGCGGCGGCTCGTCCGTAATAAAATCTTATTGAAGTATATCTAGGTCTTGCGGTCGTGGTCTTGTCCGATAGAAGAATAGCAATACTTTGATCTTTCGTCGCATCTTCATGCTGAGGTGACGGGAAACTGGGCTAAAGCTAGATCGTCAAGTATTAACGGCGCAATATATAGACGAGCTCGGTTGCAACTACGTCAGAGCCTTAAGCTTTATTCGCTTTTTAGAAAAAACGGAAAAAAAGATCCACGATGGCCGAACCGGCTCCGCCGCTAGTAACTGCACAGAGAAAATAAACGTCGCAGAGCTTCTTCAACTACCTGTTCTACAACACTTCTAGCGGATCTTGTTCCTGACTTGCGTCCCGTACCATAATTGCCATTGGCAACTGGCCGTGGTCGGATCTCTATCTACAAGCCTGGTCACATTGGTGTAGAAAACTGAACGCAAAACTGCACTCTGTCAATGCGAAGATTTGACTTTTACTCTGATTCAACCAACTTTCCTAAAGCTCATCGTGACTTGCACTTTTTTGCACCGTTGCATGACGCTGATGTACCAGCAATTTGTCTTTTTTTTCTCGTCCAAGATCAGGTTTTATAAAAAACCAGGTCCAATCTGCGTCTACATAGAGTTTCCAGTCTTCGGGCAAGTATAGCCGCATGAAATCCATGACAGCCTTTGTCACCTCTATATTCGACCCGAAATCGTGGCCGCCAATAATCCCCGTTTTCTCCTTCACCAGCGGGTACCAATATGTAATGTCGTTGAAGGTCGCCTCGTACCGATGGTCGCCGTCGATGAAGACGAAATCTATGGAGGCAGAAGGTGCATTTATTCTTGCAGTGTTAAAACCATTTTCGTCGGCGCCGTCAGTTGCAGGAGCTCGTGTTGTATCAGTATCGCCACTTTCAAACAGTATCCTTTTCATCTGCCGCGCCCCCTCCTCACTCGTCTTCTCCAGCAGCCGAGCCCGTTTCTGGAAAAACCCGATCTTGCTCCGGGCACCGTTCCGCGCTTCTAATAATGCTTGGGCGAAAGACTGCTTTTTCTCCTCTTCTGATTCGGTACTAGTTTTTGCAGCGGCGTTTTCATCTACTTCCGAAAGGTCTTGTTCCCCTGGTGTTGTCGAAGAAGAAGAAGATGCTGTCGCTGACTCTGGAAGTGCCTCCCCAGGCGTTGTTCCGCCGTTATCAACACTCCCTTGTTCCTTCTCCTTTTTTTCTTCAATCTGGTCTGTGAACAGCCCCTGAAACTCGTAGTCCTCCGCTTCGAACTTGTACGGGTCCACGCCGAAATACTCCACAAATGGACAGGTTTTCAGCACACTGTATGCTAGCCGACCCTGAAACACCCCGACCTCGACAAATTTCAAAACCGTTTGCTTCACGTATTGGGATTCTAGTCCGTGCGCGATGCTGTCCTGCATCACCTCCGCGCTTGGTTCAGAGGGGAAGACTCTCTCGTCGTGGTAGTCGTATTTGGAATTATCGAAGTACCAGGGGACTGCCCTAGAATTATGTGAATAATCGTCGTGGTGGCTTCTAGAAGTGCTTCTTGACCCTGCGGCGGCCCCTGCTTCTAGAATTCTATTTTCCCCCTGGTTCTGCTCTTTCTCCTCCACCTTCCGTAGCCACATATGCATTGCAAAAGTATCGCACTCGTATAAATAAATGCATTACAAATATCCTCAGCATGAGAAATGAAATTTGTAATGCGGATTTCCCTCAACGCCTAGATTTGTAATGCATAACTGCAATTAGTACAAGTACGATACTTTTGCAATGCATACCACATGGACTTCAACAGATCCGTCACGACCTTCACCCGGTAAAACCGTGGTATTTTGTATCAAATGCAAATATGTCTGGGTCTGGAACTTGTCATGCACATTTTGCATGACCCATGATGTTTGTGATGCATGCCCTAGCATCACAGGCTTTTTGAGGGCTTTCTGATGCAGCGTACTATACTGCATGACAAATGCCCTCTCCGCGTGGTACAAAGTCGACGCGTCGTGCTGGTCATGCAGCACAGATTTGTTTAGAATGCGAAGACAGCATCAGAAGTTGCATCCTTCCAGACCCAGACATATTTGCAATGCATATTTTGTTCTCAAATACAATCCTATCCGGTGAGCACCCTTCCATAAACGACCACCGGAGGCATATCAAAAGGAAAAATCCCCCCTCCCCATATCAAAACGAAATCTCTGATGCTGGATTTGAGTACACAAATCAGCTTTGTATTGCAGGAAAGCATTGCAGACAGATCCCCAGGCTAGGTAGGGGCGTATGCGTCTAGTTGTTCAGCATGGCAAGCGGCTTCCCTTTAGGCCCAACAACATGACAAATCGCTTCCATAATGGGGCGGAAGCTTCTGCCCTTGTCTTCTTGCAAAACAAATGTGATTTGTGACCTCAAATCAGCAACACAAATTTTCGGAAGCATGCCGTTTCAATATGGGGAGGGGGGATTTTTCCTCTCAATAAGGCACGCGACGTTGAGAAAATTAAACCTCCACTGGAACAAACGGCGAAAATTCACCAGATTTTCCACCAGTGTCAGCATCTCCGGCGCGAGAAACCCGCCCGCGTGGAACTTTGTGCTATCGGAGAAGGAACTGTAGGTTTGCTTGTACAAATGGAGTTCCGGGAGTTTCGAAACCAGTAAGTCTTTCATTCGATTCGCGATAATCACCGGAATGCTGTCGTCGATCGGTTTGAGGTATCCCGTGCAAAAGAAGTAGTAATCGCAATCATGCATTACAAAAACAAATCTGCATCCCAAGGTAAAACAGCATGGCAAATTCCACTTGTCAACATGCTGATCGAATTTGTAATGCGATTTCTACTTAGTACGATGCTTTTGCGCTGTGCATATGAGCTTCAACTTGTTTTCCGGATCCGTCATTTTCATCTCCTCATCGTCGTCAGAGGCTGCCATTTTCGCCAGCGCCATTCTTTTCCCGGAAACAAGCAGTTTATGGTAGTAGTCGATAAAAAACCTCGGCAGCTCCAAAGCGAGCCGGTCCAGCGGATATCCTGAGTAAAAACGTCCCCACACCAGACCGAGATGGGGATTTTGCAACACAAATCGAGAAGTTTTGGGAGTGAAGCATGACAAGTTCGTATCTCTATTGTAGTGCAGTGTAGCAAGTACAACCGCAACACAAATCTATCTACTCATCCTGTTTCGAGCATTACAAAGTCTAAAACACGATTGGCAATGCGATGCCTCTCATGGGGACGCGCATTACAAATCTTCCTGTGACTGGAAATCTGCATGACAACTCTGCGGTGGGGACGTTTTTGCTCAGGATAGCGGGTTTTCGTTGGTCAGTTTCTCCGTGCCACACAGGAGGTACACCGCCACGCAGGAGAGCAGCGTGCAAGAGACCACCGTGTCGGTTTTTTCGACAACGCGCTTCTTCGGCCACATGCAGTCCTTACTGTCGAAGAAGAAACTATCCGCCAGCACTTCCGGAATGTCCTGACAAAGCTGGCAGCCGCGGTAGAGTTTGTTCGGAGTGGGGTCAAGGAGTCCGTGGTGGTGCTGCGGCGGGAGCTGCTGGTCATCTTGATGTTGTTCCTGTGCGTTTACAAGAACTCCTGCGAAGGTAAGAAAAAACGACGAGTTTCTGTTCCAGCGGGAGAGCAGGTGGAAGAGAAACGACAAAACGCAGTTCCACCGCTCAGACCTACGTAGTGAAGGAGCCATCTTCATCTTCAAGTCCAGCCTCAGTATGAATAATTTTCGACATCAAAATGCTTGACTCTCCTTGTTGATAAAACCCCGCCGGAAAAAAGGAGCGAGCCTAAAAAAAAATTGCATTGCGGATTCGGGGGCGTTGCGCATGGAGAAAAAGAGGGGCCGAAAAAAAGCCCTTTTCCTCGCGACTAGTTTTCGACTAGGTGTTTTCCCTCGGTGACCAACCGAAACATCTTGAGATCGGGTTCGGGAAGAAGTAACAACCACTGCCGCAGAAAAATCTCCACCTAGTAGGTTCGATCTTGTGAAACGGTATTGGGAAAATGATGACCACCTCTTCTTTTCTTTTCACTGTTGCGTTTTGACAAAAGGAGTATCGAGTTCATATAATGCGGTGCGTAATCGCACCAATCAAGCATTACAACTGCGACAAAAACGAGAACGAGTTGTTCATGTTCGTGGAGTGATGACATTACGAAACTCATGCTCGTGCTGTCTGGAAAATTGCAAAATTGTTTGTAGTCACATACTGAAAAGAGAACGCGATCCTCACAAAAACAAAGGAAAATCGAAACAGGGCCCTGTCGGGGTCATTTAAATACATTTGGATAGTGTACATCAAGTTCTAGGACATTAACCACAAGGATTTTCTACAGTGCTATCATTTGCACGAACCAAATCGAAGAAACGCGAACGGCAGCACTGGAAATAACTTATATCGCCTCGTCGTCGAAAAGGTTTCTACTCGTCCTCCATCGGAACTGCAGCACCCACTGCAGCGTAGTTGTTCTCAGGATTGACTATTACCGCTGCATGATGGGCACTAGTGTCGTCGCAGCCTCCTGGCCTTCTTCGTTCCTCCCCAACTATCGCGTTTTCGTTATTCTCCTCCTGACAGCACAAAAACTCGAGCACCTCCGCCGCCAATTCGCCCTCGTACCCGGATTTTCCCAAGTCGCTTCGGCACAAACACACGACCTGCCAGAACGCGGTCCCAATCGGGTCCTGCACTTCCGCTGAGTGGAGTTGCGTTTCGAGGATTTTCAGCTTTCGGTCTAGTTCGGCCAACTCTTCCTGCCTCCTGTCGATGTCCGCCTGGTGGTAGCTCAGCGACATCCTGACTAGTAGCGGGCGATGGAGGAATTCCAATCTTTGGTTGTTGAAATGTTTCTGCTGCAGCTCTGCATCAGAGGAAGAGGAGGAGGAGGAAGGTAAGTTCATGTTGGTATTGGTTTGGAGTAGATGCTGGTGCCCTCCCGCTCCCGTATCAAATGCAAATATGTCTGGGTCTGGAAGATTGCGGGACTTGTTATGCTAGTCTGGCATGACTTCTTTGTCAACTGTATTGCGTGGCCACCAGGAGGTCCTCCCGCCTGTCATGCAATACGCAGCTTCTCATGCAAAATACACAGCACAGAAGCACGAAAAGAGTTGTCATGCTTGGTGGCGCATTACAGAGCACTAGCTGTTCACGGACTCGCATCACAAGTTTCCAGACCCAGACATATTTGCATTTGATATCCTGCTCTGCTCGCCAGGTACCGCTGCTCGCCGCTGTCTGCGTTGAACCGTAAAAATGGGAGATGGTCCGCCGGATGTAAATTTTCTTCGTGAATTATGAAAAGTGCACAACCCCCCCTCTGCTCCTCATTCGCGATGCGCGAGCAGCAACACAAGCAACGTGAGAAGTGGGCACTTCGCATCACAAATCTGCACATGGATTGTAGTACGGTGTCAGTTTCATCCAAAATTTGTCATGCAAACAATGTTGCTTCAACGCAAGAGTACAGGTGGACGTGGAGTCGGCGTTTTGCATCACAAATGAGGGGAAAGGGCAGTTTTGCACGCTCGTATTCATTTTCATCCGGTTGATCAGAAACAGCTTCTCCCTGGCCGCGTTCCGTTTTTCGATTGCAGAAAGCAAAGTCTGAAGAGCCTTGTCTCGATACAGTTGCCACTGCGCGAGCTTCTTCTGTGCTAGTTCCAGTCGGGTTTTGCGGAACTGGTTTTTTTGGGGCAGCAGTGCAGAGTTGATGTTGTTTTGAAGAGTGGACAGTCCATCGTCGATGGCGGTGGTGGTAGTCCTGCATGGAGCAGGACAGCACGAGCTTGAAGATGCAGAAGATTTATCATTTTCCAAAGCAGAGGTCGACCAGGACGACGACGACCCACCCACTGTAGTTGACTGCGCATGCACTGGAAGACCCTCCTGTACTACTGCATCAGGCGTGCTCGACGGCTCCGCTGCTTCTTCTTGTGCTAGCTCCTCTTCTTCACCTACGCCAGTCGCCCCTGCGGCCCGCTTCCTTTTGCTACAACCAGTCGAAACCAGCGCCAGTCCCTGTTGCTTCCGTTGTTCCAGCGCCTCACAGGCAACTTGGAGCTTTCTGCCAAGGCTTTTCACTTCGGCCAGGTCCTTTGGCGACGCCTGCAGCGTGGTGGAGGCGCCCATAAATGACTGCGCCCATAGATGCGCTGGCGTGAGGAGGTTCGGCTCCCCGAGTAGTTGTTTCTCCACGGTTAGACAGTGCTGCGCTAGATACTGTTCCCGAAGTCTCGGGAAAAGCGGGAAATTCCGGGGGTCGTCTGGTTTTTCTTGATGAGCGGGGTTTACGTGTTGTTGTGGAGGAGGGGGATGTGAGTGTTGTGTTGATGTGCTGGAGCATGAGGAAGATTCGCTATGTTGATTTCCTGCTCTACTTTCTTCCGCTTGCAATCTAAATCCATCTCCGCTTCTATGATCAAGTGGCCCAAAGCCGCGGTGGGGGGCAGTATGGAACGGCGCTGTGGCTGCGGACTGCATTGGGGTCCTCGCGTCTTGCATCGTAGAAGCAGTTGTGGCCACGAAGCCCGTGAACGGGTTGTAGAGCATCGCCATCCCAATGGCCAGCACACTGCGGAAAATGGTAGGCGCCACGACCCGCAAGGGGCTGCAGATTGATGAAAACGAGAGAAACATCACTGCCATGCTGTTTCTTACCATGCTAGGGGGGGGGCGAGCTAGAATTGCAGTTCTTGTCGCTCGTGCCAGGCTTTCGTCATGTAGACATATTGTCGTAACAGGGGGGGGCAGTGCTTTCCACGACTCTAGTTCGCAGAAACCCCGGCCGGGACTCATTAACGCCATTCACTGCGACGAATCCAGTGCGAACGAACGCAGGCAGGGCGCAGACATACTCCATCTGTTCCTTCTTCCATCCATGTCCGAAGATCCGGCGCGAGAACACATCAGTCATCTACACAACCCAATGAACACCCTTTAAGCAAAGGGCCGCAAGTGCAGCCCGACCGTAGTTGGCGCATGCATGCAATGGCTCGCTGCGGCAGACTGGAGGCCAATAGGTCTGGCTGCTCCCTCTCCCAAACATGCAAATAGATAAAACACGCAGGGGGGGGCAACAAAAAAACACGGCGACGGCAGCGCCCACGGGCGCTCGCGCCTGGTACGCCCGACCGGGCGAACTTCTTCAACAATGGCCCGCGCGCAAAGGTGGTAGCTTCCCCGCCCAGCTCGCGGTCTTCGCCGCCCCACATACCACATACCACGGACCAGAGCCAGCGGCCAGGCCAGTGCTGCGATAGCCCGACCCCTGCTTTTGACAACGGGAAGAGCCCGCCTCTGACTGCACCCCCCCCCCCGCCCGCGCCGCTGGCCCCAAGGCCGAGCGCGGCGCCCCGGGCGGGTCCGCGGGAAGGCAGCTACCCGGATGCCGGCCGCCCGGGTCTGCCTCGCCGGCTGGACTGTTTGCCGGGAAAGTGTGTCGCGGCCTTGCTCGTGCTGTCGGGCATGTTTGTGCCCCTGGAGAGCGACCCGCGGGCCCACTGCCCCACGCACATACGAGCGACACCTGGACCGCGGTCGGTGAACGAAGTGCATGGGCGCGGTTGGTAAGACCTTACGCGGCGCCCGGAGCAATTCCAGGAAAAAAATAAATCTATCAACGCCGTACGCGGAGGCGCGGCCTGTCCGGAGTCCGAATTTCGTACCCGGAGACCTCCATGCCTGCCGTCTGGCCAGACGCATAGTCATGGCCTGGCCTCTTCGCGCCGTCGATGCCGGACGACTGCGCCGGCCTGGCGAACAGGCCGACGCAGACCAGTGCGGACGGTGCGCCACGGACGGCCGGGCCCGTCGGGCGGCCCCAAGGAAGAACTGGCCTTCCCCGCCAACTTCATTCCTGCCGCCGTGGTTCCCCCACCGGCTTCCGCCTATGGCCGGGCCCGCCCTCGAATCGCCCCGGTGCATATAGCAGCCTCAGGAGCCCAGCCACTTGCACTTCAGTCAAGCCTTTGGCAGCGGCCCCACGCCATCGCTGCCGCCCCATGTAGATCGACCCACGACGGCCGTGCTTCTAAAAGTAAGCGCCGGCAGCCCGGCACTTTTTGCCGCCAATGTCGCCGCGCATTTGGTTGCCAAACTTGCAAGTCAGGCAGTCTGTGTTCTGTCGCCCCGTAGTGCGCGGGCCCCGCCCGTCGCCGCCCGGCCGGGCAGTGTGTGCGCGGCCCTAGGGCACGCGCCCGCCCGCCCCTGTTGCTTGGCGGCAGGGCTAGTAGCAGAGGAACACGGAAAACGCGCCCGGCGGAGCCGCCCCGGCAGCTGCGGGCCCGGGCGCTCCTGCCTGCAGATCTCCCTTCATAGACAGGCATCAAGGAGCACAGGGCACAAAGACCGCGGGCCCGAATCTCGTCAGATTGAAGGTGAACACGCTGCGCATGCAGGCCAGTGCGCGCTGCGGCTGCGGATCAAGGACAAGAACTCTACCCAACTGGCGCGCTGCAGTTTCATTCTTTGATGCGCACCCTCGGCACTGCGTGTCGTTTGGACGATGGCAAATTGTGTGCCGACAACACAATATCAATGGAAACGGATCACGCGGCGACATGTTAGCTGTGAAACAAAAACGACATCAGAACCAACCAGCTTCCAGCTAGCCCTTGTTGCACGCAAGTAATCAAAATTTTTTTCGAGTGTACTACTCACAAAAACAAAAAGCGAAGGTGGCAAAAACATGGAGAGGGTTCAACCTAATATACAAGGGCTCCGAGCAGGAAGACGAGTGATGTTCTTGACCCTAGGCAGCTATAGCTCTATAAAAATAAAATGAAAAAGCTCCTCCTCCTCCATTCCCTACCCAGCCTCGATCTTCGTTGCCGACCCCCATTTCCAGTATACGCCCGTCGCGAACACCTTCAGACAGCCGCAAACCAACACTCCGGTGCCCATGTCGGCGGCAATGCGGACCGCTAGAATGCCGGGCAACGCGGCAAACGTGTTGGAGAAAGCGTAGAGCGTTCCACTGTGCTCTTTCCTCGCCGCCAGGTCCAGCGGACCCATGGAAATCGAACTGGAAGTCGCCGCGCCGAAGAGCATATGCATTGCAAATAAATATGTCTGGGTCTGGAACCTTGTGATGCGTGTTGGACAATTATGATGACGCCTCAACTTGCAGCTCAGCATGACAAGTTTCTGAGTACCTACGGCCACGGCGTTGTGTATTCTGCATGACAAGTCGCGTTTCTGCATGACAGAAATAAAGTGGGGCTTTTGGGTAATGCACATGACAGCCTTTGGAGTCATGCTAGCAGAGCAGGGCAAACCTTGCTTGGACTCTTCGAGACCCAGACTGACATCTTTGTAGTTGATAGAACAAAACGGCGGAAAAGAGAACCGCTTTGGACAAGAGGATGAGCTGACTACTGGCGCTTTTGTTCAATTTTGTAGCTTCTCCTGGCTTTATCATTTCCTCGCCGTCTTGCAGTTTATCACTCTCCAAAAAAACGACGATCCCTAGCACCAACAGCAGCGCTATTCCCGGCAAGAGTAATCCTATCGCGCCTAATTCTCTGCGGACAGCCCACAGGTTCCTCCCCTTCTCCAGCTGTCTTCTGCAATATTCCGGCCAGATAGGCGAACCGAAACCGGCTAGGAGGTAGGGAAACCCGCTGAAAAAGGCGTTCTCCTTGCCGAAGAAGGTCGGCAGCCAGCTCATGAGCATGAATGCCGCGGTCGTGTGACAGAAGTATCCGGGGCAAAAGTATCGCACTCGTACTAAAACTAGTTGCAAATCTGCATGACAAATCTTCTTCCAAACGTAAAACAGCATTACATATTGCATTTCTCATGCTGATTCCTTTTTTGTAATGCAATTTAAGTATACTAGTAGGATGCTTTTGCATTGCATAAGAAGTGGCCGATCACGACGGCGATGTAGGGTTTCGTTTGCAGAAAGGTGGCGAGTATTCGGAGAGAGGTCATGCTGTGAGTGGTTGAAATAAGGTGGCGGCCCTTTTCACGACGCTGCTCTTCAAGGCATCTCTCATTCTTGAGTTGTCGTGCTTGATCAATCCCCGCTGCAGCGTGGTTCCCCGCCTTCCGAGCAGGTTTATCGCCTTGGCTGCCCGCCCTCGCCCTACTTTTCTTGCTGATACCGAGTTTGATTTTAGTGCCCAGCGGACTCGGCTCGGTTCCATCGATGTTGATGAACATCTTCTCGCGGATGACGCCCGCAGTCCCTCGCTGGTCTGAAAGAATGTCTTCCTCACTGCTCGACGAAGAGCAAGATGGCAAAGCGTCGAGATGATCTTGCTGCCCCAGCACCGGCGAACTTCTAGCACAGCCATCCTCTGTGTGCTTTCCTGCTCCGTCGGCCGATGTTGACTCGTCACCGTCTTGATCCTCCGACGGTGTTCCGGGCGCCGACTCGTCTTGCCTCAACGTTTTCAGCGCTTCCAGTTCGACTTCCAGCTCTTGCGGGGCCGGATTGATCCCACGCAGCTCCGACTGCGCTGCGAATTTCACCATACTCGGAAGCACATTTCCGACAAGATCGCCCACCAGTTTCGCACTCAAAATTCTCGGCAGAAGAAGAAAAGTGAAAAACCACGGCAGCGGCAGCACCAGCCCCGACATCACGACCGTTTTCCGCCACTCTTCGTCCTTCATTTCTGCGCCGAAGAAATACACGCTCGCCACCGCGATGTTTGCGCAAGCCGATAACCGCCCCACGCCCTCCGTTTTCCGCTTCGCGCAGTGGTGTAGCTGTTCTTGGTAGAAGGCAAAGCAGGCAGGGAGAAAAAACGCTTGGCACAAGCCGGAGAGGAAGCGGAGAAAGTAGAGCTGTGTTTTGATGTGATGGCTATGAAGATTTTCGGTAGTTTTGTCGCCGTTCAAGTCATTCAAAGGCGTAGTTCGCGACGACGGGGGTGGTAGCAGCTCGTGCGCATTTAATATCGGACGAGAATGCATTGTACTATGGTCCTCGTCCTGAAGTGTGATCGATCCGGTGGCACTGGTGTCGGTGCCGTCTCTTCTTCCGTAATCCAACCCAACTCCCGACAGCTGTAAGAGATACTCCAAATAGACCCCCACTGAGTTATGATCTGCAGCCAGCCCCAAGGTGCAAACCGAAGAGAGCAAAATGCTAGCGCAACAGACGTGCTCTGGCTTGAAACGCTGAAGAATCCGGGTCAAAACGACTGCAACGATCGCGCCGGAGATTAGATAGCCGATGAAAAAAGCGGAGAGGATTTCCGACTGGTCTTGTTTTGTCAGCTGGAACTCCTGCGCCAGGCCCTTGACCATGAGAATTGCGGTGGCTATGCATTGCAAAAGTGTTGTGCTCGTACGTAGTAATCGTAGGCACGTTCATCTAATTATAAATACGAATCCCATTCTTAAGGTAAATCAGCATCACAAGTCTCGTTTTTCATGCTGAGTAAATTATTTTCCATGCGATTTATACCACGCACGAAGGTTTGCAATGCGTAGTGACGGAGCGCTGCCAATACAGGATGACGCCGCCACCACAGACGAAAAGAAGCGGGAAGGAGGAGGGTTGCATCTTGGTGTCGTTCTTGTCACCTCCAGCCAGTGTTCTTGGTGGGATGGTCAGTTTGTAAAGTTAAACAAAGATAAAGTGTCTGCAGCCACTGCTTCCTTACGTTCATCAGCACACACAATTATACGAGTTCCCAGCATACTGATGTCGGATGGGAATCACAGGGACGCTCTGTCGTCATGTTTGTATCAGACAGCACGGTCGATGTTTTGGTTTGTTCTCTCTTGCTTGTATGTAGACTGCCCAGAAACGATGTTTTCCTGAACCCCTGTACACCCTTTTCAAACTCGTCAGCTGTCATGTGCATTCGTGATGGCGAAGCAACAGAACAGCAGGCAGAGCTCTGAGCTTCCTGAGTCGTGGCGAACGTCCATAGTAATCGTTCGAATTCAAAAATGGTAAGTTTTGTAAAACTCAAACTTCCAAGAACCAGCCCGCCGCACAATCGACAGTTCAGCTTCAGTATAGTCCTCGTCGCGAAATCAATTGCAGCGTCGTGCAAGCGCTATAGGTATAGCCTTTTTCTTTTTTCATCAAAATCCGTACCGCACCAGAAGCAGTCTCCGATCTGCATTTTCATCATTTATTTCGAAAGTGTATGAAATCCAAAAGTGTCTGGGTCTGAAAACTTGTATATGCTAAAAGCGAATGACAGACGCGCCGCAATACGCAGCCATGCATGACAACTTTTGTGACTGCCGTGTCTTACGTATTCCGCATGGCAAACTGCCTTTTCGCATGACAGTTAAGAGGGCTCTTTCGTGCCTATGCAACGCAGATTCTCGAGTCATGCCAGACAAGCATGACAAACTTGCATTCTTCCAGACCCAGACATTTTTGCATTTGATAAAAGTGCTTTCCTTCTCAACTCCTCCCAATGGCCTGCTGAAAGAACAAAAACGGCGACATGGTCGTCTTCAAACCCGGCGCAGCTGAAGAACCAGTGGCATTTGAGTTTGTGTTGCTGGTTCCGCTATCAAATGCAAAGGTGTCTGGGTCTCGAAGATTGCCAGGTTTTTCATGCATATTCTGCATGACCCATTATGCCTGTAGTGCATGACTTAGCAGCACAGATTTTTTGAAGGCTTCGTGATGCCTAATCTGCATGACAAATGCCCTCTCCGCGTAGCACAATCTGGGCGCCTCTTGCTGGTCATGCAATACAGATTTTTTTAGAATCCAAAGACAGCATGACAAGTTTGGATCCTTGTTCCAGACCCAGGCATATTTGCAATGCATAACCGCTCGCAGACGCTTGCTGCTTACCTCCAGGTGGTCCTGTTGCCACTTGTTGGTGAAGCAAGTGCGGACTGAAGCCGGCGGCTGTATTGACCTGTGGCATGATCAACGACGGCTATGCAGTGCAAAACTATCGTACTCGTATAAATGCATCACAAATTTCCTCAGCATGAGAATTGAAATTTGTATATGCAGATCTACCTCAACAAAAAGATTTGTAATGCATGATTGCAATACGAGTACGATACTTTTGCAGAGGATAACGGCGTCGCCGTCACCATCATTGTCGGGGACGGATTTTGCAGTAGGTTGTGGTGCTGTAAGTGCAATTGCTGTTGCTGATGCGGCTGCAGCACGTATGGTGAACCGGTACTGACAGCGAAGTGGGACTTCTGCAGCTGATTCGAGTTTGTAGTGCTAGGAGAAAGAACTCTCGTGGTTGCGGAGCCAGAAGACTGTCGCTCTACGAAGTGAACTTGCGATGTTGTTTCTGCAGGGCCTCGCTCCTCTCTACCTTGTTCTGCAGCAGTCCCCTGTTCATCCTCCTTACGATTTTTTCCGGTCGTGTCATAATTTTCTACTGCCTGCTTCTGTTGCTGCTGTCGTGCGTGATTTGAATTTCCCTCCCGCTCGACCCGCGGACTGAGGTATCAAATGCAAAAATGTCTGGGTCTGGATGATTCTGGGATTTGTCATGCACGTCGTGCCTGAGCCCTGATGTCTGTGATGCATGCCCTAGCATCACAGATTTTTTGAAGGCTTCTTGATGCCTATTCCGCATGACAAATGCCCTCGCCGCGTAGGAACGATTACACTCCCTTTGCTGCTCATGCAATACAGATTTTTTTGGATTCCAGATTTAGAATGACAAGTTGCATTCTTCCAGACCCAAGCATTTTTACATTTGATATGAGGTTGTTTCTCGCAAATGCCATCCGCACCTCCTGGTTGTGCTGTAAGAGCTTTTTATCACACGCAAAAAGTGTTACAGTTACACACTTGCTGTCAATTCAGCAACACAAATTTTCTCCGCATGAGAGAGAAAACTTGCAATGCAAAGATCATAAGGAAAAACACGTATAAAACGAGGCTCAAAAGTATTTCCGGCATGACATAGGTTGTCTGTCAAACTAGGCCTGTAACACAGTGTGTAACTGCACCACTTTTTTGTCGTGATACTTCTGCCGGCTCGGTGAGTAGACCAGTTGCTGCTATCCTGCGCAAAAGCATCGGACTCATAGTAATCGTAGTCATGCATTACAAATCTCCATCCCAAGGTTAAACAGCATGACAAATTCCATCTCTCATGCTGACCTAATTTGTAATGCAATTCATACTAGTACGATGCTTTTGCAGTGCATAGCTGCTTCTGGAGAGCAATGGTTGGGGACAGCTGGGCTTGTTTGTGATGCGAATTGTAGTAGCCAACACTAGTATTAAAACCAGATGCAGAAGCGACGGTGTCTCCGGCATCAGGGGAATGCGTTGCAAGTACCACCGCCCCTGGACTTCCGGAGATGTTGTTGTTCCGGGCGGTCCCTAGTTGCATCATGGCCCCGAGGTTTTTCAGGTGTTGTGCCTGTGTCGTAGTCGGGGACAGCAAAGAACGAGTTGTTGTCGCGGTGGCTCCACCTGCAGGTACGGGATAGTTTGCATGATTGCAGCTTCCCGACTGGTTCTGCAGGTGCTGCTTCTGCTTTTCGTAGAGGTAAGTGTGGTTCACAGTGACGCTGTCTTTCTTTTTCTGTTTCTCCCCCATTGTCGTACCACCAGCGGCTGCACTTCCGCTGTACGACGGCGATTTGTTCACGTTCACGTGGAAGCTGATACCGTTGTGCTGAACCGTCTTGAAATTACCATAATTTTCGGTCCTGCTGGTGCCTTGGTCATAGGTAGCGGCTTCGCTTCGATTTATGATAGGAGGCCCTTTGCTCTGGCAGCTGCTCCCATGCTTGTAGCTTTGTGCTTCCGCAAGAACCTCCCGCTTTTGCACTTCCGGGGCCCGGACAGCAGGCATACTCTGATGTTTCATCTGCTGCCCTCCGTAACCGTAGATGTCCGCGGCTACCACTCCCCGTTTGTCAACACCAGTAGCAGCCCCACGTGGTGCGGCCGGTGGAGAGACGATTTGGTGCTCGGAAAATTCATCCCCCTCCTGCTCGGGGGACCGAAGCGTCATCAAGTTGTTTATGTTTTCTTCTCCATAGTTGCGTTCGTTTTGCTCATGCGCGTTTGCGTCTCCCTCGACTTGCATTTCCTCCTCCAAGTACGAGGGCTCCGGTGGCGTCAGTCTCGGGCGCGGACAGGGGGTAATGCTGTTCCTCTGCATTTCGCTTTCGGTCTCATCGTTTTGATGAAGAGAGCCGGGTTTGTCGTGTTGCTGCAAGTGGGTCGAGCTCCTGGCGGCGTCGTTCTGCTGGTGGTTTCTGTGCGTTTTTGCCACAGCACCAGACGTTTTTTCGTCATCATTTTTTGCGTGGTAAACGTGCCTGGGAGAAATTCGCTTGGTCACAAGACCGTGGCCTCTGCTGGTCTTAGAGTATGCTGCACTTGCAGCCGTTGTGTTGTTCTGATGACCGTTGGAAGTAGTAGATGAGTGACGCTCCACAACAACGCCACCCTGGTTGTCAAGTAGAGTCCCATCATAATCGTGCTCGTGGTTCCAGCGAAGGGCGTCTAGTTCTTGCTGCTGTTGCTGTAAATGCTGGATCTGCTCCGAAAACGTTCTCCCGTTGTTCCTATGAAATGCAAAAGCATCGCGCTAGTACAAATCGCATGACAAATTTCCCCAGCATGATAAATAGAATTTGAAATGCGGATTTAACTTGAGGAGGAAATTTGTAATGCATAACTGCGATTACTACGAGTACGATACTTTTGCACAGGATAGTTCATGGGGCCCGTAGCAGACGAACCCGCCGGTTTCGGAATTTTACTACCATTCCCATTGGTCCCTCCCGCAAAAGACGTAAAAATTCCAGCGCCTGTGGTCCCTTGTTTCCCCGTCCCCGGGGAAGGGAGGGAAGCGGACGAAAAAGATTTGTTCATAACTCGCTGGAATAGAAAATGATCGTTGGTGGAATTATTCGGAGGACCAAGATGTTGATGAGCTTGACCTTGACCTGAACCTGTTCCTCCTCCCACTCCCTCAACCAGTGCCAGCAAATTAGGATTACCCTTGCCACCATTTTATGCCTTGCAAAAGTGTCTGCGTCTGGATCTGGAAAGCTGCGAACTTGTGATGCGCATTTCACAACACACGGAAATCTCTCATGCATAGGCAGTAGAAGATGACCATAGCCTGTCGCCACAGTGGGGGATTTGTCATGCGAGATAGGCAATGCTGAAGCTACTTCTCGAAATCTGTGATGCTAGGGCTTCCGTGACAACCCTTCTGTGTCATGCAAAAACAGCATGACATCCAGACCCAGGCATATTTGCATTTGATACATTTTCCAGCTTCGTTTTCAACTTGAAGTTTTCCTCCCGTAATCTCTTCGTGATCACCGAGTGGGACTCAATCTTCGCTTTCAAGGATTCGTTTGCCGTTGTCAGCTCGATGGTCAGCTGCTCGTTTTTATGAAATCCAACCGCATCGCACTCGTATAAATGCATCACAAATTTCCTCAGCATGAGAAATGAAATTTGTAATGCGGATTTGCCTCAAGAAAAAGATTTCTAATGCAAGACGTGCATTTATACGCATACGGTATTTTTGCAATACATACTTTTGGATCTTCTGTTCCCGAAGCTGTTGCTCCGCATTGTACTTTCGGTGCTTCGTCTCCTTGACCTCTTTTCGCAGATGTTCCAGCTCGGCTAGTAGCAGTTCTCTATCTGCTTGTTCCGCAGCTTCACCATCGCGGCCACCTACTTGGTTGAAAGTAGCAGCAGCAGGTGCTCCTATCCAAGAAAAAAACTGTGTTAGTGTAAGTCTTTTGGGAAAACAGCATCACAAGTTTGTCTGCCATGACAGGTCAAACTTGTTATGCGCAGATACGAACGGAAAACACATAGGAAGCGAGCCGATCATGCATGTCGAGCATGACAAGTGTAACTGTTTTGCATTTTCTGCATCACAGATCTACACTTACACAGTTTTTTTCTTGCATAGCTCCCGTAGCAGTTGTACTAGCGAAGACGCCGTGAAAATTTGGGTCGGCTGGAAGTTGTAGAACCTGTTCTGGCTCGTATCCGCCCGGATCGGAACCCTCCGCGTGCATGACAGCAACAGAGATTCCTGGCGAATCTGAGTGTACTAGTTGTAGAGGGTCTACTTGCTTTTCCTTAGGTGCAAGCGAATTCATCGGTAGATCTTGCCCGGTGGTGGTTTGCGTTTGGTGCTGCTGTCCAGCTGCAATTCCGCCGCGACTGACACTGGTGCAGCTGGACACACTGGACTCTCGCCGGAGAATATGCTGTGTAGAATCTTCGGTCTTTTCCACGTCAACCTCACATTACAACTTGGCGTCAGTTTGTAATGCAGAAAATAGAAGAGAAATGCTTACCACCTTTTGGTTGTTCAAAGTGAGAACGTATCACGATATCAACAAACTGCGGGGTATTATAATAAATTTTGGTTGACATAATTCAGAAGATTCTACACAGGATAAAGATGGCGAGCTCCCGTTGCAGATGAACCTCCGTTATTCGCCGCAGTAGAGCAGACTGAGCTTTTCCGCCGTTGCTGTATGCAAAGAAAAAAGTGTCACAATTGCCCACTTATATTAGTGGAACTTCAGCAAGACAAACTCACTCTGCATGGCAATGGCTGCAGAGAAAATGAAAAGTTGCAATGCAGAGCTTGCACGGGGGGGATGGGAAATGACGCATGAAACGAGGGTTGCAAGTATTTCCGGCATGACAGAGGTTGTCTGTCTTGCGTGCCATGCAACACGACAATTATGTGTACCTGAAACACTTTCCTCCATGCATATGCTGCTGGCTCAAACTACTACCAGCCGTCGACACCATCCGTCCGGAAAACGATTGGCAACGGTATGCAGTGTAAAAGCATCGTACTCGTACATATGCGAGTCTTGCATTACAAATTTCTTTGTCAAGGGAGATCCGCATTACAAATTTCATTTCTCATGCTGAGGAAATTTGTAAATGCAACGGTATGCAGTGCAAAAGCATGATCGCACTTTACTGGTAGTAGAAACTGCATCACAAGTTTCCTGCTCAGAATGAAAAACAAAAAAAAGAGTCTGTCATGCTGGTCTAGTTTGCGAAGCGCAGATCTGTCATGCACCATTTCTGCTACACCTACTAGTACGAAGATACTTAATACTTTTTTCGCTGTGGATAAGCGCCGGAAAGATTCGATTTTTTCTTCCAGTTGCTTAATCGTAATCTTCTCGTCCTGGAGTCTCTTTTCCAATTTTTTCACGAGTTTGTCATGCTTGTCCCGACTGATGAAGCACTTGCTGTTCTTCTCCTGCTGGAAAAGCTGAATCTGCTCGAAATTCTTGGACTGTTCATTCAATATGAATGGCAAAAGCGCATCGTACTAGTAGTAATTACGTTACAAATTTCCTCAGAATGACAAATGGAATTTGTCATGCTGTTTGACCTTCAGGACAAGATTTGTCATGCATAATTGCAATACGAATACGATACTTTTGCACAGGATAATCAAAACGTACTCGCAATTTGCGTACAGCGAATACAACGCCATGTCGTACCGCTCGACAATCTGGAAAATCCGGTCCGCTGTGTAATTCTGACAAGGATATGGATTGTAAAAATGTCTCGGTCTGGAAGAGTGCCGAATTTGTCATGCAGATTTTACATGACACATGAGGTCTGTAATGCGCTACCTGGCATCACAGATCTTGAGCGGGCTTTCTGATGCCTATCCCGCATGAGAAATACCCTCTCCATGTAGCACAAAATGAACCCCTTTTGCTGGTCATGCAATACAGATTTTTTCAGAATGCAGAGACAGCATCACAAGTTCCAATCTTCCAGACCCAGACATTTTTGCAATCCATAAAGGAAGAGGAACTGTAACAGCACCTCCTCCAGAACTAACGTTTATCCCCCCTTGTCCGTCGCCAATCCCGTTCCCGTCCCCCGTCATGCCTTCTGCTGGTCCTTCTTGCTCCTGTTCTTGCACGACCTCGTGCTCGTCCACGGTTGTCAAAAACGGGAAAAAATTAAAGTCGAAAAGCTTGATACTCACACACAGTTTCGGTGCGGTCAACCGTAGAGCGGCTTGGATGGACTCAAGGAACTTTTGGTTCACGTCGACTTCTGAGTGATACTGATAGTGGCCAGCAAGAACAACTTCTCGCCGTACTTCTTCTTCTTCTTCCTCTGAAGATTTTGGATAAAAAACCCGACGACCTCCATCTGCTTCCTCATCTCCAACCAGCCCCAGCCACAGAGTGAGGAAATTCTGCCCGGAAATTTTCACGTTGTGCAGAATCTTTTCGATGGGCAGGTAGAGCGTCGTGTGTAAGTCGATGGTGCCGTCGAGTGGATTGCGCTTTTCCAGGACGATTTTTAGGTGGTTTTGGTCTTGATGGAGTTGAGATTCTAGTTGTTCGTGGTTGTTTGTAGGACGGCTGATGTCGTTGTCCATGAAAGTTCGCTATGCAGTGCAAAAGTATCGTACTCGTCGTATAAATGCATTACAAATTTCCTCAGCATGAGAAAGTACTGCGGATTTGACTTAACAAAAATATTTGTAATGCATGATTGCACCAATACGAATACGATACTTTTGCAGAGGATATTCGCTGAATTGTCGTCCGAAACTCGACGGGTTGTTTGTTGCATATCCTGCGCAAAAGTATCGTGCCCGTAGTAGTCGCAATTATCCATGACAAATCTCTTTCACAAGGTAAATCAGCATGAGAAATTCCTTTTGTCATGCTTAGCAAATTTCTAAATTCTAATGCGGTTACTACTAGAACTGGCGCGATGCTTTTGCTTTTCATATTGCACCCGTTGGTAATATTCTCTGATGCCGATGACCACTCGAACTTGAAGAGCAGTTCGTCATTTGCGTTCAAAACTGACCCGAAAACTTCCAGGTGGTCATGGGGATTAAGCGTGGACTGATGCATCGTGCTTCCGAAAGGCCCTCCCTGTGGCAGCTCCTGTTTGTTTTGCAACGGCGCAGTGCTGCTCCGACTGCTAGAGGACGAGAGAAACACGGGCGGGAATATCTTAAGGCCGAGGTCCAGGGCTGATGTGGGGTGGAGCTGGTCGTGGGGTACGACTAGGTGTTCGTCGGTCTTTACCGTGTGTGGCATGTTGATTTCTTGCGGAGGAACAGGTCGCTCATCTTGGGCACCGTCGACGTCCACGTGAAGATAGTGGCGGGCGCACGACGGTTCGTCAAAGCCGGTGGTAGACGCCTTCAAATGATCATCCTCGGCTCCTCCGTACGACGTCAAAAAATCCGGTTCTATAACTCGGCCTCCTGGCTGCAAAGGAGCCAACATGGTGCCATCGCTAAAGTCAGCAACATCATTGCGACGTGGGGCCAAATCGACGTCGTACTGGCAGTCGTCCTGGCCGCCACTCAATAACGAGCGATCCTCGTGCTGTGCCGGCGGCTGTTCTTGCAGCTCGTGCAGCGGCGCGCGCTCCATCTCTTGCCCTTCGGAGTCAACATCCAGCGCTCCTGCACCTTCGCGACGAGAAGAAATGTGGTTTGTGCTCGTACTGCTGTTATCCGACAGGTGCGTGGAGGTGTTTTTACCAGATTTGCTACCGAAGTTCGGCGCGAGGGGAGGCTTTGGGATTCGTGAAAGGGAACCTGGCATCTTGGCTGAAATAGCTGACGAGTCCTACTCAGCTAGTACAGTTTTGCAGGGACGACCACAGAGTACAACACTAAATTTTGTATTTCTTCTGCTTCTCCATAAAAGGAGTGATAAAGTTGTGATCCGAATGCATTCAGGCAACGGTTTTTGGGCTCCTTTTCTGGTACTAATCCAGTCACGTTTCCTTGTTTTCTTGATCTTTTCTGCACATTCCGCAACAATGAAGAAAAACGAAAATAAGGAACGATAAAAGCCTCCAAAGGTTCTATCTTGGACCGGAGAAACACACGCATGATGTCTGAACGGACATTCCGAAACAAAGCGGCCACCGCCAGAACACAGAGCACTCACCACCGTTTAGCCATTTGTGCAAGAAGAAGAAGACGCAGATGTTTTTGATGGTGCACCAGGTAGATATAACTAGCAAGAAGATCTACTCCGGGTCGATGTTTATCAGATTTGTGGAGAAGGTTGCGTAACTACTGCGTACAATAGCCAGTACCTGACGTGATAGAATTCAGCAGCTCCAAAGAAACTTTCATCTTGATTTTACTTCGATTTAGACTTCATCTTCAACAGAAACCTTCCTGATCTTGATCTTCCTATTTCAACAGTTGCATATAGAAAACTCTTCAATGTTCTCTTCGTCTTCTATTTGAAACGTGCGCAGATTTGAATGTAAAAACAATGTTTGGTTGTGGTTCTGGTTCTTATGATACATATATAATAACTTGGTCCAAAAATAAAAAAAATGTTTTCGCACTCATTTTTTACATCTGCGTATTCATAAGTACATAAATCCTGTTGTTACAAAGCAACCCCGCGGCAGATGATTCCTCTTTCTGCCGCTGGTTTCAACGACTGCCAATCGTGCTCCTGTCCTCACTGCTTCTATCCGCAGTTCCGCCATCAACATCGTGTTTGTCAGTCTGCGGTGGATCAGCACCGGTCTGGTGCTCCGGCTGTCCCCCTACTTGGAGCACCTCTGTAGCGGTATACATTGCAAAAGTATTCTCGTACTCGCATAAACTGCAGTCTACAAATATCATCTTTCCCGAACTGAATCAGAATTACGAACCCCACTTTTGTTCTCGCCGATAAAATTTGTATATTTTGCAGCTTATACGTAAGTGCGTGCACGAGTACGAGACGTTTGCAATGTATAAGCTGCTGCAGCCGCCAAACTCAAACTGAAACTGCCACCTACTCTATTACCATTTTTAACGACAGCGCCGGAAGGTCGTGAAAAAGAGGACGAAGCGGGCGACAACGTCGAGGCATCTTGATCGCGCGAACCAGTAGAAGAAACAGACGCCGTGGACCCACCCGGATCCTGCAGCAATGCCTTGACCTTTGCGTCCGTGCTGACTTGTTCGTTGCCCCCGGCTTCCTTCTCTTTGAAAAACCCCAACACACTCCTGACCCGTTCTGCGACCTCGTTTGGTTGGTAGGCGTGTTCAATCGGATGCGCAATCAGTTCGAGAAGGTACTGGGGTAGTTTTTTTCTTTCCTGGAAATGGTCCTTCGCCTCTTGTACGGTTTTGTACTTTGCTTTCGGAAAGGGAAGGTATATGCGCGATTCCGTCCCAGGTAAAACAACCACCCTCGTGGCGTGCCCCTTTGCTCCGCGCCAATCGTCTGCCTGCGGTTCTTGTTTGAAGAAAACCTCCTCCCAGAGCGGCGGCCAGAAAAACCAGTCGTAGCGGAAGAAATTCTCGTAATATACAAAAGCGCGCCCCTCCGTTTGCTCGTGGCCGTGGTGGTTGTCAAACAGCCAAAACAATACAACGGCAACCCCATGGAGGTCGAACGAGGTGGCGAATGGAATTGTCGGGCCTTTGTCCTGTCGCCCCTGGTAAGGCACCCAGGCCCGCGCTTCTGTTCCTTCGTTGAATTGGGGAGCCCCGCTGACGTCGTTGGTTTTGTAAGGCGCGGCATGGTGTTGGAACCATCGCCAGGGATACCACTCCAGAAGCGGGTGATTAAATCCCGGAGAGCCAACACAGGAAGGGTGCTGAAGAAAATCAAGCTGGAGCGGGCTCGGGCTAGCCTCAGAATCACTAGGAGGCGGACCTGGGAGAAGGTGGAAATACTGCGCGAATGGTTCCAAACAGGCCGGGCACGACTGCTCTATATTCTGATTGGGGTTGAGCCTTGTGAAGATGGTTTGAACCTGCTTACTGTTGATGGACCGCCAATCAACACCTGGGTCCAAATTTGGATCACGTCCGAGCATGACGCTCGCTGTCATGAGGGTGGCGCTTCCGCCCCCTACGGTGGCCCCGGGCCCGGCGTCCTTTACGGCGATAAAACTGCTCATGTCGAAGTCAAACACTCTCACCCAAGCCTCCGCTTGCCAGGCTTCGTCTCCCGTGTAGCCAATATTGTTAGGCTTTACGTCGTTGTGCGCAAGCCCGAGGTCTGCAAAAGTGTCGGCGTAACACGCGAATAATGCCCGGGTCAGCCTCTCCTTTCCGAGATCACTCGCCGGAGGCGGAATCATTCCTGCATTCGGGCTTGTGGTGGCGAGCATTTCTACCTTTTCAAGAAAAAAGAAAAGGCGCGTCTTCAGCTCTCCGTCGCTATTCAGATCAGAGCTTACAACAAGACGGGACATTCTTGCCACACAATCTTGCGCAGTACGGCTGAGGATTACGTTGAAGATGACCTCGGGAACGTGTTCATCCAGACACTGTTCTGCATTCGGAGAATTTTTATTCGGACATTCTACTACTTTGACGACTTGGTGGTCGGGCATCGTTTGCTGATCCGGAAAAAAAAAAGGGCGTGGTGGATTATTGGACACCTCCGTCACGGTTCCGAAGCTACCAGAAGACACGCTTCGCGCGTCCCAGCTTATCTCGATGCCGCCGTCAGTTTCGGTTTCCGTTCCTTCGACTACTCGTTCCTCGGGCATCTTGTTCTTTTCGTGCGGAAAGATCCTCATCACGGTTGACACATTCATATCCGGCTCGGCGCGCCCGCGAACCACAGCCAAATCTATCTGATCTTTCCAGTAGTCCATTGCATCCTTCTTTACATGCTCGTCTGGGAGGATGAAGATTGCGCATAACAGGAAAATTTGATAGCAGAGTCAAATGTACATCCATCTATGTCGTCGCCGCGCGAAATGTTTTTGTAGTAGGAGCACTTCGCAATCGCACATGTTCTTGCAGAATGCCACACAGGAAGTACTTAACTGCACAGAAGAGCAGTAACTAGGAGATGCATTTGACATGATTTTCTGGCGCGCGTAGTGCTGGCCGCGGAGAAAACTATGCACGTCACGGTAACCTGGAAGAGGTTCCAGTGTACTACAGCTAGATTAGATACTTACACTCTAAGAACGTACCACTTTGTTGCAGTCGCGGCAACGACAAGCACAATTGACGTAATGCTTATATCTTTTTGCTCGAATACTTCGTCGCGCTTCGCCTGAGTAACAGTAACAGAGCCAGCGCGTCCCGCCTTGTTCCACAGATGATTGAAAGTTTTTGGCCCGACTTTCTGCATTTTCTCGAGTGCAGCAGCAATTTTTGTTTGCAAGAGTTTCCACCTTTCATCAAATTGGCTCGTCTCTTTCGAACTCGGGGTAGGGCCACTGCGGGTTCCAAATCTTGTAAAACCAAATTTGCTCCACATTTCTGTCGTAGCAACAGCCGTTTCTTCCTCAGCTCCATGCTGCGCTGGATCATCTTCACCCGCTGTGTCGATGCTGTTGCTGCTCGTGGTGCTGCTCGCCGTGCTTTTCCCATCAACGTCTTCAAGCTGCACGGGAAGATCACCAGCAGCGGTGGCTTGTTCTGGCTTTTCCCCGTGGGACGAAGCCCCGATAGTAGTTTCTCCAGCTGCCTGCTCTTCAACAGCTGACGCAGAACCTCGTCCAGCGGTGTCGTCTGAATTTGATGATGTTGATGCTGGTCTAGTTGATTTTCCAGCGGTAGTGTCCTCAATGCTCTTTCCCATAGCGGACGACACTGCCGAAGCTGCGTCTTCACTATGCTGCACGTGACGAACAGTGCTTCCGCCTTCAGCCAGTTGAACCGGGCCCGTCCCAGTCGTTCCCGCCGTGGTCTCATCATCTCCCTTCAATCTGGTGTGGTCACCACCACCCATTACGGTTGTGTCCCCGTGTCCTGACAGCGCAGGGTCGGGGGTGCTTCTCGAAGTTGTGGACGTAGCTTGTTCGTTATGCATTGCAAACATATTTATGTGTCTGGATCTGGAAACATGCCAACTTGTGGTGCTGAGGAAGGCGCACGCCTTGTCTAGCCAGCAAAAAGGAAAAGCGTGAGCGTTTGGTGCCGCCCATCACAAGTTGGCACTTCTCATGCACGCTAAGCCTGAAAAGCTTCGGGGAACTTGGCATGCTCCGCGTGCACTCGAGAGCTTCCTGCAGGTGCAGCTGCAGGTCCAAAAAGTGCATGACACATGTCTGCACTCTTCCCGACCCAGACATCGTAGTTAGGAATGCACAAGCATAGCTGTCGCCCATCTTGCCACCTGCACCGGCACCACCTACAGCGCCGTTCCCGTTCATTTCACCAGATAGTTGTGCCGGAGAAGAAGTGGAGTGCTGGTCATGATCGGTTTGTTGTTCGCCATGTAGTTGTGTATTTTGATCAGCCAAAATGATCTTGACAGTAGCTGCTGCAGTCCTCGTTTCTCTCTGCTGTTTATCGGGATGACCGTGTCCGACATCCTCGCTCTGCAGGGGCTTCTGGTTCACCAAACCGCCGCTGGCGTCGTACACTTCAGCTGCACTCCCGGCGAGGACGGGAGTTTCGTCAACACCAGACGCAGTAGGAGTTCGAGTTCGTACAGCGGGGTTGTCAGGAGGTGATGACGCGATTCCGATTGTTTTTTCACCGTCACGCTCCGCCTTGTTCCCCGGAACGGAAGATGACATTGCCGAAGTTGCGTCTTCGACATGACGCTGCACCGCAGGCACAGGGGAATCACTTTCGGTATCGAGGGATGTTGCCCTCGAGGTAGGGGCAGAGGTGGAACCGCCGACGCTGGTGCCTGCGTTATCAATTGCTTTTTGCACCAGCAGTTCAATTACACCACCATCTGACGAAGCCACGTCTTGATCCTTCGTCAGCAAGTCACCAGACCGAAGAATGCCGAGTTGTATGCGCGCCTCCATGGCACTTTTGGCGTCAGAAGTGCTCGATTGCACTGCATCTTTAAGAAACTGCGTGGCGTTGTCGAATAAAGCTCCCACACCACCAGGCTGTTCATCTTCAACGGCTTTTACGCGTATTTTCTCCTGCGACGTCTCCAACATTGGGTCCAGGATCTGTGCCTTGTAATGTTTTGCTAATTCTGCCGCAAGTTCGTCGGCCGGATTCTGATTCAGATTCTTTGCACCATCTCCATCTAACAATTCTTTTACTCCAGGTAGCTCCGTGAAGTCGCCGATAAAATCTACTCTTCGCATTTTCAAGCCAGCTACTCCGGTTTCCTCTGAGGCAGCAATAATGCCAGCGGGGTCCCAGAGCGGTTGCTCTACGGGAAACAAGTCGTCCCACAGAGTCCCCGTTGTTTCTGGGATGTCCTTCTTTGGTGCATTTTGTATTTCCTTGTAATCAACACCGGCAAGCACATCCGCAAGACTGTCGCTCTTCGGCTCCACAGCAGTCTCCTTCGCGAGCGCTTCAGAATTTTTGCGTCTTTTATTAAACCAATCCAGTGGCTTGTTGGAACGTAGTACCTCCCACGTACGTATTGCCGCCGGAATGGCTGTCCCAAACATTCGCATGCCCGTATTGTCGTCCGGGTCTTCCGCGAGGGCGTTGCTTTGTCCAGCAGTTTTCACATCGGTATCCAGATTTTCTATTTTTGCTGAAGCAGCTGCACCAGTGACTTCTGCGACGAAGCAGAGCTCGTCTTCGGCGTTCCACACCACTCGCCCCGCCGGTACTGTAACCGCATTGGGCTGAAGTAAGGCTGCGCACAAGAGGTCTCGCAGGGTTTTCTCCGCTGCGTCAGCGTCCTTTTTGTTTTCCTCGTCAATATTCTGTTTTGCTTGTGCTAAGATAGCTGCATTTTTTTCATCTGATGCTGGTAGTATTATTCCCTCGTCTGGTGCATTGGGCTGGCCCAAGATCGCTGCCTCGAGCAGTGCTCCTGTACGCGGACTCAGTGCAGAGATGACTGCGCTACTACGGCGACCGCTATTCGCGCTTTTTGCTTCTTCTTGTGCTGCAAGGCCGAGGTAGTGCCATGCGAACATGTGGGCGGGGTTCCTTGTTGCAAGTCGGAGCCCAAAACGCGGGACGAATGGTCGCCAGAGCGAATCTGCTGCATCGCTCATTTTCGATTTGAAAGCTTCAACTGCCGCCGCCATCTTGCGTGCCCTGGCCTTGTCCTCTTCATCGTTCACATTGTCCTTCCTTTCCGCCACTATTCTGTCGTAGACGTGAAGCTGAAGATCGCGGGTTATCTGACTCGCGGTTTGTTTGAACATTTCGCTCCACAAATATGGCGCGATCAACGTGATGGAAACGCCAGCCAAACCCGTCATCGCTGCAACATCGATCTTGTAGTAGTCCAGATAGTATGGAACCAACTCCTGCACTTTTCCTCCGATGAATCTTTTCAGGAATCTTCCGTGTGGCCAATTTGCCCCCGAACCCCAGCCAGAATTCGTTGCCCATTTCGTAGCAATGCGCAAACGACGTCCGAGGAGATTGTCCAAAGATGCTAAATCCGAATTCGACTGCACTACCTTCGGCACGACAAGCTCGCTTACGATCGCCCGCGTCACAGAACCGACACCAAAAGCCGCAGTCGAACCAGAAAGCGTTCCAAGAAGGGCCCCCAGAGCGTTGGGCAACCAAGACGACAGTGCATCTTCTCCTATATTTTTCAGCGCTTTTGCTGACCGGGCAAGCAGGGACGTCTCCGCAAATATGTTGCGTACGAGCTTTGTTAGGACGCGTGGAATTAATCCCTCGACGCCATCGGGTCCTGGTTTCTCGTAGAGCTCGGTCGTGACTTTATCGGTTGAAAGGAGTACCAGTGGCCCCCCCGTGCCGGCTTTTCGGACGAGGAACAGCGGTGCGCATTTCCCGTCAGCGGTTTTGCTTGTCAGGATCACACGGCAAGACTTTGCTGTGGCGGCATCCGGGTTTTCCGGAAAGCAATTTGAGGGATTTGGAGCTGCGTCAGCCATTTCGCACAACAAAAAAGCATAAGCGGACGGTGGTTTGCTTGCGCGTTGTCGTATTGCTTGTTGAGGAAAGTTGAAGGAAAACTCCAGCTGTTTCGCTGCCACAGTTGCGCTTTTGAGATTCTGTTCGCTGAAAAGGAACTGGCCGTAATTTTCGTCGTGGGGGTTTGGAATATCGAATTGAAGCAGCGGGTGAGTATCCGGGTTACGATGGTCGGTAAAGTAACCTGGTACTCTGTCATATGCGTCGACGACACCGTTAGTGGTATGGGTCTCCAGTTCCTATCCAATGCGAAGATTATGTCTGGGGCTGGGCCAAGAAGATTGCACTTGCAATCAAAGTCAAGCTTTTTCAAAATTTGGGACCTGAAAGGAAATGCAAATATGACACGCGTGCTTCTTCAACCAGTAATAATCGTCCTCGAGCGGTGAACACACCAGAGAAGATTGTACGTGGCAAGATTTGTCATGTTGGACGGCTAAGGGCAGGGCGTCTTATTTGTCATGCAAAAACGCTATTCGTAATCGTATATGCGCTGCTCTGCGGCAGACGCACGTAGTCCCTCAAAGTCTTCCTTGTCAGGCGTGGCCCCTCCTTGTGCATAGGGTGCTGTTCATCCGCAAATAAGCAAAAGGCTCAATGGACTTCGATTTTCTGTACAGACCCACACATATTATTTGCAACGGATAGCTCTTCTTCGTTTCCCTGGACTAAATGGTGATAATCCAACTCCCATGTCGAAGGCATCATGAGCGGGTCGACGATGGGTGCCTTTGCCGAAAGGACAAACACATTATATAGCGTGCTGGCTGAAGGAGAGTCTCCTTGTTCTTCTGTATGCGAAGGGAGCATTTCTGTCGTAGCAACAGCAGTTCCTTCCTCAGCAGATTGTTGGCCTGGATCAGCAGCGGCGTCGATGCTGCTACTCGTGCTGCTCGGCGGCTTTTGCACGTGAACGTCTTTCGCCCCACTTGTCTGACCAGGCTTCTCAACAATGTGCATTGCAAATGTATCGTAGAGTACAGTATTTCTAGTTCCACCAGTACAACTAGTTACATTTACATATACAAATTTTATTTCCGAGAGAAAAGAAAAAGTGAAATGTGTAATGATGAATTTTCTGCGAATGCGATAGGCATAGGAGATCATTGCAATCAGTGAGTACGAATACGATACTTTTGCGGTGAATAAACAGATGCCCTTGCCATTTTCGAAGATGCATCTTCAGCATTTGTAGTAATCCCGCCTTGTCCTCCTGATTTTTCCTCATCGCCCCCGTGTAAGCCAGTTATCTCCGCTACCTCTCGCCCTTGTTTCTCCTTGCTAGGTGGTCTGAGTCCGACTTCCACAGCGGTGGAGGTGCTGCCCGTTGTACCAGTACCACTTGTAGTAGTTCCACTGGCGTCCTCATCATGACCATGTGCATGTTCGTCAACCTGCAGTGCATCAGCACGGTCAATCTGCTCCGGCCTGTTTCCTTCAATAGAAACGCCACCAGTATTGGTTGTTGCAGCTAGTACCTCGTGGTCGACACCTGTGTCTAACGCAGGGGTTCTTCCAGCGATGTCGTCAGACGCTGGTCGTGGTGTGACTAAATTTCCATCATCAGTTGTCGCGGCCTCATTTTCCGGACCGGAAGACTTAGACTGTGACGAAGCTGCATGATGATGTTGAGTCTGCTGCTTTTTGTTGCTCTCAGCAAGTCTGTCCTGTTTTTGTTTTTTCTCATTCTGCGGCTCCTCCAATAACAAAGCGCCGTTGTGGTCGTACATCACGGGTTCCTCGCGGCCACCGGAGAGAAAATTATCGCTGTCCTGGTCATAATTTTCTTGCACCACATTTTCCTCGTTGATCACGACGGAGGTAATTTTGTTCCCAGAGGACGTAGCCCTTTCATCGGCGACTTTCGTCGTGCTCATCCTGTTTTTGCCAGCAGTATCTGCGTGATCATTGCTCACCTCGTCCCGCCCTTGACCGCGTGCTGGAGCAGGTAAGTGCTTGCCCATCTTTCCCGTGGAAGGTCGCGCCACCACTTCTTCTGCAGGAGCAGGAGCATCCTTGTTCTCTGGGTCCGGCGATAGAACGCGCTGATTGGTGTACGCTGGACCTCCACTCCGGCCGCTTCGCGTCACCATCTGGGTTTTCCTGGTCAGAGTTTCTTCCTCGTGGAGCTCACGGTTCTTTCCGTCTCTTTCGTCAATCCCCCGGGCGTTCTCCTCCTCTTTCCGCTTCGTCCCTACCCTAGAGATCGGAGCGTAAGAAACTTGTTGCGGCCCCGTCCTCGTTGCAGCACCACCTTTACCACCATTCTTCTCCAAAGCAAAAGTACTAACGCACAACTCGGGCTTGTTGTACTAAATCGTAATCGCTTTCGTGCATTACAAAAAATACAAAATTCATTCTAATGCTCTTGTGCTTGTCCCGGAATCTGCATGAGGGTGAGGAATTCCGATTTTTATTTTCTCATTCTTCTTCACGAGAAAATAATTTTTCATGTAGCGTGTGCGCGATACGTAGTACATTTGCAATGCATAATTCTTCTCTGCGGTGGGGCTCGTGGTTTGCGGTACAGGGTCTCGTAGTTCCGCCGGTTCATCTTGCGGGCCGAGATTCATCACGCTTGTAGTCTGAAGAGGTGCCATGATCCCTTTATTTTCACCTCCCACATTTGGTTCTCCGTGGCTGGAAGTTGTAGTTCCACCAGGCTGATTTCCTTTCATACCAACGTCGTCTGCTCGTACTGCATGTTGATCCACCCCCTGATTTTTGCCCTGCGCCAAAGTTGATGTAGACGGCTGCTGTTGTAGGTGCGAAACAGCAGCTGTAGGAGGTGCAGTTTTCGCTTCTTGTTGTTGGCTCATGTAGTGCTTCTCACCAGATAGTTGTACCGCAGAAGTGGACGAGTGCTGGTCAGGATCGGTTTGATGTAGTTCGCCAGGTAATGTAGGTGTATTTTGATCAGTCAAAATGTTGGCTGTAGTCACTGCATTCCCCGTTCCTCTGTGCTGTTTATCAGAGTCGTGCTGTCCGACATCTTCGCCTTGCGGCTGCACCTGGTTCAACAAACTGTTTCTGTTGGTGTTGCTAGCGTCGTGCATTTTTTCCAGGGCATCCGCGGCGACGGGAGCTTTGTCAACACCCCCTGACGCAGCAGGGGTCCGCCCGACGGGGCTTTCCTTTTCGCCCACGCTCTCTTTTTCCTGCGGAGCAGAGCGAACTGCCGCATCTGCGTCGTCCCCGAAGAGAAAAGACGCAACGGAGCTCCACCAGCTGCCCCCGGTATTCTCCTTCGCCTCTGCAGCTGCAGCACGAGCGGCCGCCGCCGCCCGCCCCCGTTTTTTAAATTCAGCAGTACCTCGCAGCAGAAACTGCTGCGCTGCGACGTAGCCCACAACAGAAAAACCGCCAAGCAGAACAAGCGCCAAGCACAGCTTGCGGGGTGTCCGGTTTGTGTTTTCGGCCTGCTCCCCAGCGCAGTTGATGTCCGCGCAGGTCAGCTTCTCTGCCGGCTCCACGAAGGAGGCCAGACTGTTGCCTTTTTTGCCCTTTTTACCTCTTCGCGCCTTCGCCTTACCACCCCGTTGCCGCAGCCGCGTCGTCGCACTGGGAAAAGAAGCAGAGGAACTGCTGGCGCCAGCAGATGAAGCGGGGCCGAGTCCTGGGGAGATATCCTCGGTTTCGCGGGTTGAAGCGGTGCCGGTGAGGAGAACCGGAGTCTTCAAAATTAGACGGTTTTTTTCGCTTTTGTTTGCAACATCAGGTTTAATCTTCGTCGCAGGAGAACTACACAAATACGCACTTGTAGAAGTAGTTTTATTTCCACCAGTTGTTGTACTAGCATTTTTGCGAGTATGCATTGCAAACATCCCTGGTGGTGGTCGGGAAGACTGCAACTTGTCATGCAAATCTGTGGTGCGTGATTGCCAAAATCTGTCCGATTTTTGGTTTTGACCAAGTTGAGAGGTGGGAGTTTCTCATGCAAGACAGGCATGATAGATATCTTACATCAGAATCTGTCATGCTAGTTATCTTGCATTCCAGACCTCACGACAGGGACGGGCCGTGGAATAAACCTGCATGACAAGTCTTGCAATCTATCTTCCAGACCCAGAGGACATATTTGCATTCGATAGCAGCTAGCGCCTGTTCGTGCTCGTGTGGAGGTCGTTCGTCCACCAGGTCCTCCTGCAGCAATACTATCCTCTTTTCCAGCAATAGTACTATCATCTTTTCGTTCCTTCTGGTCGGTCAGCAGCTGCGGCTCCTTATGAAATGCAAAAATGTCTGGGTCTGGAAACTTGTAATGCTAAAAGTGAATGATAGACGCGCCCCAATACGCAGCTATGCATGACAAATTTTGTGGCTGCCATGTCTTACGTATTCCGCATGGCAAACTGCCTTTTCGCGTGACAGTTAAGAGGGCTCTTTCGTGCCTATGCAACGCAGATTCTCGAGTCATGCCAGAGCCAGACAAGCATCACAAACTTGCATTCTTCCAGACCCAGACACTTTTGCAACTCATACTCCTTCTGCTCAGCTGATATTAACCAGGACCACACCTTTTTCGCGCACGTGGTTGGTCCGCCAGACCACTGACGACTGGCCGTGTAGTATTTTTTCGCTTTCTCAGCATGATCTCGTTCGGAAGTAGAAGTGGAGAACGCAGAGACCACTTGTGGTGTTGTTCCAGATGTTGAATCTTCAACACCATCAACATGACGATCCTGCAATTCATTTTCTTGCGAGGAGATGTTGTTGACAGCAGCAGAAGCCGGTCTACTTGTGTTGTGCGTCAGGAGCAGTGGTTGTTTCATCGTCCTGTCTTGCTCTGTGGTAATATGATTCTGCCCGTGACCTTCCTTGTCTGTTGTCGTCCTCACGTGGTCTCCTTGGCCGCGAACCTGGTAATTGTACCGTGTTGCTCAGACTAACTCTAATGCGCTCGGAACCTTCCGTACAAATTTTGTCATGCACAAAATCAAAAACCATCATCGTTGTGCTATACGTTTGTTGCGAGATGAAAGAGCCTGCTCTGGGAAAACAATTTCTAAACTATCATGTTCTAAAAGTTTTGTGCACAACTCCGCCTGTTTCGAATTCTTCTACCTCCTACCGGAAAGGAAAAAAAAAACAGTACGGCGCTCGCGTTCGTTTTCTTTCTTTTGGGCATGGTGATTGGATGTTAGTCGTGGTCCAATATGATCTAGTATCCCAGAGGCCACTGGAAGGAGGAGCGGAATTATGGTGGGTCTCTGAGTTCTTCTCCGTTGCAGCTACAGCTAGCCGAGTAGCAAAGTAAATCCACCGCACTTTCAGTTTCGTGCCAGCAAGCTACTTTTTGCCTGCTTTGTCGCTAAACAGCAAATGCCGCAACCTTCCAGTCTGATGTAGTTGATCGCAGAGGTCGCGGTGTTTTGTCGCGTTGTTGAAAAATCTTGTTGTCGCTTTGAAATATCAACAAGTCGAGTTTAGAAATAGAAAAAGAAACATATTTTGTCGCTTTACATCATATCAAAAACGTACTTAGTGACGCAGTGTCGTAGTTGTCGTTGGAATAGCATGAAGTTGTCAGTTTAAGCAAATGTTGAGAAAATTAGCTTTCTTTTGTAGACATTTTGATTTTGACTCGAGACCCTTTCGGCGCCTAAAATTTGGAGTTTTTGATGACATAGCAATTGTTTTGCAGCAGTTCTTTATTCGTGAAACTTGTGCTCTAGAAACCCATCACATTGCCCAACGGGTACTCATACAATTCGTTCTCATACAACAAATCATGATAATGATTTGATGCCTTCTATTATTAACTTTTGCGCGAGCAGAAAAACAGGCATGCATTATAGCCGATTTGTTTTTACCTCCAAGCACATCAAACTACGAAAAAGGGATATGTGAAACACAACGCAGAGATCTCATCTACTTGATGGGAGTCAAATCTTGATCTTCCAGAAGAAAAAACCATCCGCATCCTTCCCTTTTCGCAGCTCCCTTATTTTTTTCGAAGAAAGATATAGGGGCTAGAAATAGGACCGTTTGCGTTCAATATTGCCAATAGTACAACCTTCTATAGGTGGGAGGGATCATGTCCTCAACAAAAAATCTAGAAGTGTTTTTGCATGCGAGGACCATGCATCGGTCGTCTTCCGGGACTGCTATCTACTTTTGCAGTGCAGATCGTGGCAACGGTAATGTACAAGGAACTGATCCGAGATTATGAAGCAATTAGATCAACTTCCATCGACAAGAACTCCACAGCCACATTTCTGTGTCGTGCTAAACAAAACTTAAACTGCCCTTGCAGCCGAAGAAGGAATGCGAGCAGATCAGTTGGCACAAAATTTTCTATTCTTCATACGCCTGCTACACGAGGACGAGGATGATGATCATTGGTGGAACATCAAGCGCAATGTGTTTTATCGGTCCGCTGTGACTATCAGATTGCCGCAGATTCATCTACTGCTTCAACGTTGGCAATAAAAGTAGTGCGGAGGTCGAGGTTTTCGTCTTGATGCAGTTGCTACTTCTACAACAGTCGTCACATCACGAGAATTTTCTTGATCACCACACCTCATTCTACCTCCCCGTCCTAAATCTGTCGCGGTTCAAGAACCCGACCTCATAGACTGCGGGGGAATGATATCCTGAGTAAAAACGCACCCACACCAGAGTCAGGATGGGGATTTTGCAACACAAGCCTAGGAGTTTTGTGAGTCACGCATGACAAGTTGCACTATGCAGTGTAGTGCAGGTTAGCAAGCGCAGCCGCATCACAGATTCGTCTGCTCATCCTGTTCACAGCATCACAAATCCCAAAACACGACTGGCAATGGCTCTCATGGGGATGCGCGTTACAAGTCTTCCTGTCTTTGCAAATCTGCATTACAACTCTGGTGTGGGTACGTTTTTACTCAGGATAAGTGACCGTTTTTGTTTATCCAGAAGGGGTCCATATACTTCCCCACAGCACTCACCAGTGCCTTGTGCATGGCGGGAAAGTCCGTGTTCGGGCCTTTTTTGAAAACGTGAATCTCCATCAAAAGCTGGTCGATGCGATTGAATATGCATTGCAAAAGTATCGCACTCTTATAAATGCATTACAAATTTCCTCAGCATGAGAAAGAAAATTTGTAATGCTGATTTACCTTAAGAAAATGAAATAAAAGATTTGTAATGCATGTTTGCGATTACCACGAGTGCGATACTTTTGCACAGGATATTGAAAATTCCGTTATCGTTGAGCCAACTCATCTATGCATTGCAAACATGTCTGGGGCTGGATGTAGACTGCAACTTGTCATGCTAAATCTGAATCATGCCAAAATCTGTGTTGCATGATTGCCCAAAGCTGGTGTGCACATTTGACCGATTGGAGAGGGAGTTTCTCATGCACCAAAACAGGAATGATACTATCATTCCTGTTTTGGTGCACCTGTTCCCGTCTATCAGATAGATATCTCACAGAATCTGTCATGCTAGTCCTGCATGCCAGACCCAGATCTCACCCCACGGGCCGTGGAAACCTGCATAACAAGTCTTGCAATCTTCCAGACACAGACTGACATGTTTGCATTGGATATCATCAGCACCGGCACTTCAGCGCCTTCCACATCCATCCGTATCGTGTGCAAAAGTATCACACTCGTAGTAATTGCAGTCATGCATTATCAGCATGACAAATTCCATTTGTCGTGCTGAGCTAACTTGTATAGCAATATACCACTAGTACGATGCTATTGCAATTGATAATCCGCAGTACGTGCAGATTCTGGTCCTTCGGCAGCTTCGCAATCTGCTCGATCATGTGTCGCAGGGTCACTGTGCTGTACCGGAAACCTATGCATTGCAAAAGTATCGTACTCGTAATATAAATGCATTACAAATTTCCTCAGCATAAGAAATAAAATTTGTAATGCTGATTTAACTTAAGAAAAAAATTTGCAATGCATGACTGCAATACGAGTACGATACTTTTGCACAGGATAAAACCCGCCCCACGGTGATTATAAACACTGGTCGACTCCCAGCCGCCCTGCCCCCCGCCGCCCTGCCCCATCGTGGTTCCGATGGCGACGGAGTAAAACCAGTGCCGGGTCGGGTGGCGCTTCGTTTGACTCGACAAAATCTGCGGTAATCGCTGGTAGGTGGCCGGGTCCGACCCGAGTTGTGTGTTCGAAACGGCCATGGTGGGGTCAAAGGACCAGACTTTGCAGCCCCGTTCCAGCACAGAATGCTCGAAAATCCAGTTGCGGGCAATCCCTATGCATCGCAAATAATATGTCTGGGTCTGGAAACTTGTAATGCTGAGTTGTGAATAGTGAGTGGTCTGTAATGCACAGCCAAGCATGAGAATTATTTGCGGGGCTTAGTGTTGCGGTTTCCGCATGACAAACTGCGTCTTTGCATGACAAGCAAAAGGGTCTCTTCTTGGAGACGCATCACAGACTTTTCAGTCATCATGCCAGACAAGCATGACAAACCTTGCATCCTTCCAGACCCAGAAGACATATTTGCATTTGATAATCCCGATATATGGATGCGTCAACTTACCCAAACTCAAAATACCCAAAAATTTTATTAGCGATTTTTTATAGCTAGAAAGAGTCCTGATTTCTAATGCCTAAAAGTAGTAGCTATGGTTAAATAGGTAGTAATTTATATAGCTAATTAAGGGCGTTTTCAGGCGTGTATAGAACCCGCAACCTCCGCGACCAACGATCACGGATTCCCCTCGGAACGCTTTGCCGGCTCGACGGTGGACATGTTCTGGAGCAGGTGACTCGACTACTACATCGCACAGAACCAGCACAATAACAACCACTACAGATCCTTTCTAATTGTATTGCAATTGTATATTGAAAGGATCTAGATATGCAAAGCTGTACAAGGTAGTGCTCATGGGGTGCATGATCAAAATGCCTTATATGGGGAAGCTGGCGGGTTCTTGTAATGAAAAGTGGTCAAAGTGTAGCGATTTACATGGCAAATAGAACAATGAATCGCTTCAACTGTAAGAATTTTCAGGGTAGTAATGTTGATTTTCGATCCCGACGAAGTGCGTTTTTACATTGGAAATTGTGAAAATCCCTCACGTTTATCCTTTCATACGAACGAGATGGGCTCAGATCCTAAGAAAACTGAGCGCAAAGGAGCTACTCTCTTCAGGGAGCTTATAGAGGAGTCATTTACGGTCGTGCCAGCGCACGAGAAAAAAGCTGACTTCTACGCACGACTGCGCTATACGAATAAAAACCGAACCCGCTCGGGAGGCCATGACGCAGGATTTTCTCTACCTATGCAGCTCAAAGTAACTTCGCGGAGAGCCGGAGACTACCACAGAAAAACGAAGTCGATTCTGAACAACGAGAAAACTGCTTTGCGCGATGTTGTGCTGGTTGGGATATCATTGGACGACACCGATGAAGTCCTAGTTCACCTGGTTCATCAGTGCGGGCGGTATGCAAATTTCGACGCAACAAACGCGCGACACAATTGCACGAGGAGCAATCTATCGCAGCGGTTGAACGCAATTTGGTGCGCTTCCAGTACTAATCTATTTACAAACACAACGCTGGCGAACTGCTTCAGTGCCGGATCGCTACGAGAGAAAGCAGCAAGACTAGCCTTCTGCGACTCGTTACAAAACAGCGGAATCCGGTATGAATTAGCCGAAACCGAAGGCGAAGCGACGGACGGGCATCTTTAATTACTTCGCAGGGCAAGAGCAGCATCGTATCGCGGTACAGGAGAAGGCTGGCGTGTGGCGGGTTGAAAACGGCGCGTCGCTGGGTTTGAGGGTGAAGATGCTGCGGTACGTGGTGCATTTTGATATTGTTCGAAGGTGTTAGTTGTTGTCGCTTTTTGTAGATCCACTACGCCCTCAAAAATCTAAAACCAGGAAGAGCGGGAAAAACTACGAACGTGGAGACGCGGACTACCTACTGGCTCACGTTGAGCCATATGATGCCGCTAGCCCTCGCGCCTTTGAGCTAGCAGGCTCCGTACTTATCTCTTTTGCAGAGTTGGACGCTAATGGTTACTTACGGCGAGACGACAGGTGCGTTTTTGTTATCTGGTGATGCAATAGCTTGAAGCCAAACCTAAAGAAACATATATGGGCTTCGAAACTGCATGGAGCACGTGTTTTTGACGAGGAAAAGAAGACACAACTACGAAGCAAAAAATAACGAGACTCGAGATGTAATTGCACTCTCAAAACCACAGCCACCCTGGGATTAGCATGCTTGCTGCGTGCCCTCCTGTTGCTGGTGTGCGAAAGAAACGAAGCCGGTGGATCGAGATGAAATACTTCGAGAAAGACGAACTAGCAAAAGCAGTAGCGCGTGCACTTGAAGATGAGTTTCCGACTAATACAAAACGAAAGCAACCAGCTGACCACGACAAGCAGAACCATCACGACAATGGCACAGCGAACGATAACAGCTGCGGAATAATGTAAACTCCAGCGAGCACCAGGCTGGTACTGTAGTGAGGGCAAGCAGTTTCTGTAGGCATACGCTTGCAGGGTATTTTATTCAAGAGGACGCACTATAAAACTTGCACTACGGTGCTACTGAGTTTTTTTTGTTTTACTATACTCATGCAACTACTTTTTTCAAAAAGTGCGACCCTTGTCACTGACTCGAAAGAGTTATCATAGAGGTGTTTTTTTTCAAAACGCACGAAGATAAATCGCGAGGCAAAAGCCGGCATGTGGAGGAAGTAATAGAGTGGCTCGATAGAAACAAAAAAAACTGAAGCGCGTTATTGCGTTTTGCAGTCACTACCACTAAATAAGTACGCTTTTACTGGTTTAGTCGTCTTCTTCATCTTCACTGTCTGTATCGTCTTTTTTCTTCTTCGACTTCATTTTCGCCTTTGGTCCAGTAAGTCGCGGCACGTCTCCTTTTCCTGGAGCGTTTAGTTTTGACGAACTAGCTTTACTTTTGGAAGGTTCGGATTTTTTTGCTGCTTTACTTGACATCTTTCTTTGTTTCGTTTCTTTTTCTTCGACTACAGGAAGAAGGGTGGCCCGCTTCTCAGCTGTTGTTTTTTGTTCTGCTGCTTTGGAGAAGATTTTACTTCCGGTGCACTGCTCCTGGTCTAGGTCGAGCTCGTCCGCAACTATGTTGACCATTTTTTCACTGATCAGCGTATGCAAGGAAAATGCGAGCGGATGCACTTTGCATGACATCAATTCTAGAATGAAAAGAAAGGGTATTTGTCATGCAAAAAATGTAAAAAAAGAAGCACAGCTTCTGACTATTAAAAATGCGCCATCGCCTCCTGTCATGCTAAATCGATACTATGCAGAAGCGCCGCAAGTAGCAGCTGACTAGGCATTTTTCTCTACTCGCATTTTCCTCAGATACGTAGCGTTCACATCAGCAGCTTCAAGACCGAACTCAAGCAGCACGCGGGGCAACAAAAAGCGTTTAAAATTTGCAAGATCATTACGAACATGAAAAATGCAATCGCCACGTGAATTTTTGCAGAATGAAACGCGCGTGACATTTTTACTTTGGTTGCAAATGAAGTTGAAACTCAGGTGGCGATTGCAATTTTCCTCATATGCTCCATCGCCGGTGGTTTCGCATTCCGGGCAGAGAGGACTTTTTTTCGGTTTGTAATCCGGCTCGGCCCAGTAGAGCCTCACCTTGTCGCCGCCGACACCTTGCGTCACACGATGGCTGCGGCCTACCGCGATTAATTTCGGAACGAAGCCCGGCAGGTTGTTTTGGTGTACGGAAATGATGACTTTTGCGCGCTCGCGGGAACAGCCCGCGGAAGACGACGACGATTTACCACCAGCGATGGCCTCGCGCATTTTCGGATCGAAAACCGAATGCGCAGCCTTCTCCCGCGCTTCGTCGATTTTTTTATTGTGCTGCTGGACGAACTCGAGAGTGGTGGTAGATTTGCGCAGCCGCTTGTCGCTGAGCCTCTCGATCAGTTTTTCCATGTGCAAAGAGGAGAAGTTTCCGTCCTTGTAACTGATGAAACACGCACGACGCACCCGCTCTGGTAGCTTCGAAAACAAGTGCTTCGTAAACTCCGGAAACTGGTTGACTAGTCCTCGCAGCGCAGCATACTGCTGGTCTACCTTAGCGTGCTGAAAAACGGAAAGCATCGCGGTAGTAGAAGGCAACCAGTGCACATTCCGGAGCTCGATTTCGAAGCGTGTAACTTTTCCGATGGACGGATGGATGGAACCTTCAAAAAAGTCTACTCCGCGCAAGAAATCCGGCTGGAAAGCAATTGTTTGCACGGTCTCGCACATCAAGTACACGCTGCTGCTATCCTCGCTTTGGCGGGGATTTTTGTATCCGATGCGGCCGCCGGAATAGTAGAAGACGCAAGTCACCTGGTGCGTTTTCGAATCGCGACCGATGACAAAACCCCGCTCAGCAATTTGCGCTGCTATTTTCTTCTTCTCGGCCAGGACGACGCTGCAGCTCTTGTGCATTTTATATTCTTCGGGCGACTGGATCTCGTAGTCCAGGACGCACTTGGTGATCATGCCTCTGAGGCCAAGGCTCTCGCTTCCGAAATAAGATTTCTTGTGATCCAGGAGGTCGCCCCACAGCTTCTGAACCAGCGGAGTTTTTTTTGCTTTTTCCCGCGCAAACTTCTCCAGATCGCCGAGAAGCTGTTCAAACTCATCGGCTTGCGACGCAGATTTGGAAGCACTATCCACCGCGAGCGCATTGGTTTCCAGTTGTTTCATCGCTGTGTCCATCGTAGTACTGCAGATCTTTTTGCGATTCTGCAAAACCTCGCTGATGCCATCGACAATAGTAGTAGTACCCAGCGGCGGAGTCTTCTCCTGGTTCTTGCATATCGGAATAGTTTCGAAGCAGGGCGTTTTCTCCACTAGATTCCACCGCGCAATCTGCCGGGTGTACTGTGACTGATCCGCTTTGCCGGCCTTCTTCTGCAACAACTTGTCCTTCCAGGCGTTTTCGATAATTTTCTCACTGAGAAAAAAAGACTTGCAGTTCGCGTTGGTCTTCTCCTCCAAAACATCGAGGCGTTCATCTATGATGCAGCGCATTGACCGCTTTGTGAATCCGAACTGCCGAAATGGAAGACTTTTCTCAAGGTGCGGAACTTGGTCGCGGGTAGGAGTAGTGATGCGCTTGTCGACGATGGACTCGAACAGACCGTATTGCGGGTCGTAGAGGTCCTGCATATCGCACTGCAAAACGTTACGCAAAAACTTCCAGAAAGTCTTCCTGTGATTGTCGCTTTTCGGCAGAGAAGCGACCGCATCTACCACCATATCCTTCCAAAACGCGTCGCGTCGAGCCCGCACTTTCTCGCGCAGTTGCGGAGTTGTTAGATGAGAATTTTCGTCGAGATTCGGGTCGAGAAACCTTCGCGCAGTTGCTAGCGCTTCCGGTTTCGCAAACATCTTCGTGCGGTCGCTGCCGAAAAGAGCTTCGAAGAGGTAATGCGCATCGACATGCGTTTTTGATATGTCGAGAAGAGCTTCCGCGTCGCCGGGTGGAGCTTTCGTTTTCGCACCGTACACCTGGCTCGCATATCCCAACCACGTGCCGCCAAGTGCTGCCGCCGCGTGATCTAAATCGTCGCACCGGAATCGACCATCATAGTCGTTGTCTTCTGCACTTCGACTTTCGAGTTCTTGGCGAGCAGCTCTTCGCGCAGCAGTCGTGTCGTGGAGCCGCTCGTCGTCCATCAAGGCGCTGAATATAAAATCAAACTCATGCGGGTTCTCCGAGAGGATTTTTGCGCCGGCTGGGCTGCGTTGCCACCGCGTTGAGACACCATTCACCAGCTTCGTGCCTTGGTTGGAATTGTAAATGAAATGGAAGCATGAGACAGGTATCGAAATACTTTATAATTTATGCGCCTGAATTGAAAAAAATCCGAGACGTCTTTTTTTCTCTAATCGCGACGGTGTGATGATTTTTTGTCGATTCAAAATCTACCATCGGGGAGGGGGATCAATGATCCCCCTGATCCATGCCTAAAAATATATTGCTTCCCCGATGCTATGCTCTATGCAAAACAAATATAATTTGACTTGATGGCATCAGCTCGAAGCTGTTATGTCATGAAATATAGCATGAGAAGTTATATGTTTTCATATGGAAATAAAATCAGGTAGCAGTGCGTCTGTTTTCGATTGCGTCCTTCAATGTCTCGGCGTCCACCTCCACCATGAAGCCCATCGCTGCAATACGCGCTGCGGTGTCGGCATCGGAGTCATCTACTTCTCGTTCCAAGTGCTGCCACATTTTCGAAAATACGCCAACACTTCCACCACTTCCCTTCGGTCCGTTTAAGTGCGGCCGAATAGTATCGCAGAGCCGCCGGATTTCTTCAGGCGGACAGGTCCGGGCGACTTCTTTTTCTAATTCGTTTCTGAAAGTTGGCTAATTTGAGAACCAAAAGAAGGCGCAAGCACAGAAAAAAACACCCCGGCCGAACAACCTAACCCGAGGGCGATGCCTCCCCGAAGAACCAAAGAACCCCCCGACCACTATTGTTCCGCGGGCGGGCGTAACGGAATCAACAAGGCGCAAAATCAGGCAAAAAAAGCAACCCGGAACGGAGAAACACCACACACCCTGCCGGACCCAAAGCCCGGCCGGAACACAAAGAAAGGCCCACCAAGGGAATTCATGGCGCCAGCGCAAGCCGATACACGCGGCGCCCAACCAATCAAAGGCCCGGCCACAGGCCATCAAAATTCGAAGAGAGGACGCGGGCGGGCAAACATCGGCCGGGCCAGAATGAAAGGACACAAATCAGAATCGGCTTCGAATTCGTGTCCGGCGCGCGCCGGTTTCGTGTTTAATTTGCATCCGGAGACACCACCCGACCCCCCGAAAAATAGGTTTCTAATTTGCAATCTAATTTTTTTGGAACCGTGTCTAATATGCTCTTTAATCTGCATCTAATTTGCAGAGAATCCCCAAGCCCCCGGCCAAAAAATCGTTCCCGATTTCCCTGTACAAAATTTCTGCGATTTTGTACAGTGAAATCGGTAGCGATTTTCGGCCGCTGCAAATTAGCCAGCCAATTAGCGCCTATTAGCAGCTACATTAGCTGCAAATTAGGCGCAGATTAGCTGCAGATTAGGTGCAGATTAGAAGCGCCGAAAATAGGTGCGTTTTCCAATTAGAATTTCAAATTAGAAAATTCCGGGAGGTGTTCCCGGGGCTTTTGGCAGGCATGTCAAACATGGTCGACACCATGTTTGAACTGCCCGCGCCCAGGACCATCTCCAGACGAAGAAGGAGGAAACCATAGGACGGGGCGCGAAACTCCCTACCGGGGCAAAGTCCGTCGGCCTGCCACGCCCGGCCCAAAAAACACACAGACGGAAGCCATGCCGGGAGGGTCACAGGCCGAACGACAAACCAGAACACGCCCCAACCAACCGCCCACGGCTTCCAGACCCAAGGGGGACGGGCCGCCGAAGCCAATACCGCAAAGCGAAAGACACCCCCGCCGCGAAATCGGCAAAGCCACGAGGCCACGGGCTCACATTCGAATAGCGGCGCGCCGAATGTGCCCCGTGCGCTCCGCAACGAGATTCGGCACGCAACCAAGCCGGCGCAAGGGGGCTGCGCGCGCTCTCAAATTAGCCGAATTTTAGTTGGTAATTAGAACCCGAAGGCGCCCGGGGCTGTCCGCCTGAGATTTCTTCGCACAAATTGGCAGTATTATTACTGAGACGATGTTGGATGGGTAATCTTGTGGCTCCATCTATATATTGGAGGAGAACTTGCCACATTCTCAATTCGGACGGGCCCTGGTCCGAGAGAACGTTCAAAATCAGCGACCACACAGCCGGGCTTTTGCTGTCGTACCAACTCGCCACGTCGATTGCTTCGCACGTTATACCCGGATCAAGTAGCACAGCAGCAAGAGCCTCGGCGCCAAAGAGTTCTTCTACCGTGCAGAGAAACGCCATGCCACTGCAGCCAGTGGCAAGGCAGTGTGATCATCTTTGTGCTTCTTCTGGTCGCTGATATTTGGAAACTCCGCCGTCTTCATTGCCATTGGTATTGCGCAGTAGTCTTCTTCCATTTTTCCGAGCCAGCGTTTGCATTCTGGCTGCGAGAATCCCACCTGATGTCTTTGCTCAAGGATGTCACGCGTGATGATGTAGTTTTTGAAATGAGCAAACTTCTTCTTGTCGCAAGCATGAAAGGAGTAGGTCGCGCTTTTATATAAAATATACCACGCATCCATAGGCATGCAGCCGCCGCTCGCTGCGAAGAGTAGTCGTGGCATAAAGTCCACTGGTTACTTGGGTTTATATTCAGTGGCTCGAAGTATTGCTCCATAATAAGTCTGCAGTTTGTCCGCGGGAGAGCTCTGCGCCGCGCAGTAATTTTCGCACCCGAGTATCGCCGCATGTAATAGTCCTGATATTTATTTCGATCGACTGACGCATAACAACACGCATATGAAGACTACTACTCAGTCACTGCATCCATAAAACATCTCATGCGATGCACCACCCAAGTCATGTCATTTTTGCATGCAAAAAAAGAACGTAGCACCATCTCGCGGCTTCGTTCAGGCAGCTTGGTGCTGGTTCGACTATTCCCTCCAAGTTGCTGCCTACCGTACGCCTCGACTCCAGCAACACACTCTTCAAAATTGCGAGCGTCGATGTTCTCGATGCTTTTCGAAAATGGGCAACCACCGATGATGTCTCTCCACCGGGCTTGATCGCCATACAGCTCCTTCTTGCGGTACAGCAGGCGCCAACACTGATATTTAACGTTTTCGGCATAATACATAAGATGCGTCACAATATGCAGAATCTTCGATGTAATGCTGTGACTCATGATACTGCTACAAATAAAAAAGCTCCGCGTCAATGAGTTACAGTACCAAGTTCCTCGCGTCACCCCGAAGCATTATATTATCGGGACAATCGTAGATGTTGTGGCTTCTTCTGAGCACCATTGCCATCGATGATATATCGCGGCCACAGTGCTTCGGATCGCGGAAAACGGAACGCACTGCGAATTCTGCTTTTCCGGAGACGCGGTCGAGGTGGACCTGCGTCCAGTGCGTCGCCTTGGAAGCTGTATACCGAGACGGCGCAGCAGCTTGCGCCACCGCTTCATGCGCAACAACGGCATTTTCAGCCGCCAAGAACGGATCGACTTGCGGGAAGGGAAGCATCTTGCTCGCGCGAAGTACATAATCTTCAACCAGGGTGTGCTATGCTACGAAGACACAAACTTCAGCGCATCTCTCATCTGTCCCTCATCATTAGCCCGCAACAGCGACACAATCAGCAGCAGAACAACACAAAACGCCAATCGCAGTAGCCTTTCAAGCAGGTCGCGCAAGTTCATTTTTTCATCGTTTTACAGACAGTAGCTGACTAAGACCACAGCTACTTTCAAAAATTCAAATGGCTTTTACAGCCGGTCTTTGATGTTTTCATCATAATGCCGCGCCGCCTGTAGTACAAGCAGCGCTTCGTCATCCTCTCGTTTATAGATGCGTGGACTTACCACGCCAGAAGAACGCGCAGCCCCATGGAGTCGTCAAATATTTCTAGTGCGTGCTGCTTTTAAAAAGTAGTTTCCTTGCCAAGAGCTCCGTCCATAACTGCACGCAGAAATAACTTTGCTCCGGCGAAGGATAGGGCGTTGCGAAAGTGTAAAGCTCTGGCTGAAGATTTGTGTCCTTGCGGATTTGTCTTTACCATGGAGAGAGACGAGAGCAAATATATAATGAAAAAACCAAATAAGAAATCACTTTCAAAAAAATTGCTAGACATTACATGGCACTTCCACTAGAAAGAACAAGCCATAGTGAGAAGTGCTAGCTTTCTACTTCGATGTTTTACACTCAAATATGTAGAACAAAGAATTGAAAGAAAGCCGACTACTGCAGATAATTCACTTCTTCGCACGCTTCGCCGGCGGCTCAGCACACTTCGCCTTCGCAGCATTCTTAGCAGCGGCTTTGGTAGCGGCTTTTCCGGCCGGTTTTGCGGCGGGCTTCGGTTCCACCTTCGGCTCGGCCTTGGACGCAGCTTTGGCCTTGGACTTCATCTTAGCAAGGTATGAAACACAAAACTCCCTTTGCCTCCTCACAACATCATTTTCAATGCGTGACAGAATGAAAACACAATGCAAAGCTGCCAACTTGTGTGAAGTGTCAATATGCATACATAGATGTGAGGTTGCAAAAGGAGTTTTTACAGATTCATACCTTCGCCGTCGCGCCAGCGTCGTTGAAAGCGTCAAACTCCGCACCCAGGGTGCTGTTGGTGTCCAACAAGTTGTTGCCGACGGCCGATGAGGCGCTGGAAGAATCGATACCATCCAGCGTGAACTCCGGCTGCGGGGCCTCGTTCGAAGACGACGACTCCATCACGCTGCTAGCAGACGGCGCAGCCAGGATCGAGACAGACTTCGGCTGCGGCTTCGCCACCGGAGAATCCGGTGGGAGCAGTGTCTCCTTCCCACCACCGGTGGGAATCAAAGCGCCAGTCGTTTTCGCATCGGGGGGAAGCAGCTCCCTGGACGTGTCCGCAACCAAACCGCGCGGACTGGTCGTCGCCTCGGTGGTGGTCGTGTGCATCATGCCGTAGTGCTCCACTTCGGGAAACGGCATCGGGTCGTTGCTACCACGGGGGGCACGGTTTGCGGACATCTTCTCGCCGATGGTCAGCGACCGTCGCGCGGGGAACGTCTGCAGCGGGCGGTCCATCAGTGGAGGCGCGTTCGAACCGCCCGTGATCATCATGCTGGTGCTGGAGCCCTGATATTATGGCTTGTTGGATTACATGCGGAAGCGATCGTCTTCACTCTCAATCCACCACACGACGCACGCAACCATCAAAAATAATAACTACATGATCTAAAAGCGCGCCGATGTTGAGCGTGTTGTGCACCTGAATTGGAGCTGCGCTGGCCATTGGGAAAGCGGCACCGTGGACCAGGTTCATGGAGGTGGCGTTGGTGGAGCCTTGCAGTAAAGCTGCGGCCTTGGAGAACACGCTCCCATCCGGGTTGATCTCACGGCGGCTCAGCATCGCACCCAGTTCCATCTCGCTGGCTGGGCATGCGGTCGCACAAGGCGCGGGCGGAGGTTTGACAGTACTCGTTTCTCAGGTAGCACGCACAAACGCGAGCACTGCGGTGGCGCAAGTCCTGCGGGATCTGTGTAGTTATACGCGGGATTTTACTGATTTTCATTTCGTAGAACAACCGACTCCAGATCTATGCGTCACGACCTGTATGACATGATCAAAACGCTCAAGCACGATCTGTAGATGAAGCAACACATCAACGCGCGCATGTTCATAGAAGTATATACCTGTCCTCCGGCCCGGATGTTGATGTTGCTAATGAGCCAGATGAACTGCGCACCATGGGCCAAGCGGCGATCTAGATCACTTTGTCGCACTCCACGCCAGCAACTGACGATCTCGCGGATCTCGCGAAGTTCTAGTTGATTCCAGGTTCCGGCTCCGCGGGCTAGGGGCTCGCTGCGCACTTGGGACAGGTGGAGGCACTGACATTTGAGTCAGTTAAGCGAGTATTTATTGGCAGGCACTACAATTGCATCAGAGACTACAGGCATGAAAACAAAAATGTAAAGCATCACTACAAATTCAAGAAATAGAGGGCAGTTTGTCATGGTAAGAAATCAAATATCAATAGTACTCCTTGCTCGCGGGCCATCTTTTTTTCCTGCTCTTGCCGGGCACGCTGAATTACCATGCTGAGCTCATCGGTGTCGAGGCGGGATAGCCAGGCCACGAGTTCGCTCACGATGCCCATGCTGTTGTTTCCTTTCCCGCCTCCACCACCGCCGCAATGAATAGCACATCAGGGCGAGCAAGCTCATGATGAGCCACAACAGGACCTCCTGCGGGGTCCAGCGCATCTTTTGTTTCTGCAACATCTTGCAGCTCTTGTTGAGACACTTCGACATTGCGAAGTAAGTAGCAGTCGCTGCTGTGAAGGTGAAAAATTGGAATTGTGGATACGCCCAATCCTGAGCAGAAAATAATTAAAGACGACGAGACGACGAAGCCAGGATCTGAAGGAGCTAGAAGATATTCAGAGCATTGCGGTTTGAAATTGTCATTCTTGGAACAGTGCATGTGTGGAGAGGAGCAGCGCAATTTTGGAGACCTACAATTTCGATGCTGGACATTTTGGCGAATTTATACCATTGGAATTCAGACCTCTTTCGTGCTTGATTTGTGATGTTTACCAGTGGATCTTCTCAGTGCTGCTATATGATTTGAGTGCTTTCTTTCTGTCCGTTTCAGCTTGGCGATTGTGTTGCATTTTGTATGATCTACAAGAGAAGCGCTTGATGCTGTCGCACATTGGAGAGGTCTTTGCATTTTCATTTGGATAGCAGCCGGTTTACATCGATTTCCGCTCCATCTTCCGCTCCTGCTTGGGTTCAGGGTTAAGGTGCCGTTCCGAGGGGAATCCGTGATCGTTGGTAGCGGAGGTTGCGCCTTCTACACACGCCTGAAAACATCCCTTTCAAAATAGCTATTTACCTTAACTAATAAACGTAGATTTAACGGCGCCGGATAGTAAGTCCGGACTCTAAGTAGTTAATTAAAATGGCTAGTTAAATTTTTGGGTAAGTTGAGTTTGGGTAAGTTGACGCAGTCATACGATAGAAATCACATTGCACGTTACTTGATCCAGCTTCGTGTTGAAGTTTCCCAGCGGCTTTTTGATATGCATCGCAAATATCGATCTGGGACTCGGGCGGAATTTGTGCTAATACGCCATACGCCAAATGTATCATAACAACAGATATGTGTTGATGCCTGAGAACAACAATGGGTCATCTTTTTTGTCATGTGTTTATTTACGTGCGGCAGAATTAATACGCCTCGCAAGCTGCTACACCGTACAAGACATTCTGCAAAAATGCAGCAAGTACAAGTTGTATCAGCAAGACAAATTTTTTCCAGACCCCGAGAGTCATATATTTTGCCATGCATATTTGAACGTGTCTAGACACACGTGAACATCCGGTTCCAGGTGGTTCTCCCCTTTCAGCGAGTAGAATTCCTTGCACTTATGCAGTACTAAAAGCGCCGCACCGCGGCCATGCACTACTAGCATGACAGAAAAAAATCTCGTCCTAGAATGAGAATCTGTCATGCGGAATAAGGTACTACGAAAAGTGCATATACAATGAGTACGACGTGTACGAGTGCGGCACTAATCTAATATATAATTTCACACAACATAACACTGCGCCATTGATACTTTCGCGGCGTTGAGTTGGCCTTTCGAGTAGAAATTCTCGAAGATCTTCAACTTCGGTAGATTGCTGTCCGGCTTCGGCTATGAACTGCAAAAGCATCGCATTCGTTTATTAATCGCATTCATGCATATACATCTGCACTCGTTTATTAATAGCACTCGTTTATTAACCGCACTCATTTACAAGTGTTTTTCTCAAGTACAAGTTAAATCCGCATTACAAATTTCATTTCCCACGCTGAGGAAATTTGTCATGCGATTTATATATACAAGTACGATACTTGTTCTGCGATTCATATCGGTTCCTCGTAGTTGTAATTCAGAAACTGTCGGCCACCGAGGAAAATCAAGCAGTAAAACTTCTCCCGTCCGTAGACGAAACTTTGCGCACCGTTAATTTGCAACAATCTGCTAGAGGTGGACGAAGTCGAATTTGTCTTGCTATCACCAATGTTGTACAGACTGCGCTTGTCATGCCGGTCTGCTGAAAAAGAGAAATCCAAATCTTCTGCAAGAAATCGCAGGGGGTTGTAGTCGAAGGCTTCACTGTAGAGGAATTCCATCGCTCCCGGAGTGTTGATGTCAAAGATTTCGTTTCCATCGAGATGACCATGAAGACGAGCAGGCGGTCTATTTTTACTCTTCTGGGACGATGTAAAAGATCTTGACGATGAGGCACGAATTATATCGTCCGGCTGCCCTTGCTGCTCTTGCTCATCTTCATTCAATTGAAATTGAAACCCAGCCTCCTCCTCGGTCGCCAGCAATCTTTTTCCTCTCGGCTGTTTCTGTCGCGGGTACGCGTAATGTGCCGTGGAGCTGGAGGGAATCACGTTGGTCGTGGATCTAGAAGAAGGTTTCGCTGCACCGCCCACCCGCTTCCCACTGCTATCGTGCAGCTGCTTATCGCCCGTGGAAGCAAAAGCGGGACTGAAGCTCTGCGTCGGGGGCACCAACCGGTTCGGCCGGAGGCTGCTGAGTTGCGGATTAGACCGCGCGGTGTTCACAGCCGGGTTGTTTCCTCGAAAGTTTGCGGAAACCCGTTGCGGAATGCTCGGCCGGGCAATAGCTTGGACGCCCCCGTGCAAGTGGTGATTGTAGGCCAGATCGTTACATTTGGACTTCGGCGCCGTCCGTATGTTGCACCGGTCCTCCTGGTCGGACGAGTCTGGATTGCTAATATCCTCTGCAAAAGAATCGTACTCATAGTAATTGCAGCCAACATGCATTACAAATCTTTATCTTGTTCTTAAAAATCTTAAGCTGAATCCGCATCACAAATTTCATTTCTCACGCTGAGGAAATTAAAATTTGTAATGCATTTATAAATACGAATGCGATACTTTTGCAATGCATAGCTAATTTGGCAACACAACTTTCGCTGCGGCGAGTTCGGTGTGGTTCGTTCGCACTCAGTGCAGAATTCCAGCAAATTATCGTACGAAAAAAGTGTTTCACAGTGCTGATTTTGGTTTTGCATGTTTTGCATCACAAGTTTGTTCTACATGACAGAGAAAATTCGCCATGCGCGTTTCCCAAGGGAAAATACGCTCAGACACCCAACGTCTTGCAGGTGTAGCAAGACAAATAGTTCTTTGTTGCTTTTTCTGCATCACAAATTCACAGTGAAACAGTTTTTTCTTGCGATACAAATCCCGGTAGCATTTGTCGTTGTTCCCCGTCCAGAAAGTGTTCAAAAAGTCGCCGTATGAACTGCAAAAGCATCGCACTCGTAGCAATTGCAGTCATGCATTGCAAATCTTTTTCTTAAGGCAGATAGGCATTACAAATTCCATTTCTCATGCTGAGAAAATTTGCAATGCACTTCATACTTACTAGTACGATGCATTTGCATTTCATACGCCGTTTGTAGCTGTGGTTGGCGGTTTCGGTTTGTTCATCTCTGGTGCAGCTCCTGGTGGTTCCTGTTCGCTAGGCACCGGGGTCGTCGATGCTGTCGCCGCAACAGAGCTCGACCCAGGGGCTGCCGTAGTGCCGCCCAGTGTAGAAGTCGCTGCACTCGCACCCCCTGGCGCAACGTTATTCTGGATCTCCCCCACGATCGTTTTCGCCTGTGCTGTCGTGGTCACAGCGGAAGCTACGCCATTGGCTGTGGCGGATGCAATGGCGGCTGCAGCGGCTTCTACCTGAAGATTCTTACCCCCTGCTGCCGTGGTACTATCGGACGTCGGTAAGCTGGTGCCCGGCAGGCCTCCACCTGCGAGACCTGCCCCGGCTCTGCTCCTACTCCCTCTAGAAGGTAAGAGAAAGGACCCGCTGTTCTTGACCATGCCATATTGGTGGACGATGTGGGTGCAGAAAATCATCAGTGAGGTCAGCAACAACTTCTGCTTCGTCGCGGTGAGTTTGTCAAGGGCAGAGGCGGCTGTCGTGGAGGCGAAAGTGGATGAACCACCAGAAGCAAAAGCAGACGAAGTGTTCATACTCATTTTGTACGTATCGTTTGGTTGATTATGATTATCAAAAAATCATAAAGTCCTCAGTGTAAGAAGTACAGATTTTTTCCAACCGCATTGAGTCGACCGACGCCTCCAATTTACGGGCACCCAGCACGGGAATTACCTTCAAAAGTCCGAAGATGAAGATGAAGAAAAATTCGTGCTGGCTTTCATCTACAACTATCGCAGCATGGAGCCCCCTGCTCTTGGAGGTATCTAATTGAAGTAAGTAAACTAACACCAGTGCAGATGATACAGATCCCCTCAGTGATCTAGGGGGCCGTGAGGCCGTGACATAATTTCTGTGGTCACGACGATGTAAATAAAGCAGCAAATGGAAGATGAAGAACAGCATCAAAACCATACGTAGAAAACAACGGAGATGAAGTAGACTTGAAGTCGATAACATCAATAAAGCCTCCACAGCCAAGAGGGTGGAAGAAGAGGCTAGTGATCATGTAGATTTGAATTGACTATGTTTCTTTACTTTAGCTTTACTGCGTTCGCCTTCGCTGGCCTGTGTAGTAGAAGTTGTCATGATTTTATTCATGGCGAACCGCTAGAAGCGCAAGAATCCGATTTTTTTACTCCGGCAAGATGAACTCCAACCATGACCCACTATTTGTTTCACTCCTCCCGATATTCGTCGCCTTCCTCAGCCTCCGTATGCCCTGCAAAAGTAGATCGTACTCGTAGCTGTAATTGCAGTCACGCATTAGAATTCTCTTTCTCAAGGCATACCCGGATTACAAATTTCATCTCTCTTCCTGCTGACGAAATTTGTCACGCGATTTCTACTACTCCGATCCTTTTGCAATTTGCGTATTCGATCAGGCGTTTCTTTCTCGGCTTCGCCTTGTCCCGATCGTAGACGGGTTCCCAGTCGCTATGCAAGGAAAAAACTGTGTAAGTGTAACTTTGTCTTGCAGATGTTGCAATACACTTACACTTGTCCTGGTGGTTATGCATCAAATACTATTTTCTCACGTGTTTTCGCGTACTAGCTACGCATGGCAGGTTTTCTCTGTCGTGCAAAACAAATCTGTGATGCTGTTCCTGCAAAAAAGTTACACTTACACACTTTTTTTCTTGGATAGTCGCCTGCGAAGTATATTAATTTCCAGTATAATTTTTCATCATGTCCGTTCTTGCACATGACAAATCATTTTCCTACAGCTTTGTGCTCAACTTTCCAGCATGAAGGGAAAAGTGCAAGTGCACCCAATTAATACGCTGGTAGTAGTATTTCTGCATGTAACGAGGCATCATCATCATGCTCAATGCTTACTCTTACCTTTACACTTCATACCAAAAGATCTTGCAGAAGAATAAAAACTAAAAACATACTCGATCGCACAAGGATGCAGCACGGACGTATCACCGATTCTTCAGAATCTTGCGCGAGCAGGTATGACTCGCAAAAGTAAAAGTATCGCACTCGTATAAATGCATTACAAATTTCCTTAGCGTGAGAGCTGGAATTTGTCATGCTGTTTTACCTTAAGGACAAGATTTGTCATGCATAGCTGCAATAATTAGTACGAGTACGATACTTTTGCAGTTCCTAGCAAGTTCTTCATCACAACCTTTTCGCCCCCGAGTTTTTTGCACGGGTCGTACATCATTCTCCAGTCGATCTTCTCCCGTCGAAAGATATGCATTGCAAATATGTCTGGGTCCTCTGGAAGAATGCAACGTGTCATGCTAATTCTGGATAGTGCAAAAATCTGTGTTGCGTGATTTGCCAAAAGCTGTTGAGTTGTTTTGCTTTTGACCAAGCTGAAAGGAGTTTCTCATGCAGACGAGGCATGACAGAGGTCGGGCAGCATCTGTCATGCTGGGTCATGTATGACAGACCTCACGCGTCATGGAAAACCTGCATGACAAGTCTTCCAAATTAATTTCCAGACCCAGACATATTTGCATTTGATAAAAACGGTTGTTGTACCACCATTGTGTAAACCACCCTGGTTTCTCGATCCTTTGGTAGTTTTTCTTCGCGAGCTCTAGTTTCAGACTCCGCCTTACCTCGTGCATGTTTACGCGAATCTTCTCGCATTTTCCCCACATCTCCCTCCGTTCCGACCTTTTGTTCTCGCGCCAATGCTCTACGTACTCGATGCGTTGCCCCAAATTGCGGTACCGCTTATTTCGTCGGTGCACCAACGCGTCGCAGCCCACTGGCGCACTGGTGTGGGGGTCCACTGTGTTTGCTTTGCAGAGGTAGGGGCTATGCATTGCAAAAGTATCGTACTCGTATAAAAAAATGCATTACAAATTTCCCTGGCATGAGAAATAAAATTTCTAATGCGGATTTGACTTAACAGAAAAATCTGTAATGCATGATTGCAATACGAATACGATACTTTTGCACAAGATAGGGGTTCCACCAGGACCACAGTCGTCGGGACACGGTTCTCCGAATGCAGCCGGGGATTTTGGTAAATGTATGCAAGAAAAAGACTGTGTAAGAGTGTACCTTTGTGATGCACACGAGGCCACAGGACAGCTCTACCCGTGGCCATACTTGCCATGCATCAGAGGGTCTTTTCGTACGTGTTTTCACGTCGTCCTAACTACGCAAATTTTCGCTGTGATGCGGCGCAAATTTGTGATGCTGTTCCTCCAAGAAATTTACGCTAGTAATATCCACAGTTTTCTCCTTGAATAAAATGCGTTTTTGATGTACTTCCGGAATATCACACTCGTCTATGAACTGCAAAAGTATCGTACTCGTATAAATGCAGGTCTTGCATTACAAATTTTTTCGTCAAGGCAAATCAGCATTACAAATTTTATTTCTCATGCTGAGAAAATAAATTTGTAATGCATTTATACGAGTGCGATACTTTTGCACAGGATATCGTCCCAGTCGCGACGATTGCGGCGAAAACGACCACAGCAGCTGCAGAATCAATCTCCAACGCGAGGCGGTGCAGGCTGAGGCGCTATCCTGAGGAAAAACGTACCCACACCAGAGTTGTAATGCAGATTTGCAAAGACAGGAAGACTTGTAATGCGCATCCGCATGAGAACCATTTTCAATCGTGTTTTGGAATTTGTAATGCTGTAAACAGAGTGAGCAGATGGATTTCTGATACAGCTGGCCTTGCGAACCTGCACTACACTACGGACTGCAACTTGTGATGCGTGACTCACAAAACTCCTAGGTTTGTGTTGCAAAATCCCCATCCTGACTCTGGTGTGGGTACGTTTTTACTCAGGATAGGCGCTGTAGTTCTTGCATCATCTTGTTCATCTTCCGATGTTCTTGTGTACTAGTTGTGGTCCTCTGCGTCGTTTGCACAACTTGTTGGAGGTGTAGTTCTTTGGAGGTACTAGTACTCGTGCTATGCATTGCAAATATGTCTGGGTCTGGAAGAAGATTCTGAAACTTGTCATGCACGTTTTGCGTGAGCCATGATGCAAGTGATGCATGCCCTAGCATCACAGATTTGTTGAGGGCTGCTTGATGCCTATTCCGCATGACAGATGCCCTCTCCTTGTAGCAAAAATTCGATTTCTTTTGCTGCTCATACAATACAGATTTTTCTGGAATCCAAATGCAGCATCACAAGTCGCATTCTTCCAGATCCAGACACATTTGCAGTTGATATGTGCCTTCTTCCACCCGCGTCGTCCCTGTCTGAACGAAGGAGTGCTCGGACTTGCTTGCCCGTTCTTCGCGTTCCCCCGCCCCGGCGGGCGTAGGGTGAACTTCACTCCCGCGAAGTTGTAGAGTACTATCTGCGACGACCGCGCCGTGCCTTTTCCTCATCCTCTCTGGACCGTCGTGTTCATCTGATTGCTCTTGACGCATGTGGTCCACATATTCCTGGATTTCCATTTCCACAGCGGGCTTTTCCTTTTCATTTTTCGCGTCGCGACCCTCATTACCCGCTCTTTCTGCCGCCGGGGAAGAAGATGTTGTTGACGAAAGATCCCGTGTTGATCGAGATCCACCAAACCAGTACTCTTTCCACGCAGCGAGTTTTTCCCGAATCTTTGCCCTCCAGCTGTGGTTTTGAGAAGTACTTCCGACGTGATCCTGTCGTGGTCCCTCGACACCGTCAGCTGCAAAGTCGTGAAAGTACGTCAGAAAGTGCACCGCGTGGAGAGCGTCTTCCTCGGTTTTTAGACAGGAAATCTTCCCAGATTCGATGTAGTCTGCAAGCTTTTTTATCATCACTCGGTCGAACTCGGAAAGGGATTTGGCCGCGAAAGTGCTGTAGAGAGCATTTTTCGTGCTAATTGGCGACGGATTTGAAGTGGGGGTGGAGGGGACCATGTTAGGGTCTTCTCGAAGTGCGGCGTCAGTCTTTTGCTGCTTTATTTCCGCTGAATCCTTAGTAGTACTATCGTCAAGATCCTCATCCTCCTCGTCCTCCTCCGGTGCAGTGATGAACTGCCGAAAGGAGACAGTTGCGAAATGAGCTTTATTGTATTCGGAATCGTGATCATTATCATGAAGATGATCTGCTGTACTTGTAATATGTTGACCACCATCATTTTTGCCCACGTGGTCTACTTCTGTCGTTGATGAAGTATTGGTCGACGTGTCCTCAGCGCCGCCAGCAGCTCCAGGTCGTGAAGCAGCAGCTTGTGACTTATGATGGAGGCCATGATCCTCACCACCTCCGCCTGCTCCACCCAGGGACATCACCATTAATTCCGACTCTTCGTGGTCAACATCCTGTGGCTGTGGCTGTGCCTGCCCTACTACTTCCTCTTCTTTGATGCTACTATCTTCTTCGTTGTTCATGATCCCGCTTGAAAGAGTGGCTGCAGCTGAAGATGTAGAAGTTGCTCTTCTGGCGCTAGTATGATCAAAAGTTGAAGACCACAGGTCGGATGCCCTCCCACCTCCTCCCCCCTGCACCGTCAACTGCCCGTCTTGGTCCAGGTCGCAGTCGCAAAACTGCAGGGCGCGGCGGATCTCCTTCTCGTCTTGTGGTCCAGAATTTCCGTGCTCTGCCTCTCCATCTTCCTCCTCTTCCTGTGTATGAACTGCAAAAGTATCGTACTCGTATAAACGCATGACAAATTCCCTCAGCATGAGAAATAAAATTTGTAATGCTGATTTACCTTAAGACGAGAATCTATAATGCATGATTGCAATACGAGTACGATACTTTTGCACAGGATACTGTGCGGACTTTTCGTACATATTTTTCACGTTCTCCATGCGCTGGTGGAACAGCTTGACCAAGCTTTCTCTCGCCTTGTCCAGGGACTGGAGGCTGATGGATTTCGGACATTGGGTTGCTCCGGATGTTGTGAGCAGATGCTCCGGCCCGCCGCGCTGTTCAACTTCTTTATTTGTCGTGTCCTGCTGTACTGCTTCTGTTTCCCCTGTTGTTGTATTCGTGGTGGTGGTACTACGACTGCCAAACACCCCTCCTGATTGTTGCAGTTCGTTCTTCTGGTGCTCTACCTCTAAGAAGCCGTGGTCTACCTCTTCATCGCTATGAGGTATGTCCGTATGGTCTGCTGGCGCTTCTTCATTGTTCTCGACTGGGGAAAATGTTCCGTCCGGGTTGGTGACAGTACTGCTTGTGGCTTTTTCATGCTCATCTTCAGTAGCTCCGCTCTGGGTCGTGGTCGCGTCAAGACGAGGTAGCTGCTCCGTCGTTTCGTCCCTCGTGGCGGTCGAATGATCCCCAAGCAGGGACAGGAGCATGAAAAAGAAGAAAACCATTGACACTGTACCCTGACCGGGCCGCGGCCCCGGACTGGGCTGGAGCTTTTCTTTGTCTGTCAGTCTCTCTTTCAGCAACAAAACATAGAATTCTTGTACGTACATATTCTTGACAAGTACCAACATCAACCCGAAAAAAGGGCAATAGCCGCTGTGCGGAAAACTCCTTTGTCGCCTCTCTCACGCTCGTCAGAGAGTCATCTCATGAGCGCAATACAAATGGTTCCCGGACCTGATCTTCCTGAATCAATTCGCATATCGGATCGATGTGCCTAGGCAACGGCTCTCCTACCTCTGATGTTCACAAACAAAGCCATGAGCCCCGAAGAACTCCTCACAAGAGGAAGCATCCCGGGGAGCTTCTCTCACCTCCAGTGTTCCACAACGGTGCCGATGGGCGGGCCTCGTCCTGCTCGGCGCCGTTGCTTGCTTTTCGCTTGTGGTGTGTTGTTTCCTGCGAAAGAAGTATCATGAACAAAGCACGCAGTTTGTACGCGGAATGCGCCTACACGCTCGTGGAGGCGCCTTCAATGATAGATTTATAATATCACATCGCAACACGGCCCACACAGACACCGGAGCCCCGCGCCCGACTGCGTGTGCCCTTGCTCCCCTTGGGCTGCCGGGCCAGGGGATATCAAGAGGGGCCCACCAGACGCGGGGGCCGAAGCAATGCCAGGGGGCATCTTACTTACCAATCTCCCTCACCCCCACTGGCGCTGACCTTCGTTCGCCCTATCGTACTTCCCCGGCCGGCCCGGTGGGGCGGAACGAACGACGCAAACACAAAAGGCCGGGAAAGCCTTCGCCGCCTGCCGCGCTGCCTGTCTGGGCGGGGCGGGCTGCTGTCGCCAGGCCGCGCGCCCATTCCTTGCCCAAGGGGCGCGCGCAACAGCTGCAGCCGGGCGGGTTGGTAAACCGGGGGGCGGGCGGGCGGAGCGGGCCCACACCCGCCCAGCCGTCCGGGATGAAGGCGGGCGCGCGGCGTTCATTTCGGTCGTCGGCTTATCGTAAGCGATCGCAAGAAGATGAACGCCGCGCGACCGCAAGCCATAGCTTATGGCTTGCGATGTCGGTCATTGAGCGGCTGCGTCCTTCGCTGCCGCCCACACCCTCACCGACCCCCCCACTGCTTTGCGGGGTGATGGCGTCGGTCAAGGGCAGGGACACCGCGGCCGCCCAAGGTCTGCGAACCAAGCCGCTGCGCATTATCCTCACAATGCTGGGGGATATCACCAACATGAAGGGTAAGTCGCTCCGCGTGCTGTGTCCTTCTCAATGAAATAAATCTGCACTCTGAAAAAAGACACTCAGTTCCTGTAAGTGAGCACCTCCTCAAAACTTCTCGCCTCGACCTCAAACGAAGTGCACAAAACTCGAATTTCGTCCCAACTGCAGGCACAGAAAGCTTCTACGCTTCTGGTTGGGTTCATGCGCATACTACAATTTCAATTTCAAGAAAAAGAAAAAACAAATGCCACATACAGTCAACAAATCTCCGTCCACGGGTGCATGCGGGAGTACCATTTTAGTCCAACATCGTCCAGAATGGACTTCTTTGGGAATCTTTTTCGCATTGCATAAACTACAACATTGAGCATCAATGATTCTTTTATCAAAGCCGCATAGCCAACACACCGTAGCTTTACTGTACTGTACAAACAACTGATCTGTCGTATGCAGATCCAGATCATGCTCGTCTCCAAATACCACCGAAAATGCCTGCACAAAGATGCAGAGTACTACACACCTTCGCGACAATCCTTTCCAGCAGTGAAAAGACGAGGGAAAAGAAGAAGAAATAGAAGTAAAATTTTATCAAAATGGAGCTCACGTTTCAATTTGATACAATACGAATATTGAGTCTGTAGTCCTTGTACGTGCTACAGTATTGAGATTGACAATGAAAGGAAAAGGAAAATTCTATCCGCAACCGGCTTTCATCATGTTGTGTCCGGAAGCCTGGTGCAGTGCAGAAACGAGTTAATCTTAATCTTTTTGTAGCTTTAAACGTAAGAAAGAAGAAGAGTAAGTACAAAGGAACCAGTCGTGAGAGGCTGTGACCTTTCTCCGACTGATTTTGCCTTTCCCGAAGTTATCGATGAACTGTTGCTAAATAAAATCAAAGCTAAATTTCCTTGTTTATTTATCACCATATCTAGTATTGAGGTTGCGTTTGAATACGCCATCAGGCATCACGTAGTTTTATTCAGATAAATTCAGATTTCTTGTATTGATTGACTATTTCGAGGCTCAGGTTCAAAAAAAGCCGAAAGGATCAGCTTCGTCCTTCTCAGTCGTATACGCAAAAAGCAATGACAGTTCAGTGCCTAACACTGACTCAACGAACCTTTGCTCATGAACTTCAACTTTGTAAAGCATCTTGACTCACGGTATTGCAGTTGACATATTGATATTGTTCATCCTATTTATTTTCTTCGGTCATCAATTTGTTAATACTCACCTTGTATTGCCAATTTCCGATCCATCTGGCAGCTATGACAGCACGGTCTGCTGGTATTCTTTGCCTAGGAAATTCAAATTAATGGATACTAACAACATCGTTCCAGCACCATCACACCTCCTCCGCGTCCTCAAAAAAATCGGGCCGGATCTTGTCCCGCCGTCTATCGCTCCTTTCCCGGCCACCCTGCTGCTCTTGCCGCGCCCTGGAGTGTGCTCCCCGCGGTGGCGCTGGTGGGCCGTTTGCGTTACTCGAGCTGCTACTTCCCGGGGGCGGGTTCCTGCGATGTTGGTCTTCTATCGCTAATGGTCTTTTCTTATCCTCCAGCGATTTCGGACTGTCGGGCCTGCTGTCTCTACTCTGCTGTCTCTTCTTTGCTCCGCCCTTGCCGCTACCGTCCGTCAACGCAAGCTGTTCCTTCTTCTTTCTTCTCTTCATCGTGCCTTGTTTTTCGTCCCGCTCGTACTCCTCTCCCGGCGCCATCTATACATTGCAAAACTATCGCACTCGTACTCATTGCAGATATGCATGACAAATCTCCTTCCGAAGGTGAAGCAGCATGACGAATTCCGTTTGGCATGCTGACCTAATTTGTAATGCAATTCATACGAAGAGTACGATACTTTGCAATGCATATCATCGGCAGTTCCGCGATGGTGCCGTCGGATAGCTTCTCTCCCGACCCTTCGTAGGATTTCACAAACGCGGAGTTTACAATCCCGAGCTTCAGATCCCGTGTGGCCATGGAGAGCAACTTCAGCATCCGGACCAAATCCTTTGTAACTCCGTTGACGGAAACTATTCTCGCGAATTTCTTAATCGGCCAGGTATTCTGGACGATTTGTTTCTTCGGTTGGGAAGTTGGTGCGGTCTTGTTACTGTTCTTCGGAGAGGAGCCTCTTCTTGGTGACCTGAAGGGGGATTTTTGGTACTGGATGGATTTCTTTCAACTTGAAAAGCTGCACTTGCTCCTGCAATTAGGTATGCATCTTCGTGAATGACAAAGTCTTTTTCTAATGCAACCGAACGAGTCCTCTCTTGAGTAAGTAGTTTATACCTCGCACTACTGCTCGCCACCGTCGACACGCCAATCCCTTTCATCCCGCTGTCCCCGCAGTGGTCTAAGTTCCACTGCCGCAGGGGCCCCATCGCCAGCACCGGCCCACCCGGGAACGGGGCGGCGTTGGGGTTTGGATTTGCGGTTTCCGTGCCATAGATCTCCGTTATTACCAAACAGTCCTTCACCTTCGATCCCGACCACACAAACGGGTTTCCGACTCGGAAGCCCCACTGCGGGAAATCAATTTCGCACTCCAAATCCAGGTCGAACTTACACAATGCGTTGTTGTGGATGCAGTCCAGAGGGTGATGCTGCTCGTACCGTTCTAATGGGAGGAACTGGATTATCACGAGAAAAAAGTGCTACAGTTACACATTTGTTGGAGTTTCTGCATCACGAATTCTCTCTGTGATGTGGCAGAGAAAACTTGTATATGCGAAGATCATAAGGGAAAACAGGAAGAAAACGAGGCTCGCAAGCATTTTCTGCATGAGAAAGGTTGTCTGTGTTGCTGCTCCTGCAACACAATGTGTAACTGTAACACTTTTTTCTTGCGATATGGATGAGAGCTGGCGGGTCTGGGAAATTGGACTTGCTGTCTTTGGAAAGCTTGCTGTCCTTCCCGGGGGAGTATGCACGGCAAAAATACCTTGTACTCGTGGTAATAATGGCAGTCACGCATTACAGGTCAATGTTTGATGTACTCTAACCAGCTTTACAAATTCCATTTTTCATGCTCCTGACCATCGAATTTGTGATGCTACTTCTACTAGTTAAAGTCAGTACGATACTTTTGCAATGGATAACGATCCCGGTCTTGGCGGTACGTCCGCGCCCATTTGGTCCTGAATCGCAGGCGTTATCTTGTCCCGGGCTTTTTGCGTGTCGAGGCTGATAGAAATCATTTTTGGAAGTGATTTTGTCATGCGAAATTTTGCACTATGATGTGGAAACACAGTTTGTCATGCCATGCGTTTATTTCGCAACACATTTATTCAATATCAAAAGATACGTTGGCGGTTTCAGGTCCTTCTTCTGCGTCTTCCGCGCCGATCCACCGGTATCGTTGTTCCCTCCGCCGGTTGTATCGTGCGGGCTGCTATACCTTGGTGACTGACTCCGGTTCGTGTCGATCTGTCTTGCGTATCGGTCTGCCAATGTGGAAGTCTTCCCGCCGAACACTTCCGGACCGTCGTAGAGCTCCATCTGCGAATCCTCTCCCGTCGAAGATACCCCAGTTCTCGTGCTGTACTGAAAATCGTGCCTACTGGAACTCGCCGCACCACTTGTCACCGCTTTCCGGATCGTTTCTCTTTGCGACGGGGACATTGAATGTGCGTTCCGCACCCCGTGCAAATTGCTCACGTTCATGAACTATCAACTGTAAAAATGTCTGGGTCTGGAAGATTGCGAGATTCGTCATGCACGTTTTGCATGAGCCATGATGTCTGTGATGCATACCCTAGCATCACAGATTTTTTGAGAGCTTCTTGATGCCTATTCCGCATGACAAATGCCTTCTCAGCGTAGCAAAAACTTGCGCTCCCTTCGGTACTCATGCAATACAGATTTTTTTGGAATCCAAATGCAGCATCACAAGTTGCATTCTTCCAGACCCAGACATTTTTACATTTGATATGAACTTCTTGCTCACCGTGGTAGCTTGGTTCTGCGTATGCTTTGCAAAAGTATCGTACTCGTATAAATGCATTACAAATTTCCTCAGCATGAGAGATAAAATTTGTAATGCAGATACAGATTTACCTTAAGATAAAGATTTGTCATGCATGATTGCAATACGAGTACGATACTTTTGCACAGGATACTGCGAGTCGGCGGTGCCCGCGGACCCGTAGGTAGTGAGCATCAACTGCTCAGAAGAAGTCCCCGGTCTGCTGTATCCTGAGCAAAAATGTTACCACACCAGAGTCAAGATGGGAAATCCGCTAGACAAATCAGCCACCTCTGGTTGTTTCGTATGACAAGGTTTTTATCCTCGTAGTGTATTCCTGTTTAGCTAGTTCCGAAGCATCACAGATGTAGCATATCATGCTGATTCTAGCATCACAAATTCCAAAACAGGATTAGAAAATGGTTCTCATGTGGCTCCGCATGAGAGACTTTTTTGGCTTACTTTGGCATGCAGATTTGCATGACAACCCTGGGGGGGTGAGGACATTTTTACTCAGGATATGCTGCTGGAGTAGGTCAGTCTCGGTGACATGGACCGGTGCCGGCTCGTCGGTGACCCCATGGCGGAGAGCATTTGTTGGGAACTTGACCTCGCTGATTCGGCGGAGACGTGGTAGCGGGTGAGAAGCTATCCTGTGCAAAAGTATCGTAATCATACTGATTGCAATTATGCATGACAAATCTTGTCCTCAAGGTGAAACAGCATGACAAATTCCAGCTCTCGTGCTGAGCAAATTTGTAATGCAATTTATGCTAGTACGATACTTTTGCAATTCATAGAAGCGTGGAGAGCTGCTTGTACGATGCCTGGAGCTCCGGGACGCGCCTGATAGTTTTTGGTTTTTGAACGTTGAGTGGTAGGTGTTAAACTTGTATTGCAAAACAGGCACTCAAACAAATTTTTGTCATGATGCAAGAAGACCAAGAAGACAAAACCTCTACCTCGGAGCCTCCAGCACCACCAACTGCACTGGCCCTCCGATAACCGAAGACGGGAGTTTGTGTAGCAAACTTCCCATGGTCCCTTCGTTCCAATTCCAAATCGCACTTACCCGCTCCGTTCCGTACAGCCCAGGCCCGTGCATTCTATCCTGTGCAAAAGTATCGCACTTGTAGTAATTGCAGTCATGCATCACAAATCTTTTTCTTAAACGTAAATCCGCATTGCAAATCTCATTTCTCATGCTGAGGAAATTTATCAAAGGAGCAAGTAAATCACTTTCAAAAGAATCATAGGGCCGAAAAAAAAAAAAATTCGGAGCGTCCCCAACTGCCGTAGCGCCTGCAGCTTTTTTCCCCGCGCCAGACACAGCTGGTCGGTAGATTGCAGTGGGCGAATGCTTGAGAAGGCTGCGACCAAAAGCCCCAGGCGTCGCATTTTGGTAAGGAAAAGACTGCGAGATGTAGTGCGCAGAACATGTCATAGAAGATACCCCAAGACCAACCCCAAAGCGTCATACCGTGGTGCATAATGTTACCCCGCATGGTGCTACTGGCGTATTATTCTTACTTTTTCCCTACTCTACTGTTACCAAGTGGCGGAAGTGGAACAGTGGAGGTGTAATCACTTGAGATGCTCAGCCTGTTTCAGACGAAAAAAAACGCAAACCCACTTGATATCTGCTTGGGTGATTTGACGCGAAAAAGACGCGTTTCGGGCATCAATTTGATGCCAAAAGTCGCGACTTTTTGCAGAGGTGATTCAAGCAGATACTAAGCGGGAGGAGTCAAATGAATCATAGGGCTAATTGATAGCTACAAAACGCAAGGTGATTACACCTCTTTTTTTGCCTCGAAAAAGATGAATTTTTGGCAAAAATTGACCTTTTTTCAGAAAATGCGACACCCTCGGGACGCTACGCCCGACGGTATAGAGGTGTAATCACTTCAGTTTTGTGGCGTCGTTTTCCCTATCTTTAGCAATGGGCTTTTGCTTGGTATTTTGGGTTGCGAATGCTTCCCCCGAGTTGTTTGCAAGCTATTCAGGCGGGATGGCCCCAGCATACACTCATGGCCACTGCGTTCGTCCCCCGTAGCCACCAACCAAATAGCGCAAACCTTATCGAGAAAGGCGCGACTTTCCTGACGAGCGTCGCTGTGTCTCAGGTTATTTGGTTGGATATGTTGGGCGCTACCTTATGCGTGCGAGCCGGGCCATGCACTGCGGTACTTGGAAAAATTTTTTTTTCCGTATGGTGATTCATTTGTAATGTGATTCATTTGCCCCTGTGATAAAATTCGTAATGCATTTATACGAGTACGATACTTGTTTTGCAAGTCATACATTTTCCCGTTCACCCACATGCCTTCATAATATTCCCCGGACTCGAACCACTCGCACCTCCCGTACCCGTGTCTTTCGTTGTTCAGGAATTGGCCCTTGTAGACGTACTTTCTCGGAACCCGTAACGAGCCCCAGCCAAACATCTCGTTGTGTTTCCAGTTTCCACCGTACACAACACCCGCTTTCCAGCACATCAGGCCCAATCCGTGGAATTCATCGTAGACAAAGTGGCCACGGTAGGTGGACGCAGGAAGTTTTAAAACGCCGATACCTGAAGATTATGGTGTGCGTAATGTGTTGTGTGCTGTTTTGATGATTTTCAGTTTCACCTTGTCTACTTCTGATTGTAATTTTTCTATCAAGTACTTTCTGAAGAAGACGCAGGTACTACCCCCACCCACGGCACAACCCCGCCAGGACTTGTCTAATCTGCTAAACAGGAGCGGTTTCTTGTTTGTCTAGTCTCCCATTTGGGCAAAATTAGACAAACGGGTGGAAGGCCAAAAACCGCAAAAGTAAAGTCTCTCAGGCAAGAGTCCGCTCCTGTTTACCAGATTCAGAAAACGCAAGCGGCTTCGCCCCAGCCACAACCCAGCCAGCGTTTGTCTAATCTGCTAAACAGGAGCGGTTTCTTGTTTGTCTAGTCTCCCATTTGGGCAAAATTAGACAAACGGGCGAGAGGCCAAAAAGCGCAAAAGTGAAGCTTTGCGGGCAAGAGTCCGCTCCTGTTTAGCAGATCCAGAAGACGCAAATGGCCTCGCCCCGGCCACAATCCAGCCAGCGTTTGTCTAATCTGCTAAACACGGGCGGACTCTTGTCTGCCTAGTCTCCCTTTTGGGCAAAATTAGACGAACGGGCGGAAGGCCAAAAGCCGCAAAAGTGAAGCTTTGCGGACAAAGTCCGCTCCTGTTTAGCAGATCCAGAAGACGCAAATGGCCTCGCCCCGGCAACAGCCCAGCCAGCGTTTGTCTAATCTGCTAAACACGGGCGGACTCTTGTCTGTCTAGTCTCCCTCTTGGGCAAAATTAGACAAACGGGCGGAAGGCCAAAAGCCGCAAAAGTGAAGTCCTTCAGACACGAATCCGCTCCTGTTTAGCAGATTCAGGGCACGCAAATGGCCTCGCCCCAGCCAGAACCCAGCCAGCGTTTGTCTAATCTGCTAAACAGGAGCGGTTTCTTGCTTGTCTAATCTCCAAATTGGGCAAAATTAGACAAACGGGTGGAAGGCCAAAAACCGCACAAGTGAAGTCTTTCAGACAAGATATCGCTCCTGTTTAGCAGATTCAGAGGACGCGGATGGCCTCGCTCCAGCCACAACCCAGCGGCCAGCGTTTGTCTAATCTGCTAAACAGGAACGGTTTCTTGTTTGTCTAATCTCCCATTTGGGCAAAATTAGACAAACGGGTGGAAGACCAAAAACCGCAATAGTGAAGTCTTTCAGACAAGATATCGCTCCTGTTTAGCAGATCCAGAAGACGCAAATGGCCTCGCCCCGGCCACAGACCAGCCAGCGTTTGTCTAATCTGCTAAAAACGGGCGGACTCTTGTCTGTCTAGTCTCCCTTTTGGGCAAAATTAGACAAACGGGCGGAAGGCCAAAAGCCGCAAAAGTGAAGCTTTGCGGACAAGAGTCCGCTCCTGTTTAGTAGATCCGGAAGACGCAAATGGCCTCGCCCCAGCCACAGCCCCCCCAGCGTTTGTCTAATCTGCTTAACACGGGCGGATTCTTGTCTGTCCAGTCTCCCTTTTGGGCAAAATTAGACAAACGGGCGGAAGGCCAAAAGCCGCAAAAGTGAAGCTTTGCGGACCGGAGTCCGCTCCTGATTAGCAGATCCAGAAGACGCAAATGGCCTCGCCCCGGCCACAGCCCAGCCAGCGTTTGTCTAATCTGCTAAACACGGGCGGATTCTTGTCTGTCCAGTCTCCCTTTTGGGCAAAATTAGACAAACGGGCGCAAGGCCAAAAACCGCAAAAGTGAAGCTTTGCGGACAAGAGTCCGCTCTTGTTTAGCAGATCCAGGCGACGCAAATGGCCTCGCCCCGGCCACAGCCCAGCCAGCGTTTGTCTAATCTGCTGAACACGGGCGGATTCTCGTCTGTCTAGTCTCCCTTTTGGGCAAAATTAGACAAACGGGTGGAAGGCCAAAAACCGCAAAAGTGAAGCTTTGCGGACAAGAGTCCGCTGCTGTTTAGCAGATCCAGAAGACGCAAATGGCCTCGCCCCGGCCACAACCAAGCCAGCGTTTGTCTAATCTGCTAGACACGGGCGGACTCTTGTCTGTCCAGTCTCCCTTTTGGGCAAAATTAGACAAACGGGCGGAAGGCCAAAAGCCGCAAAAGTGAAGCGCTGCGGACAAGAGTCCGCTCCTGTTTAGCAGATCCAGAAGACGCAAATAGCCTCGCCCCGGCGACAGCCCAGCCAGCGTTTGTCTAATCTGCTAAACACGGGCGGATTCTTGTCTGTCCAGTCTCCCTTTTGGGCAAAATTAGACAAACGGGCGGAAGGCCAAAAGCCACAAAAGTAGAGCTTTGCGGACAAGAGTCCGCTCCTGTTTAGCAGATCCGGAAGACGCAAATGGCCTCGCCCCGGCCACAGCCCCCCAGCCAGCGTTTGTCTAATCTGCTAAACACGAGCGGATTCTTGTCTGTCCAGTCTCCCTTTTGGGCAAAATTAGACAAACGGGCGGAAGGCCAAAAGCCGCAGAAGTGAAGTCTTTCAGAAATCCCAGGACAAAATCTATCAACATTCATGCGCATAAAATAAGTACCATGCTTTAGGTTTTTCGCGTTCATTGTGCCCCAATACTGCGATATCAAATGCAAATATGTCTGGGTCTGGAAGGTTGCCAGGTTTGTCATGCATATTTTGCATGACCCATGACGTTTTTAATGCATGACCTAGTGTCACAGATTTTTAGAAGGCTTCCTGATCCCTAATCCGCATGACAAAGACCCTCTCCGCGTAGCACAAACTGGACTCCGCCTTGTGTCTGTCATGCAATACAGATTTTTCTCGAGTCCTAAGATAGCATCACAAGTTGCATCCCTCCAGACCCAGACATATTTGTAATCCATATGCGAACCGTCCTCGTATTCCCGATCCGCAACATTGGGTAACAAGATGTCCGCGCCCTTCGTCACGACCCTGCCTTCTCTCCTGTGCACTTGCTTCTGGTCTTCCACTCTTTCCTTCTCCTTCTCTTCCAAATATTTCTGTTGTTTCTTCTCCAAATGCGCTAAATAGATATACTTGTAAATCAAAAACCCGACTACACCGACAAAAATTGCCGACGCGGCGCCAATTAGCCCAAAGAATAAACCGGAGGAGAAGAAGTCCGTTTTTGATTCCGCTGTGGTTTCCGCCGCAGCTCCTTGCGTTGTTGTTACGGTGATTGTAGTGGTTGATGTTGTTGGATATGCATTGCAAATATGTCTGGGTCCTGGAGATTGCCAGGTTTGTCATGCATATTCTGCATGTCCCATGATGCCTGTAATGCATGACCACGCATCACATATTTTTTTCGGGCTTGCTGCTGCCTATTCCGCATGACAAACGCCCGCTCCGCGTAGCACAAACTGGTCTCCTCTTGGTGGTCATGCAACACAAATTTTTATTTTTCTAGCACCCAGCGACAGCATCACAAGTTGCAACCTTCCAGACCGAGACACTTTTGTAATGCATATTGTGGTGGTAACCGCAATTTCGAACACCTGCGCTTCTTGCGGCATGGTGATCAGAAACCCGACCGCCAGATCCGCGACGGCATTGGGGATGCCGTGGTTGACTAATTCCGCTGCGAGATTCGTCGTGAACGCCGCGTTGGGGTTACTCGCGATGGAGCTCAAATAGAACTGGATCGCGACCTGCCGGGTAGTGTCTCGGATTTTCACTTGGTAGACGACGACAAACGGGGTGGCGTTGGAAAGAGAAAGCTTGCGTTTCTTTTGGTCCGGTGTTGTCGCTGCTGGAACTATTGCTAAAGCTGTGGACTGTTCCTCGTGCAGAAGAAGTTCTGCAGCACTTTCTGGTTCATCTCCTGGTGCAGAGAGTAGATTCTGGGCAGCTGTGGAGGATGAAAAAGCCGTTTTCGTGCTCGCTTTCCTCCTATTAAAAACGTTCCCGTCGTCCACTGTCGGCACCAGAATATCCTCCACGTCCACTCCCGTCATCTGACTTAAAACTACTGGAATCGCTACCTTCATATCAAATGCAAAAGTGTCTGGGTCTGGAAGAGTCATGCTGTTTTTGCATGACAAAGAAGGGCTGGCATGGAAGCTCTAGCATCACAGGTTTCGAGAAGCGTTCACAATGCCGAACCCGCATGACAAATCCCCCCTTTTGGTGGCAGAAAGTGGAAACTTTTGCTGCCTATGCATGAGAGATTTTTCTGTGCTCTGAAATGCGCATCACAAGTTTGTATTCTCCAGACCCAGACATTTTTACATTTGATACTTCAAACCTGCCTCCCACTTCGCTTCGTCCGCTGCTTCAAAAATCTGGAACGTCAGAGTCTGCTATGACAATGCACAACTGCCCCGCCTTCCCCTCATTTGTCATGCGAAATACCACATCCACACTTTGCTTCTTGGCACTGTTTGCATGACAAGTTCTGGTCGCCCAAATAGCACCACTGCACTCCAGTGCAAATTTGTCATGCAAAACCGGCATCGTTGCAGCTGATGCTGCTGCTTGTATTGCCGTTCATGCTATACAAATGAGGTGGAGGGGGAGTTGTTGTGCACTTTCATATCTGCTGGAACGCACCAAGACTCCCGAACTTCTGCGTCTCCGCGTTTTCCACGCAATAGGGCAAGGGTTGCTGTAGCGCTCCCTTGTAACACCGAAAGCCCTCGCCGATGACCGAATATCCGTCGTTGCAGATCTATCCAGTAAATAAAAAACTGCGTAAGTGTAACTTTGTAAGAAGAGCAGAATCACAAATTCGTTTTGCTGTCATGCTCAGCTAGCATGTGGAAACACGTATGATAGTAGCCTATGACGCAATTCCAGCATGATGAGTGTAACTGTTTTGCATTTTCTGCATCACAGATTTACACTTACACAGTTTTCTGTTGCATAAGATCAGCGGGCAAAACCCACCGTCGTAGAACGGATCGCAAGTTGTCGCCGGCGCGCCGTTGGCCACGGTTGGTAAAGCGAAGAAACAGTGACAGGACGGTCTGGACGGGTGTTGACACTCTTGCTGCACTAGCGGTTTCTTCAACAATTGCGGCAATAGCCCAGCGGGGACCGTTGGCACATACACAATCGGGTTCGTGACGTTCACATGGTTGTACATGTGCGACCCAATCACCCGGTTCTGCGTGCCCTTCCCGCAACTCTGGGTTGGCTCTTCATACGTGCAAAGTTATCAACTGCAAAAATGTCTGGGTCTGGAAGGATGTGAAGTTGTGATGCGCATTTCACAACACACAGAAATCTCTCATGCATAGGCAGCAAAAGATGCCCACTTCTTGTCACCAAAGTGAGGAATTTGTCGTGCGGATTAGGCAACATTGCAGAACCTTCTCGAAATCTATGATGCTAGGGCTGGCATGCCAGACCTTCTGTGTCATGCAGAAACAGCATGGCATCTTCCAGACACAGACATTTTTGTAATGCATAAAAGCCCCCAGGGCCCGATTTGCCACGCCACCCGGAATTCACACGTTTTCCCCGAGTAGTCCGTCGCGCAGTCGCAGGCTGGCCCGGCGATGGACTCACACCCTAACAACCCGTTCGATCCGAAGCCGTTGCAGCTCATGCAGGTGAGTTTCTCACAGTTGTCCCCGTACCACCCGTTGCTGCAGATACAGAGCTGTGCATTGCAAAAGCATCGTACGGTACTCGTATTGCAAATCATGCATTACAAATCTTTTTCTTGAGGTAAATCCGCATAACAAATTTCATTTCTCATTCTGAGGAAATTTGCAATGCATTTATACAAATACGATACTTTTGCAGTTCATAAGAGCCCCGTCTCCGAGCAAACCCCTCTGCCCTGACAGGTCTGCTCCGCGGAACAGAATCGGTCGCACGCGTTGCCGTAGTAGTTTGTGATACATTTTTCACACAACGTCCCCTGGAAGGTTGGGTTGCAGAGGCACGCGCCTTGCGTCGTCGGGTTAAATTGCTCGTTGACGCAATGCCTGGTGCCAATTTTGTTGCACTTGCACGGGTACTCGCAGCGGATTTGGTAATCGGTTGTCTTGTACGTCGCGACGGTTATTGTACCGGTAGAAGTGGTATCAAGTGCAAAAATGTCTGGTTCTGGAAGAGTGCATGTTTGTCATGCTTGTCTGGCATGACTCTTAAGTATGTCACGCACGTTACCCAAGAGCTCCATTTTTCTGTGATGCAGGAACGCAGTTTGTCGTGCAGAATAGGCAACACCTAGAAGGAGCTCAGAAACTTTTCATGCTGAGCTAGCACTTGTGGCCTCATCATGAGACGCCACCACGCATCACAAGCTTCCAGACCCAGACATTTTTGCATTTGATAAGTGGTGATTACCGATCCAGCCGTGATATTCGCGTTGGTGAAACCGCCTTGTATCCTCTGCAAAAGCATCACACTCGTGGTGATCACAATCATGCAAGACAAATCTCTTTCCAAACCTGCAGCAGCATGACAAGTTTCACTTGATGTCAACATGCTAAAAGCTAATTCAAGTTTGTATTGCAAGAACTACTAGTTCAAGTAGGATGCTTGTGCTCGTCATACCTTTCCTTTGACACCCACTATCTGGTCGCATTGCGGAACCCGCATCGGAAAGCATGTTGCATCGCAAGAAAAAACTGCTTCGCTGTGTCTGTGAACTTGTGATGCAGAAAATAGAGCACAGAACTATTTGTCTTGCTACACCTGCAAGATATTGGATTCTCAAGCGTGTTTTCCCTTGGGAAGCGCGCATGGCAAATTTTCTGTGTCATGTGTAGCAAACTTGTGGTGCGGTTCTTGCAAAATCCTCACAGTGAAACAGATTTTTCGTGGAATATGTTCCCCAACGCGTCCAACGCGGCGCAATCGGTTGAATACGGCCACTGAAACGTCACCATCCCGTAGTAATCCGCGTCGCAGAAGCAGCCGGAAGGGAGAACTAGTCCCGTCAACGCGTTTGTGTCGTAGAGAATGGATCCGTGGTTGCCGCAAGTGTAGCCGCGGTAAAGATTGGAAATCGACAAGGCTTTGACCTCAGCCATAGTGAGACCCGGATGCCCAAGATACTCACACGTGTTGCCGAAGTAGAAGGTACCTGGGGGTGGATGATCGTGGGTGTAAATTTGGTTGATGTTGAAGTTCGATTCAGTTTCAGTTTGTGTTGCTACTGCCCAATAGTTGCTTGATTCAGGGGGCTATAACAGCTCTGACTAGTACTACCAAATAACTCCGAACACCAAACAAGCGAGGCGAAAGGTGTCCGAATGAGGGGCGAAGAAGTGGACAAACGCTGAACTCCGAAGCTGTCAGCTACAACAATCAAATACAGAAACAAAAATTTCTGTCCCACTGCTTAAAAGCGCGATCACTTTATTTAAATACCACATCTCTCGCACCGATCGCCCGCGAAGTGTGGTTTGCAGACGCAACTGCCATCCCCGTCGATTCCATCGTTGCACTTCACCGTTCCGGTCGTTGTGCATTGACACTTCTGCGCGCACCCTTGCCCGTAGTAGTCTTTGATACAGCTGCACACCCCGTTCGCATCACACACGTACGTCGCCGTGGACTGCTGCACCGGGGTCGGCGGCGTCGCTGCAATCTGCTGCACTTGGATCCCGGAAGTGGTTGTCAAGTTCGTGACGAAATCGCCGCTGTTGATCTGTGTGGAAATCTGCTGGAGGTTCGTAAACGAAGGGAGTTGCTGCACGGTAGAAGAAGAAGCTGCTGCGGTTGTGGTTGTGATAATCGTCGTAACGTTAGTGTCGTTGTCCGCGTCGTCTTCAAGTAGTGCTGTTTCGTTCGCCGAAAGCGTTGAAGAAGTTGTAGTGGTAGAAGAAGTGGTAGTCGCCGAAATTGGTGTGTCCGAAAGTGATGTGGAATATGCAAGACAAAAAGTAGACCACCGTCATGAGGCTTCTTCATGTAGCACAGCTCGGCATGACCAGCTTCGGTTTGTCATGCAACTCAGGCACGAAGGCAAAAGAATTTATAGCTCCAAAATAGCATGACAAGTTGACAATGTGATGACAGAATACGTTTTTGTCTTGCATACCGGCTGCTCCGCGTCTTCCTTGATCAAGACCGAGACACTCGTATGACACTGCAGAACTTCCCCTCCCCCCGCATTTGTCATGTTGGGAAACTAAGGGCAGGGCGTCCCTTTGTAAATTACGTCGACAAACTCTTAACCTGAGGTCCTGAGGTCCTGAGGTGGGTGACGCGCCCGAGAGCACAGACACCGGCGGAATGGTGACGACCAGAAGGGTCAGGAGACTCACCCGCATTTGTCATGCAAAATATCAAATCCAACTGCTGCCTTGTCCTTGTGGCACCGTTTGCATGACAAAGTCCGGAAGCTCAAACAGTACTACACTAGGTGGCGCATGACCTCCTTGTCATGCAAAGGCTCCATGTGTGCTGGTGTTTGTATTGCTTTTCCTCGCAATATTACAGGAGAGGGGGAGGGGGACGAGTTGTGCACACTCATAACTCGTCGCCAACATGCGGTGCACAGCACTGCTGTCGACTTCGAATGAATCAGAATTGAGTTGTAACTGTTTTGCATCGTCGCCTCCGAGAAGTGAACCCGTTTCCCCAAACCCATTTGGCAGCCCTAAACCATCACCGCCAGAAGCCCTGCTGCCATCAGGAACGCCGTCCTGGTGACCGCCCAAGCTCCTCGTAGCACCAACATCCGCAGTTGTTCTCGATTGAGACCCCCTGGTCCCAATCTTCCCCAAACGACCAACACCTACCTCCTGAGCACCCTCCTTAACACCACCGCCAAAAGAACTCTGATCCATCGGCATGTCCAGCACGTTCTGGTCCATTGACAGAATCCGTTTTTCCTTCTCCGCATCGATTTTATCCATTTCCGCAAACGTCAGCCTCCGCCTCGCCGCCGTTGCGATAAACTCGATTCTCGTCGACGCAATCCCGAGTAACGTAGCTAACGAAATCCGCAAATCGTACTGCTTCTGCGAGTTGAATTCGGAGAGTTCTTATGCATCGCAAACGTATCGCAGTCGTACTATTAATCGCAGTCATGCAATGCAAATTTCTTTCTCAAGTCAAACCCCCATGACAGATTTATATTTCTCATGCTGAGGAAATTTGTGATGCATTTTACGACGAGTACGATCATACTTTTGATGCAATTCATAGTTCTAGATCCAAAACAATCTGAACCTCCACCACGTCCAGCATCTGCAAGTACAAAGTCGGACACCGGCCCGTTCCCGGCTTCGACCGGAACAAGATCGTTTGCGTCATCGCCATATGGATTGTAAAAGCATCGCACTCGTATGAATGCATTACAAATTTCCTCAGCATCAGAAAAAAAATTTGTAATGCTGATTTGCCTTGGAAACAAGATTTGTGATGCTAAACTTGCATTTGTACGAGTACGATACTTTTGCACAGGATACGCCACTGGATCAACACTGAACGACCCATGAACCACCGCGGGTTCCAACGGATTCGGCACGATATGGATTGCAAAAGTGTCTGGGTCTGGAAGAGTCATGCTGTTTTTGCATGACACAGAAGGTCTGGCATGGAAGCTCCAGCATCACAGGTTTCGAGAAGCTTCCGCAATGCCGAATCCGCATGACAAACCCCCCATTCGGGTGACAGAAAGCGGGCAGCTTTTGCTACCTATGCATGAGAGATTTTTCTGTGTTCTGAAATGCGCATCACAAGTTTGTATTCTTCCAGACCCAGACATTTTTGCATTTGATACACGATTCCATTCGCCAATTTCAGATCTGAATTCATGATTGGCTGGGTTGAAAACTCCGTCGCGGTCGTGTAGATCCGCAAATCTTGCTTCATCGGCAATTGCATCCGCAAGATGAAATAATTGCTGTTCTGGTTCACAGTGGAACCAGAAGTGGTAGTTGACATGGAGTCGCACATCAACCGGATCATTTTCGGCGGCTTTTCGAGTAAAGTGATGTTGTAGTAGTTGTTCTCTTGCAGCAACATCGGATACGCCGAATCTCCGTACAAAATCTCCCTGCTGCACAGCGCGGGCAAATCGTCCCGTCCCGACCCGAAAAATCGCGTCTGCTTCATCGCGTAAGCGTGTAGTGAGTCCCGTGGCCCGGCTTGCGTCATGGAATTTTTCCGGTAGTTGTCTCGGCTCGCTAATAGAGATAGATCGCGGTAGGTTTCGAAATATCAGATGCAAAAATGTCTGGGTCTGGAAGATTCTGAGACTTGTCATGCAAGTGTTTTGCATGAGCCATGATGTCTGTGATGCATGCCCTAGCATCAGAGATTTTTTGAGGGCTTCTGGATGCCTATTCCGCATGACAAGTGCCCTCTTCCCGTAGCAAAAATCACACTCCCTTTGCTGCTCATGCAATACAGATTTTTTTGAAATCCAAACGCAGGATCACAAGTTGCATCCTTCCAGACCCAGACACTTTTGCATTTGATACGAAGTACCCTAAAGCTCTCCTCGTGTTCCCGCAGCACTGGCCTTCGTCCGCGGACTCCTATCAAATGCAAATAGGTCTGAGTCTGGAAACTTGTAATGCTTGGTTGGGAATAGTGAATGCTCTGTAATGCACAGCCTTGCATGAGAAAGGTCTGCGCTGCTTAGTGTTGCGCTTTCCGCATGACAAACTGCGTTTTTGCATCACAGGCAAGAGGCCCTTTTACTGCTCATACCTCACAGATTTAAGAGTCATGCCAGACAAGCATGACAAACGTACACTCTTCCAGACCCAGACATATTTGCATTCCATAACTCCCAAGAAACGGTGACGGCTCTCGCGTTGAAGCAGTAGTAGAACCCGGCGGCATCCTTCTGGCAATCTTGGTAAAACGTCGTCCCAGAATCGACGGATCGGGACGAGAAAATATTGTGAGGAAAAATCCCCCCTCCCGATATCGAAAAGGTCCGTCGCAAAAGATTTGCAGTGCTGATTTGCGACCACATGCCATCTCTGTGTTGCAAGAAGGGAATTCCACAGGCTCCGCCGCATTATGCAGTCGGTTTGTGATGCTGTTGGGCCTACAGCGCAGACGTTTCTCATGCTAAGAGCCTAGTCCAAAACCTCTCTACTCAGGCTTGGTATGGACCTGCAGTCCTCTCCAGCAAGACAAATCTGATTTGTGTACGCAAATCCAGCATCACAGACTTCGTTTTGATGTGGGGTGGGGGGATTTTTCATTTTGATAGAAGAGTTGGTTTGTTTTCGTTATCAACAGAGAAGGGAAGACCTGGTTCAAGAAACTTCCGTCCAAATCGGAAATGAAGAGCGAATTCAGCCCGTCACACCCGTACTCGCTGTCGCATAACGTTCCTGGCGCAGGAAGCAAATCTGCTTGGTTGTTCAGTAAAAAACTCGTCCCGGTTTTCCTCGACACCGACTCAAAACGCGCCTCGGGAATGTAGTCGATCGCGGATGGGTTGTAGCTGACCGCAATGTTGTTCCTGAAAGTGCAGCGGTGAAACACGTTCGCCTCCGTCACAGTCCCATATCCATCGAGATACGTATTCTTGAAGTAATACGTGGCGAACCGCGACCCCCGTAGACCAAACCGCGAATCATACGGTAAATTACACGCCCTCTCCGGGATGTTTGGTCTTCGGCTGTTCATCGAGGATGCAGTGCCGCAAGTTCGGAAGCTGGTTGTGGAGGATGTTGTTAATGCCGCCGCTCCTCCGTCGGGTAGTTTATTGCTGTACCCGTTCACTTCCATGCCGTCTTCGCACGTTTTTCCCAGATTCGATACTGTAGGGAGCAAGATGCCCATCCGGTGGAACCGTCTTCCCATCGACGTGCACTTTGTCGCGATATCACACAGAAAAAAGCCGGTATTAGGCATGTTTGTAATGCATAGAATGAATTCACAGACAGATCTCATCTACTGCTCAAGGGGCTCGCGCTCGCCCATAGCATGCTGTTTCAGATATGCAAGAGAAATTTTCTTGTGTAGTTATTTTTGCATGACAAATGTGGTGCCTTGCCACCTTCTTCCTGTGTGATACGCGAGTTTGTCAAAGTAGTTGTAATTGAAGCAATTAGCGTTGTCGAAGGAAGATCCAGTTTTAGCAGTATTGCTGTTTTGGATCATGTACGTGTAACCCGGACACGACGCCAAGTACTGATCTTCGTCCGTCCCTTGCACCGTGCAATTCGTCATGGTGAATAAATCTGATGTTAAGTCATGATCCCCCGGCATCCGGTGGAAGCTACCCGTGACGCCAATGTGGTTCTCCGATACAGTTACGTTGACGAAGTGGAGTCTCGACGGGAAATCCGTGAAGAAAATCCCAACGTGGCTGTTCCGCCAAGCGAAGAGCTTCCCGACCTTCGCCTATCCAAAGGAAAATAAATCCCTCCTCCCCATATCAAAACAAGCCGTGAATTTCTGATGCCGGCTTTGGCTACACGAATCAAATGTGTGTTGCAGTAGAGGACTGCACGCAGAGAGACCCCACGCCTAGGCACGGGCCTTCTCGTGTAGGCGCCTAGCACGGTTGACGGCTACCCTGTAGGCCTTACAGCATTTTTACAAAGCGCCTGCATAACGTGGCGGGCAGCCTGATTGTCCCTATCTGCAAGACAGACCCAATCTGTGGTCACAAATCTGCATCACAAATTTTCAGAATGCTCTGCTTTCAATATGGGGAGGGGGGATTTTTCCTTGCAATATCGCCTCGTGAATCCCCCTTTCCGCGCACCCGTAGCTCGGGCCACCACCATGTAAATCACACGGCCTTAGCAAGAAGAACCCGATCACACAGCCAGACACCTCGTTATTCGCAATCTTCGCGATCCTCTTCGCACCAGGGATATCTGTGTCGAAATTATCCGCATCGTAGATTGTCGTTTTGTCCGGCCTGTACTGCATCCCGATGTCGTAACACCCATATCCCAAGTAAAAACGTCCCCACCCCAGGGTTGTCATGCAGATTTCCAGTCACAGAAAAGTTTGTAATGCGCATCCCCACGAGAAGCATTATTTCCAATCGTGTTTTGGACTTTGTAATGCTCTAAACAAGATGAGCTAATGGATTTGCGTTGCGGCTGTACTTGCTAAACTGCACTACCAAATATAGCCGCCGGGGCGGGGGTAGTGAGGTCGTGGGCGTTTTCTTGCCGGCCGTCGCCTTGGCCGCGGCTTTGCTTTTTCTGGCCTCGCCATACCGCCGCGAGTAACGTTAGGCCGCACGGTATGGCGGCCGCTTGGTAAACGTCGCAAATTTTGGCAAATTCCCGATAGTCCTTTCCGAAAGCCAGCCCCCATGCTATAGGGCCGATCCGGGTGCCACGGGGGGCGCCCAAAAAGCGAAGAAAAATCGGGCCCATAGCATGCGGATTGGCTTGGCGCGTCTGGCGCGCTTTTGCTTTTTTGCGTTTCTATTTTTCTAGCCGGCGCTTTTTGCAAACCTTCCCAGGCTCTGACACCGGCGACAACGCGGCCGCTTTCGCGGCCGCCCAAAATGCTCCGGAACCGTGGCCGTGCCATGCTGTTTCGCTGTTCTGATTTTGGGCGCGTTTTTTTCGCGCTCCTTTTTGGGCGCCCCAGACCGCCAGAAACTAAGGCGGTGGGCGCCTCAGAAGGGCGCCCCTTTTGCTGGCTTCTCTGCGTCGTTTTACCAAGCGGCGATCGATAGAATCCGCTGGCGATTCGGTGCCGACACAGCCAGGGCCGCTTGATAATTGAAATTTTTTTTTGTCAAAAAACGCTTCCGACCGCTTGAAAACTGCCGGTCGTTTTTCAGGGTATATGTCAAGAAAACTCCCTGGTTAGAACCGTTCGGTGACCTCACTACATACAATACAGAGACAAACTTGTCATGCTTGACTCCCAATAAAACTTCTCGATTTGTATTGCGAGATCCCCATCTTGACTCTGGGATGGGGACGTTTTTGCTCAGGATAAGCCACCAATGTAGTTCTGCCGCATTTCACTTATCGGGGAATAGAACGTCGTCATCGTCTTGATTGTCGTGGTTGTATCCAAAATCCCGTCATTATCAGAGTCGACTTGCTGCTCGGTTGTCACGTACTCGTAGAATTCTTCTGTCGCTAAACCTCTCCGCGACTGGATCTCGACCACCGCTTCTGGGCTGTAATCTGATGACTTCCCCAAAATCCGCAAGGCCGTGTCTTCCGCCTTCATTTTCCTTATTTCCGCAGTTCGAGGATGTAGAATATGTCCTAAGAAATTATTTGCGATCAATTTCACATTTCTCGCTTTTTGCTCCACCAAAACCGCCCGTCCGCGTGTTTTCACGAACACGTTTTGCTGAATGTCGTCGTTTATGAACTGCAAAAGTATCGCACTCGCATATATAAATGCATTACAAATTTCCTCAGCATGAGAAATGAAATTTGTAATGCAGATTTACCTTAAGAAAAAGATTTGTAATGCATGATTGCAAGACGAGTACGATACTTTTGCAGTTCATATCGTTGAAAGTCGAGTCCCGGACTACTACCGCGTCGGCACTGGCATCGGTGATCGTCGATTTTTTGAAAACTCGGTTGCTGCTCGACACCGGACCGATGGTACCAGTCTATCAAATGCAAAAATGTCTGGGTCTGGAAGAATGCATGTTTGTCATGCTTGTCTGGCATGTCTCTTAAATCTGTCATGCACGTCACCCAAGAGCCCCATTTTTCCGCCATGCAGAAACGCAGTTTGTCATGCAGAATAGGCAACACCTAGAAGCTCAGAAACTTGTCATGCTGAGCCAGCACTTGTTGCCTCCTCATGATACACCACCCAGCATCACAAGTTTCCAGATGACCCAGACATATTTGCATTTCATACAGTCGTGGGATTCACTAAGGAAACAAGGGTTTGTAAAGCGTTCGGCTTGAAGTCCACTGCTGGGAGATTTCCCCCGTACTTCCCTCCCCCGGTAATCTCCGTGTTCACCATTTTGAAATCACCCTGCACATCCACCGTCACCCCGCCCCGGATCATTCGGAGGTGTGTTCTTTCCAGTGAGTTAGACCCAGGCCCGTTCGGGAAGTTGGAGACGACTTTCAAGTTCCGACTCAGCAACGCCACTCGCGCAAAGCTGTTTTTCCCGGCCGCGTGGGAATAATCCTATAACAGTGCACAACCCCCCCTCCCCCTCATTTGTATAGCATGAACGGCAACACAAGCATCAGCAAGAATGCCGGTTTTGCACGACAAATTTCCACTGGAGTAGAGTGCTATTTCGGCTACCAGAACTTGTCATGCAAACAGTGCCAAGAGGCAAAGGGTGGCTTAGGTAATTTTGCATGACAAATGAGGGGGAGGGGGAGTTGTGCTCATTCATAAATCCAATGGCTTGTCCAAAATCGCCAGCGCGGAGTCAATCCCGCCCTGCTGGAGCCCCGTATCAAATGCAAACATGTCTGGGTCTGGAAGATGGCCAGGTTTGTCATGCATAATTTGCATGGCCCATGATGCCTCGAGTGCATGACTTAGCATTACAGATTTTTGGAAGGCTTCCTGATGCCTATTCCGCATGACAAATGTCCTCTCCGCGTAGCACAGTCTGGGCTCCTCTTGCTGGTCATGCAATACAGATTTTTTTAGAATCCAAAGACAGCATGACAAGTTTGGGTCCTTCCAGACCGAGACATTTTTGCAATGCATACCCCGTGATCGTCCGCACTTCTGTTTGTAACTCCGATGAAGACTGGTGCTCGACGCGGCACTCCTTATTCGTCAAATACGAGTCCGAGGAAATCCAGTTCGTGACAAACATCGGGCGCCACTCCGGATACACTGCATGGACGCCAGAAAACCGGATCGCGGTCTGAGGCGTGGACGGGGTCAATTCTAAAATCAAGTGCACCTTATCCGCAGTGCCAGCAGCATCCATTACTGTCGGATTTCCGTCTAACTGCCATTTCTTACACCAGTGCTGGAAGATGGTTGAGAGGTCTAAAATTTTCCAACCAATCCCCCTGGTGTATTGAGAGGAAAAACCCCCCCCCATATCGAAAAGGCATGCTGCCGAAAATTTGTCTTGCTGCTTGTGCTTTGAGACCACAAATTACGTCTGTCCTGCAAGAAGACAAACGCAGAGGCTTCCGCGCCGCTATGGAAGAGATTTGGCATGCTGTGGGGCCTAGAGGACAGCCGTTTGCAATGCTAAGCACCTAGACCCAAGTGTCCCTCCCTAGGCTGCGGACCTGGCTGCGATGCCGTAGTGCAAGACAACGCGCATTGGTGTACACAAATCATGCATCACAGATTTCCCATTTGATATGGGGTGGGGACTTTTTTCATTTTGATATGGTAATCTGCAAGGTTTCGACGTCGCTGGTCCGGTTGGATCCCCCGTTCATCGTGCCGGGAGTGGTTAGAGTCCCGGTCCCCGGGACGAACCTGTCGTTTCCTAATCTTATCCACAGGAAATTTCCCGTACACGTACAGATGCGGTCTCCGCATGACAAAACTTGGCTTTGATCCTAGTTCAGCATGACAAGTTTAACGCTCCCAATTGGTGAAATTTGTGATGCATGTTGTACATCGTGGAAGGGGAAATTTGCATTGCATAAATCTCTCCGCTGTCGCGTTGAACAAATCTTTCACCGTGTAAGTCATCCCGACATCCGGTGGCGCGGCTACAAACGCAGCGTGGATCGACTCCTCTTGCAAGCAACCATCGACCGGACAACCGAAGGTTTTGTAGATAGAGCTGATCGCATCAGTGGAAAAGTGCCCGAACATATCCCGGTAGAGATGTACGGCCAAAGTCCCCTGCTGACACGCGTTGTCCAATTTCCGTCTCGAGTACATGGAGTGTAGGTACACAGCAGAATTCCCCGTCCCGGGGGTTAGCAATGGTCCGTTTTGATACGAGTTCCCGATCACTTCTAGATCCGTGGTGTCCGCGAACCTTTTCAAGACTGTCGACCCGAGCGCAATATGCCTTGCAAAAGCACCGCGCTAGTGGTACTTGCATCACAAATTTGCTCAGGATGAAGTAGAGTACGGAGTTTGTCATGCTGATTTAGCTCACGAACGAGATTTCTCTATGCATGATTGCATTTTGATTTTGTACGAGTACCACGACACTTTTGCGCAGGATACGCGATTGGCGCCCGGTTTTCCATGATCGTGAAGCTTGTTGTCACCTGCTGCACCAAAGATTCCTCGTACGGGTCTGGCGTGTAGCTGCACGCGAAATTGTTCACCTGTTCGCACGGCATCGAAGACCAGCACTTTTCCGGAGTGGTGGAGGAGGCCATGCCCTTGGCGAAGATTTTCACGCACTTCTCAATCGAGAACAACGTCGGCTTCGCGTACCAACAGGAGCCGGTGTATGGTAGGAAATTGTCTTCGTAATTTACCCCCTGTTCGTCGTAATACTGGAGTCGATCCACCTCGTCGTTATACTTAAACCCGATACTCGCAGACGTTACGGATTGCTCCTGTAACAGCTCTATGCATTGCAAATACGTCTGGGTCTGGAAACTTGTGATGCTAATGTATGAATTGAGGGGACACGACTGCAATAGGCAGCTACGCATGACAAGTTTCTGGGCTCCTATGTGTTTCGCTTTCCGCATGACAAACTACATTTTAGCATGACAGGCAAGAGGGTCTTCTCCTGCTCACGCATTACAGGTTCAAGAGTCATGTGAGACAAGCATGACAGACGTGCATTTTTCCAGACCCAGACATATTTGCAGTGCATAAACTCTGATACCGCGAAATCCTGCTCCTCCGTCACGATTTTCGCTAATTTCTATCCTGTGCAAAAGTATCGTACATGCCCTGCAATCATGCATTACAAATTTTTTTCTTAAGAGAAATCCGCATTACAAACTATATTTCTCACGCTGAGGAAATTTGTAATGCATTTATACGAGTACGATACTTTTGCCATTCATAATTTCGCCGTCGGGACAATCTCGTCACACCTCAGATCTGCGACGTGCGGCTGGACCCTGTCATGCTGTACCGCATTCGGGATCAGCGGACTGGTTTTCGCCAAAAAGAAGCACTCCCCGTCAACCAATTTACTTCCGGGTTGGCAGATCGGCGTGTAGGAACAGGCGAACTGCTGCATTCTCCCGCAGTGGTTTGCAATCCACTTAGCTGTGGTTCTGTCCGCAGACACACATAAATCCGTTGAGGAAATCGTGTTTAAATTGATCGACGGAATGTTGCAAACCGCCTTCCGGAACTGCTTCCCTAAAGCAAAATTTGTCTGAATCCCCGTCGCTGCGCCAAAATTGTACTTTATTTCCCTCGATGCGGTAAAGAACAAACAACCTAACGGCTCATCCGCAGTCGTCAAAGTGCCCGCCCAGGTGTAAACAATTACCCCACCGGTTCTCGTCGTCATCGTAGCAGCTGCGGCTTGGCACTCGGCGGAGGAAGTTAGAAGTTTCGTCTTCGTGATATCAAATGCAAAAGTGTCTGGGTCTGGAAGAACGCAAGTTTCTCATGCTTGTCGGGCATGATTCGAGAATCTGTGTTGCATAGACACGAAAGAGCCCTCTCACTTGTCACGCGAAAAGGCAGTTTGCCATGCGGAATACGTAAAGACATGGGGCCAAAAAAATTGTCATGCGTAGCTGCGTAATGCAGTCCGTCTATCATTCACTTTTAGTTTAGTTTTCTCTTCGTCTATCTTCACTTTTAGCATTACAAGTTTCCAGACCCAGACATTTTTGCATTTGATACGTGACGTCGCAAACCGCGTTGTCCTTTTCATTCACTTCCGGCACGTAGTCAAACGGCTCCCAAGTGACATCCGTATCAAAGGAAAAAACTGTTTCACTGTAAACTTGTAATGCAGAAAAAGCATCTCGCAAGTGTTTGCCTTGCTACAAATGCAAGACAGTGGATTTTTACCTGCTTTCCCATTAGGAATCTTGCATGGCAAATTTTCTCTGTCATGTGGAACGAACTTGTGATGCAAAAACTGCAAAAGCCTTACAGTGAAGCACTTTTTTCTCACGATAATCGGGCTTCCAAAAGCTATCTCTCCCGTTGCTCCACTCGTAACCGGGTAAAAGTGCTGTGGTGTTAAACGCTAACCCGAAGTACGTCGCTTGCACGTTGGTCGACAACGCTTTCGCCAGATCCTGCACGGCGTTGTTCTGGTTGTTGGTCCGGAGGACTGCCAGGTGTGCGTTTTCCAACGGCGCGAGTAATCTGCAGTACTCTTCCGCTAACTCCTTCGGGTAGATCGGCATCGAGCTTGGCAACGTCGAGTTGTAATCGTCAAACGGGGCGACAGTATGGTAGGGCGGTGGGATTTGCGTCACTAGCAAACACTCCCCATCGATAAACACGAATCCGTGCTTGCACTTGCTGTGGATGCTGCAGATAAACGCATTTTCGTTTGTGCACGGCTCCGGCTGCCACCGGCCGTTCGCGGTATTCATTTTTGTGCAGTCGTTTGTCCCAGCGAGATTTACGTCCGCTTCGAGCAACGGCGTCCACAGACTCGGCACCGGGACGGTATTATCGTAGAATCCGATCTGACTGGTTAAGGAATCCGGGTTGTAGTGCGCACCTAGAAAAACCTTAGGAGTACCGGAAGAACTACCTGTTGCTGTTTGTGCTTGCTCAAACTCCGCCACCATGTTTTGCACAAAAGTATTCTGCGAAGTGGTTCGAATCGTCGCTAACACCGCGTTCGGGTGCTGCTGCTTGCAGTACGCATTTGCCTCACTAGCGGTTTTCGGCTTCTCCGGCTCGGGAGAAGTCGCGGCATTCCCCGTTCCGAAAAGCTTGTAGCACACCCCCTCCTCTGGCCGATTACCAGGGATTTGCTTATTGTGATCCACCCCCGCGGCCGTAGCTAACTCCACGGCGACGGACCGCCAACCACTTGGACATCGCCAAATGTTCTTCTGCGCCGATTCGGGGCAAACGGTTTCATTTTTCATTGAGTACTCGGCTGTAGAGGAAATCGCGATCTTGCTACCGACGCCCCAATACTGAGTCACCGTGAAGTAGTCGTCAATGAAAATTTTATTCACTGGGTTTGTCGCTTGCGTCGCGGGGTTCACGACGACCGGGCTGGCGAGCTTCAAAACCTGTCTCCTGACATCCTTTCCGTACATCTCAAACTTTCCGTGGATCTGGATCCGGCGGAACTCTTCCATTAACGGCGACCAGGGGTTCGGGGTTGTGGTTGTTGTGATTGCCGGTGCGAGCTCCGCTTCCGTAGGGTAGGATTGTTGCAGCACAAAGCATTTCGTGTTCGACCAATACAAAGGTGCGTAGGTCGTGTATTCCGACAGCGTACCCGCCTCGCCCATTGCGTCGATTTGGATCGAAGAAAAGCCGAAATCGGGGAAAATCCTCTCGATCCCGGTAATGTGCCCGTACTCCACGAAGGTCATCAATTCCGATGCGGAGCTCGCTCCCATCGCGGCCACCGGCATCGCCGGACAGCAATTCGCGACGACGGAAGCGGTGGTGACAGTAGTGTCAATTCCAACCGGACACCCCGCGCCGAACTTCTCGCTCATCGAGGCGTGGAAGTAGATGTAGCAGGCCGACCACTGGAGATTATTTTGCGAGTATTCTCCGTAGAAGAAACCTTGGATCAAGTGCCGGATCGTCGGATCGTAGGCGTTTATTAGTCTCTGGCACTCCGTCTCCCTCCCGGTGGATCTGACATACTCCCCGATTTGCGATCTGCAATAACCAATTTTCTTCGGAGTGGGTAAACAGGAACTGCCCTGCTCGATGTTGGTGTCAGCGTCGTTCGCAGAACTGGCGGCGCCGGTATCAGCGGTTACATCTTGCCAGTCGAAAATCAAGTGTTGTAACGGGTCAAATTGGGCCAATCCATTTGACTCCGGGTAGAGAAGATTCGCCAAATTGTTCGGGTCTGTGGTTGTCGTGGTGGTGGTTGTTGTCGTACTTGTGATGCTGTTCGCCGCTAACAAAGAGGCGATGTCGTCATTTTCCGTGTCGTTGGTGCCGAATTCGGTCCCGTTTGTGCCATTGCTTGTTCCGTTCACGTCGGAAGCGGAAGAATCACCTGCAGTACCCGCTGTCGTCGCACCCGCCGCTGGTCCAACCGCGGTTGACACATCGTCATTGTCGTTCCAGTATGGATTGCAAAAGTATCGTACTCGTACAAATGCATTACAAATTTTGATTTTCTACTCAGCATGAGAAATATAAATTTGTAATGCTGATTTACCTATAAGAGAAAGATTTGTAATGCATGCTTGCCATTACTACGAGTACAATACTTTTGCACAGGATATCCAAAGCTCAATCACCCCACTCTCCCCGCTCCACGGCTCCGACTCGCTTGTCCCAGCCCGGAACACCCCCTTCGCGCCGATGTAAATCTGCTTCGCCACGATCTTCACGTTTTCCGCATTATCACTAAAAATCAATTCCCCGTGCACAGACAACCTGCCCAATTTCGCGGTCGAATTCACGTCCAAGACAATCGACATGTAATTCTCGATGTACACATCTTCCCCGTCCACTATCAAATGCAAAAATGTCTGGGTCTGAAAGATTGCAACCTGTCATGCTGTTTTTGGACTCTAAAAAGATTTGTATTGCATGACCAGCAAGAGGGGCACAGTTTGTGCTACACGGACAGGGCTTTTCTCATGCGGAAGGTGCACCAGGAAGCCCTCTAAAGGTCTGCGATGCTAGGTCATGCATTACGGGCATCATGGGTCATGAGAAATATGCATGACAAATCTTGCATTCTTCCAGACCCAGACATTTTTGCATTTGATATCCACCGGCACGTACTTATTCGGCCAGGAGTTCGGATCGGACCAGTTCCCACCGGGGGTTATTGACACCGGACAGGCGAAAGGCATATGAAATGCAAAAGTGTCTGGGTCTGGAAACTTGTGATGCTAAAATGTGCATGATGAAGACACTTCCGAATGCAGTCCGGCATGACAACTTCCCAAAACGCTTTCTCATAGGCAATCCGCATGAGAAACTGCGTTTTTGCATGACAAAAGAGGCTGCGACTTTTGTTGGTTATGCAATACAGATTTTCTACGTATAATGGAAAGCTAGCATTACAAGTTTCAACCTTCCAGACCCAGACATTTTTACAATCCATAAGGCCCCCCGATGTGCAAGTGCCCCCCGTTGTCACTCGCCGGCGCGTACGGGTTGTGGATGTAGCACGGGTTTTTGTTGATGGGACTGACTTATCAACTGCAAAAATGTCTGGCTCTGGACGAATGCCAGACTTGTCATGCAGGTTTTCCGTGACCCATGAGGTCTGATGTGTAGGACATAGCATGACAGATTCTGTGAGAGTTCTACCATGCCTATCCTGCATGAGAAACTACCTCTCTATTAGGTCAAAAGTGAGCAGGAGCTTTTGGCAATCATGCAACGCAGATTTTTACATGATCCAGATTTAGCATGACAAGTTGCTTTGTTCCAGACCCAGACATATTTGCACAGCATATGACTGCAGCGTATTCCATGGTCAGATTCACAGCCGCCTGGTAGTTGAAGCAATCTTCCATCTTCGTCACGGTCCCGGTGAAAGTCGTGTTCTCGTGCTCTTCCTGCAGTTGCGGAGTTGACTGGGTGTACGTGTAGAAGTTCACCTGTTCTTGACAAAGCGCGGTCCTGTTCGCGATGATATCCTCTGGAATACAGGTCGCGTACTGGTTTTTGAACTTCGTGATTTGCTCATCCGTCTTCACGTTTTTCATCGTCACGAAGTTGCTCGGGTCGCCGGAAGTATCGAGCAAGGTCCTCTGGTCGAACCAACAAACCTGATCTGCGGAAACCGTTTCGTTGTCGCATTTCCGGTAACCACGAACCACATAATCTTTCCAGCAGCTCCAAGTACACTGCAACGCCCGCCAGATCGTGATTTGGTACAGTTTCGCGTCGACCAGGGAAGAAGAAAGCGTTTCGTTGCCGTAAACACCACCGGAATTTGTCACGACCAGCTGCTGCTTCTGTTCTAATAGATCGTAGTCCGCATGTGCTTCCCGGTAGTTGACGTTCGTAACTAACTCCCTTCCTTTTCGGTCGATCAGGGAAACCTGTCGCTGGTCGTCCGGCATCAGCAACCCATTCCCATAAAGATCCGGCGAATTCGACTTCTCGTACTCAATCACGTAGCAGCTGGAGAAGTATTCCCTCCCAGAGTTGTTGAAGCACTGTACCAAATCCCCCGCGAACATACCGACTAGATCCTCTAAGCAAAACGTCGTGTTGCTGCAGAAATCCAACGGGATTCGGTTCAAGTGCATGGCGCGGAGCTCGGAGTCCTGTAGTTGCAACAGAGAAAAGCTCGGACTCGTCTCGCCCTGGTCCTCCCAGGTGGAGTAGCACGGGACGTTCACCGCGGTAGGGTCGGCGATAAATCGCCGGTCTAGGGTCGAGACCTTGCTGTGGATCAATTCGTACTCGGAAAATTGGTTTATGTCCAGTTGCTTTTTGATTTGGTCCGTGGAAGTGAAGGCGGGAGGGGTGATGAGACTCGACATCTCCCCTAATTGTTCTGTGTAGTTGAAAAAAGAGGGAAGCTCGGCCCCGCACTGCTGGAACCGGGAGGATAGCTTCGCTTGATAGTCGCAGCCGAGCGCCTCGTTCTTCCAGCACTGTTGACAACAATCATTAAACCGCAGCAAGTGGCAAATGGAATCGCAGTAGCAGTTCTGCGTGCTTGCTTCGCAGTTCGGACTACCTAAAGAGTAGAACCGCACGTGCGCCTCGTACTCATCCCTGACCACAAGAGGTTGGTTGTTTTCCATCAAATACGGGTGGTACTCGATCACCCTGAAAGTCGTCCCGTTCGTCCAACAGATCGCGTCACTTGTTAAATTATACGTGTTGTTGTGCTATGCTCTGCAAAAGTATCTTCGCACTCGTACAACAAATTGCAGCCATGCATGACAGATCTGGTTTCTAAAGCTCATTCAGGATTACAAATTTCATTTTCCCTTCTGGAGAAATTTGTCATGCTATTTCTACTTAGTCCGACACTTTTGCAATGCTTATGTGCAACAGCCTGTTCTGCATCTTCTCGACGTTCTCCTTCGTGTAGAACAAATCATTCGCCTCCGGCGTCTGCAAGTTCACGTCCCGCAACTGCCAGTCACACCTCGGAAACCCGAGCGTCACGTTGTCATGCTCCAACGTGCTGCTAATGTGCTCAAATTTGATCGCGTTTTTCTCGTTGTGCCAGCAGATGGTGTCTTGATAAGTTCTATCGAATGCAAAAATGTCTGGGTCTGGAAGAATGCGAGTTTGTCATGCTTGTCTGGCATGACTCATAAATCTGTGATGCATGAGGGGGCAACAGGCCTAACGCCTGTCATGCAAAAACGCAGTTTGCCATGCGGAAAACGAAACACAATAGCAGCCCAAAAATTTGTCATGCTTGGCTGCGCATTGCAGTGTGTCTACCATAGTAAGATCTTAGCATCACAAGTTTCCAGACCCAGACATATTTGCATTTGATAAGTTCCGGCATTCGCATTCCGGTTCGGCGATATCCACTCGGTTTTTTCCTTTAAAATTCTCCTGATAGTCGTGGTCCCAGCTGCAGTTGTGATTTCTTCCTCCTCAAACTCGTAAGTGTAGTGTTTTTCACACTTTGGGTAATTCCGCACCGGGATGTCCTTCCAGCAGTCCCCGGATTCCAAGCTTGTGCAGTTCACGTGATTCTCCAGCATGATAGTGAAGTTAGACGCCAAAACGTCCGTGTAGCAGACATCCAATTCTTCCACCCGCTGCTCCACCGTTTGGTTGACCATGGAGCGAAGTTCCTGAATCCCGAGGGAGACATTGGACTCGTTCGTTGTGACGTTTTCGTAGCTGAAGTTCGTGAAAATCTCGTACTGCTGCTGATCGCCTGCGGTCGTCATGTTGCTGTCATTCGAAACTGTGCCGTTCGTGTCGTTGGTGCCATTCGACTGATTTCCAGCAATCGCCCGCTTGAAGTCAAACCTGCTCGTGACCAATCTCGTCTGCACCAGGTAGTCCAAGAATTCTTCATCATATTCCACCACCTCCACCTCCTCCGTCGTGTTGTACCGCAATACCACCGTCGCTGACCCTCGCGTGTTCGTGATCTTCCTTTTTTGGATTTCTTCAGTTAGGGGTTTCAAGAACAAAACCGTCCCGTTCTCATCCGGGGGGGCTTGGATCATCTCAAACGTCCGCTCCACGACTGAGTAATCGGTTGGACAAGTGTTTAAATTCGGATAACCTTTCGTCATGTCTTGGAGGCAGAAGGAAGTTCCGTCACAAGTAGTAGCAGCTCTGCTCTGGTCGTCTAGATTGGATAAAATAATCGACTCCCGGTTCAAAGATTCGGCCCAACAAGGCTGCGGCTTCGAGATCTGCGCGTTCCGGTGATCGGTGATGTTTTTAGAGATGAAGAGCTCGAGATTCACCACCTGCCCCTGGGATTTCCGGAACTGGGTGACGAAGGGGGTTCGCAAAGCGTTCGGGACGCCTTCGATATCAAGTGCAAAAATGTCTGGGTCTGGAAGAGTGTAAAATTGTCATGCAGATTTTCCATGACCCATGAGGTCTGGAATGCAGGGCTTAGCATAACAGGCTCTGCGAGATCTCTGCCATGCCTATCCTGCATGAGAAACTCCCTCCCAACTTGGTCGAAAATGGACACCTTTTGGCACTCATGCAACACAGATTTTTGTATGCTTCAGATTTACCATGACAAGTCACCACCTTCCAGGCCCAGACATATTTGCAATGCATACTCGAAGGTCTTGTGCAAACTATCGAAGAAGATCATATCCCGGCCAGAGAATTCCACATAGTTGTGCCGATCGGCGGTGAGCCACTATGAACTGCAAATATGTCTGGGTCTGCAAGAGTGCAGGACTTGTCATGCACATTTTGCATGACCCATGATCATGATGTCTGTGATGCATGTGTAGCCGTTCAAACGGGTCCCCGGTTCAGCATTGTACCCCCAGTTCAAAACCGGCCCCGTGCCTAAAAATGCTAGAACAAATAGCGCTTTAGTATGACGAAAAGGCGCTCCTCATTCGTATGGGGGGGCGCCTATTTTCTCCGGCAGGTACCTTCTCAAACTGTCTGGTACGTTCCCAACGCGGGGGTCGGATGTTCTCCGACCCCGGTTCGGGTCGGTACCTGCAATGCCGCAGCGAAGTCGTTTTAGATGGTGACGCCTACTTCCTGTCCGCCCCTCACTCACTTGCTTTAAAAGTGCGACGCGCGCTACCGTTGCGCGCGCCTCGAGAAGTATCTTCAAATGCGCTGCGTGCTGCGTCGTACTGCATCGCGCGCGCGCGCGCCAAAAACAAATAAACAGACCGACAAGAGCCGCTGGCGTCGAAGTCGCGCGCGCGCGCGCTAGGAATCACGCACGCCAAAGTTCCGCGCTGTTTGGCTCGCAGCGACGCTTCTTGTCCTTGCGCCCCTTCTCTTCCTACGTTTTGTAAAGTATGGCGCTGCGAGTGCGTCTCTTGTGCGCGGAGATTGTTCGCTTCGCGGTTTCCACCTGTCCTTTTCGTATGTTGGTGGTTGCTTTTCGGGGGGTTCTCTTTCTCCAGAGGTACCTTACCGCTCCGGGGGTACCTTCTCGAACTGGGACACATGCCCTAGCATCACAGAATTTTTGAGGGGGGCTTTCTGATGCGTATACTGCATGACAAATGCCCTGCTCTCCGCGTAGCACAAAGTCGACTCCTCTTGCTGGTCATGCAACACAGATTTTCTTATAATCCGAAGACAGCATCAGAAGGTGCATTCTCCCAGACCCAAACGTATTTGCAATGCATAGCCACTGCCTCGATGCGACTTGCTGAGATTCGAACCACCGGTAGCTATTGTCGCACATCTCAAACTTCTGCTTTATTTCCGCATGCCAACTGGATGTCGGGGTTCTAGTCGCGGGGATACTGCACTGCTTCAGATCGTCCGACTTCGGCCAGCAGTGCAAGCAGCAATCTAGATTGCGCTCGTGCTTGCACATCTCGTCGCAATAGCACGGCTTTAAGTTCAGTAAGCATTTCGGCGTGCCGAAGAAGTACACCGCGGACTGGGTTGAGAGGGTTCCATTGACATTTTTCTCCGTTTGGAAATTCCACCTGTACTCCAGCTCTTGCTCGAAAGCCCTCGAAATCGCCAGCCGTGATTTCCTATCCGCGTAGGGGATGCGCTTGATAACCGCGTTGAGGTATTTCGTTGCCTCGGTGTCTGTTACGTCGGTCGGGTCGGTGAGGTTGTCCGGGTTCCAACCGGTCATGTTCAAGTAATCGGTGTAGTTTTCGTAGCCAATCAGGAATTGCTCTACAGAGGTCCCGTTGGTGCTGGCATTCGTGACCGTTCTGTTCTCGTAAACACCATTCAGCAACGTCGTTCCGTCCGCAGCGTACAAAGCCGTGTCTTCGATCGTCATCGCCCAATTGTTGTTGATTACCACCTATGAACTGCAACAGTAACGTACTCGTATAAATGCTAATTCATTACAAATTTTCTGAGCATGAGAAATAAAATTTGTAGTCGTGCGGATTTACTTTAAAAAGAACAAGAAGATTTGTAATGCATGATTGCAATACGAGTACGATACTTTTGCACAGGATACCACCTGCTCCAAAAACCACTCCGTGTAGTTCTGGTACGCACGGTGTAGGAGGATATGCATGGTGAATTTGCCGTAGTAGTACCTACTACACAGAGAAAATGCATGACAAACTTCGGTCAGTGACAACATGTTGACAGCGCACACACTTGTATTGCTGGATAAGCTTCTTCCGAAAAGAATTTTGTCATGCAAGAATACAACGTGCATGCGGCAACAAATTCCCCTTCCATACGGCAGCGCCTCGTCGAATTCCGCCAAGATCTCCTCAAAAATCACAATCTTGTGCTTCACGAAACTGTAGCACAGTTTATCCAACCAGGTCGGCAGAATCGGCTCATTCGTGATAGAATCGTGGCTACACATCTCCTGGTTGAGGATAATCAGAGGCGTAGTGCTCGAATTTGTGTTTTTGAACACGATGAAACTCGAATGCGTGTCCTCCTCGTAGCAAACCACATCCTGCACTGTGTGGTTGGAGATGTTTTGACTCGCTAAGTTCACCGCTCTCTGTTTCGCCCGGTTCTCCAGCCACCGGTTTAGCAATTTTGTGCTGTTCGGGTAAATGTGCTGGACGTGGGTGATACTCGGCGTCGTGTAGGTCTTGCTGATATCGTCGAGATCAGGCAGCCCCTCGGGTAAGAACGCACCGCACCTCGGATACCCACGGACGATTTCGTTTTTCCAGCAGGGAACCCCAGTCCCGCAGGAGTGGGATTCCTGGACGACTAAGTCTTTCATATCCTGAGGAAAAACGTCCCCACCCCAGAGCTGTCATGCAAATCTGCATGCCAAAAAAGTTCGTCATGCTCATGCGGAGGGCCATGAGAGGCATTTTCTAGTCGTGTTTTGGAGTTTCAATTTGT